TGTGGCATCTTGATCTGGCCTTCCTCGTGGCCACTGTTGGACCAGAGGCAGGTGACTCGGCACCTCTGAGCCTCCGTGTTCTCAGGGCTGACGCAGGAAGGGCTCGCAGCCGACCTCCCGAGCGTGTGGAGGGGCCCGTGAGGTCGCGGGCGCAGAGCTCCCAGCATGCCGTAAGGACACAGAGATGGTACAGCTGCTGTTACAACGAGTTCTAAAACCGTCGCCCTCCCCACGCCTGCCTGTGTGGTCCCCCTGAAGCCAGCAGTAGCCCTTCTAGTGGCCGCTGTCACCCTCCCCGTCCGGCACGTGCACCACAAGAGTGTTGTTCTTGCTGCAACAGGGCCCGTGTGCCAAGTGTCTCAGGGTTGGATTTTCGACGTTCTCCGTACCACCCTGGACCTGTTCCTGGAGCAGAGAGCCTGTGATGTGTAATCAGCGCTTATCACAGATCTATGCTTTTCTATGGCCACGCTGACTGGCAATCTAGTTACGTTGCATTGCATGTACGGTCGAAGAGTTGCTTGTCTCAAAGTAAACGCACCGCACTAGAGCTTTAGTCACCGTGTTTGGACATTTCTTCATTCTAAAAATTGGCCTTAGGAAAGTGTAACCTTAAGGAACTTCTTACTTGCTCTCTACCTTGTTTCCTTGTCCATAGGGCAGAAAAGAGGGAAGGGGATGCTGGCCACACCTGGCAAGGGACCGGGTGATGCAGAACACAGGGGTTCTTTATGGAAAAGAAGAACTGTCGAGCCCCCAGAGCTGTGAGCATGAAATCACTGAGCACAGAGCTCGAGAAATACACATTCTCTGTTGTGCCATTAAGCTCAACTCAGGGAGGATTTATGGAGAACCTGCTGTGTTCAGCAGACCAACCCCTGCTCCCCGGGGTAGGGGGAGTCCAGAGATGAATAATACCCTGGAGAGGGCTGCAGTCTGGGGGTGATGTGGGCAGCCAGAATCTTTTGTCCTGCTGTACTGGGGCCAGATCCTATAGGAGCCCACGGTGTCCCTGGTGCCAGCGCCCTGAGTTTCCCTGGCGAGGCTTGCTGGGCCTGCGGACTCGGGGGTGGCTCTCTGCCTCCCCCTGCTGGCAGCATCCTGCCAGTGGCCCCCCCCCTTCTCGGCAAGCATGTGGTCCCATGGGGATTTCCATCATTTGTCTGCAGCTCACAAATCGCTCATGGTGTCACTGTGTTATTATCCCATTTTACAGATGGGGAAGCTGAGGCTTAAAGAGGCAGGGGACTTCCCCACGTGCACCCATTTAAGCCAGGGCCATGTGACCTGGAGTTAGTGCCGCAGCCAGCCTGGCACTTGGCAATGGGCAGATTTGGGGGTTCTTCCGTGCTCCACCTCGGCCCTTTTGTCTTCCCAATCTGCAATCCCCCAGGCCTCCAAGTCCACGCCTGAAACAAGTCACCACTGAGGCTCAGGGCTCTTGCCCTCCTATGTTGTGTGTGTCTTCGGCTGATGTGGGGTGCCAGTGCCGTGCAGGGGGGCTGCAGATGCAGCGAGAGGGCTGGGTCCTGCCCTCGGGAGTCGCCTGAGGTTCAACTCTCCCCACCAGTCTGGCCCAGCAGCCTACTTCTCCCCTGGGGCCCCAAGACCACCTCCTGGGCTCCTGGCTCTCATCAGCACCATGCCAGAGCCAGGGGGAGGCCAAACTGGCGATGTCCCTCCTGGTGGGGAGCCCCTGAAAGCTTCCTTGCTTTCAAAAATCGAGTGCAAGGCCTGAAGAGCCCCGGGCAAGGCACAACCCCCTGATGCCACCTCCCACTCTCCACGTTTCTGCTCCTTGCCACTCCAGAAGCTTCTGTTTGCTTCAGCCACAAATGCGCCTTCTCCTCCACCCCTGGCTCTACCCTGTCACCAGCAGGTGGGACCCAGGCCTTGCCGGGTGCCCCCGCGGTGCCCCCAACCACACTGGACACATTTGCAGCTCTCCAGTGTCCATGCTCCCCAGGGCGGAGGCCCGGCCTGTCAGTCCCACAGCCCCAGCCTCCTAGCAGTGCCTGACACACAGTAGGGCTCAGCCAACGATGCATACAGTTTGGTGAAAGAGGTCTCTCTCGGTTTTCTTCCAGGCCCCCGCTGCAGCTAGCGGGACACGACTCCCTTTCTTGCCTGGCTTTGACTCTCTGCGGACCGACTCGTGTGGAATTAGCATCCTTCTTGTGCTTTCTAGGACACGACTCTCACTTATGTCACCTTACATGTTTACTTGGCTCAACAATTAAGAAAAAAACAAGTTCTCCGAGGCTTGCCAGGTACCAGGCACGTTTGCAGATGCTGGAGATGAGAGACCAGAGAGACGGTGCCATGCTTGTGATTAGCCTGGATGTGGATTTTTTCTTGCAAGGCACCTCAGGGGTCTGGGATGGTTCTACTAGTGCTGGTGCCCCCATGGAGGTGCCTCCCTCTGTCCCTCTGCTTATTCTCGGCCTGGCCACACACCACCGACAGGTGCTCCACACCATGGGGGCCACAGAACAAGCTCTGACACCCAGCTCTCTCTGCCCCCGGACCTGTGCTCTCCTGAAGGAACTGATGTCCCCTTCCTCTCCATTCAGACCTGCTCAGCTGTATGGCCTCCTCTTCCAGAAGCCCTGCCTGACAGCTCTTTCCACCTCGAAGCCCCAATGCACTTTTTCCCTGGACCACTCAGCCAGCCCTGTCTCATGGAGGCAGCCCCTTGCTCTCTCCAGGCTGAGTCAGGCAGGCCCCCTCCCATGCCTCCAGCCTCAGCGCCCAGGACGGAGGGCTTGAGTCAGAGGCTGAGCAGAGCACCTGGTGTGGAGCAGGACTGCCCTAAAAGCGTCCACTTACAAACCACTCTACTGCAGCTACTTTATGCCCTGGAGGAGTAAGGGGCAGAGGCTCATGGCCGTGGACCACCAGCCTTCACCTACACCCAGACTGCAGGCACCCTTCCAAGGGCTCCTTTCCACAATCACCGAAATGGTCGGTTGTCAGCTCCAAAATCTAGGGAGCTACAGCCCCAGGCTGGGGCTGCTGGGGGGAGGGGGCCCTGACCCCCTCCCACAATGTGCTCAATGTCTACACCAGCGCTGTCCAATGGAAATATGCCAGGCATGTATGGAATTTTAAACTTTTGATGAGCTATGTTAAAAAAAGGGAAACAGATGAAATAAAATTTAATAGTATATTTACCTCAATATACCCAAAAGGTTATCATTTCAATGTGACAGAAAGCTATCAGTGGGCCATCTGACATTCTTGGCACCCTGGCCTCTAATGTGTACTTAGATCCCATCCCAGCTCGGCCCAGCCCCCCGTGCAGGTGCTCGGTGGCAGCCTTCTCTGGACAGTGCAGGCTCCTGGGAGGGGCTGACGACTGTCCTGGCAAGTGTGTAGCCCTGGGTCCCGTGCACTCTGGGTAACAGGACTACAGCTCCTGTTATGGAGCTTTGCATGAGGAACAAACAGCTCTGCCCTCAGGAAAGAGCGGCTGACTCTAGCCCCTGTAGGTGGGCTTCAGGGAGGTGGTGGCATTTGTATGCAGCCTCCGTGAGGGAGGGAGGAGGAAGGACAGAATGAGGGACGCGCTGCAGGCGAAGGGAAGCAGTGCGCCCCGTTGGTGCGGGCCCTACATACTCTGCAGCCAGTCGCCCTGTGCCCATTTGCCCGACAGGCCCAGGACAGCCCAGTTCATGCCTGCTGTTCTGGTATAAGCATCAACAACACGTCGTCAAGGTGGTCACCCTGCCTGGACTCCAGGTTGGTGAGGATGTGATGGAGCTTAAAAGCGGCGGACCTGTGACTCAGAGCCCAGCCTCCATGACCTTTGGCTCGACTGTGGGCCTAGACCTCTCTCCTGCACACCAGGCTACAGAGGGTCAAGAATGTGAGGGCCTCCGCTCCAAGGGCTTAACAGGAGGGAGGAGGGGATGGGCCCTTGCACCTTTGCCTCTGCTTCCCCCTTTGAGGGGGGTTAACAGTGACATCCGTCTCTGCAGAGCGGTTTGTTGGGACACAGTGACTGCAGGATCCAGGGCTGAGTTCCAGCCCGCGCTCGCTAACTCTGTGTTGAAATAGGTTGGGACCTTGATTGCTGCAAGGCAAATGTTAGCTTAGCAGAGTGGCCACGTCAGATGGGCTGAGACTCCCCCGGCACCCCCTGGCGCCCTGACAGCGTGGCTGTTCGCCGCCAACGTCACAGCACACTCCTTCCTTCTTCCCAGGCTCCTGAGGCCCGGGGTGACCCGGGAGCCCTCCACCCCCAGGCAGGCCTCAGCGGCTGCTGTGGCACTAGCTACCGCTGGGAGCTCGGCCACGGGGGGCGGAATACAACCGGACTGGCATCCCTGCCACTCTTCCCGCCCTCTGGAAGGAGCTGGGGCAAGTGGGAGCAGGCTGCTACCCTCCCCTCCCCTGCCAGGCAGGTGTGCAGGTGAGTGCGTCGGGCCAGGCCGACAGCTTCCCCACCTTCCGAACCTCCCTTCCTCGCTGGGTAGATGTGGATACACACGGCCGCACCGCCTCGTCCCTAAGATCCTCCACGGGAGGGCTCGGATGGGGCCGTCCACCGGGAGGAGCAGGCCAGGCGCGCGGCGGCCCGGCCTGTCACTGCACACAAGTACCCGCTCAACGGCTGCGGAACGCCGAACGGAGCCCTGGCTTGTCCACGCGGCTTCGGGGCCGCGACCGGGCGCAGAGGCAGCCGCTGCCTGCCGCGGGGGGGAAGAGCAGGGGCCTCGGAGGGGCGGACAGAGCAGCGGGGCGTGCGCGGGGGGCCGGCGCCGGGGCGGGGGGGGCTGCCTACAGGACGACTCCCAGGGCTCCGCTGCCCGAGAGCCGGGCGCCGACCGAAACGAACTTCCCGGGCGGAACTGGAGCCCTGAGCCACCAGTGGCCGTAACCAGGCAACCGGCGAGCCGCCGCGAGGTGCGCAGGCGCAGCCCGCTACGGCGGCCGGCGCAAGCGCAGTCGCCTTCCGCCTGTCTCCAGCCTTGGAGGAAGTCCAACGGCCGAATGGGAGGGTCGCGCCTGCGCTAGGGTGCCGCTCGGCTTCTCCGCGCCGCCGAGTAGCCGTTCTCGGCGGGTGCGCCCGCTGGCCTCGGTCGTCCAAGACCGGTTCTTCACTTGGGTCTGACTGAAGAGCCCCGACTCTTCTCCCATCCTAAGACGAGAAAAGACTGGGAGAAAGAGCTGGCGTAACCAGGGCGACGTCTCCCAGCGGCCCTCCGAGCGCCCGGCCCGGCAGGTGGGCGAAGGGCGGGTCGCAGGGGGGGCGGGTCGCAGGGGCGAGGCCAAGGGGGCGGGACGAGGGGATGAACGCCGAAAGATTGGTCGCAGGCGAGGGAGGGGCCAACGGGGCGGACGAATGGATGGCCGGCGAGGGAGGGGGCGGAGCTAACGTACGGGGCGTAGCGGCTCGGGGGCCGCTGCGATGGGCGGGGCTGGTGGGCGTGGTGGGCAGGCGTGGCGCGCGCTGACGTCGCGGTCGGACACGTCGGCGGCGCGGCGGCCGGAGCCGGATGTGCCAAGATGGCTGCTGCGGTTGTCGTGTCTGCGCTCGTCGCCGCAGCCGGGCCGGCTTTCGCCGGCTGCTCCTGAGGGGTTGGCCCAGGGATCGCGGAGGGGCCGGGCGGGAGCCTCGGCCGCCCTGTGGCGCGCCGGTGAGGGCCGGGATCGGGCGGAGGGCAGCGGCCGGGCCGGGCCCAGCCCCAAGCGGACGGCGCCTCTCCGGGTACCGCCAGGGGTCGGGCAGAGGCCCCGGGGGCGGGTGGGGACCTGCGGGCCCGGGGTGGGTCCGGCTGGGCCAGGTGCGCGGCCCTCCTGCCGCCTTCTGCGCCTCTGTTGGCCGCGTCGTCAGACCGACGGCAACCCCGCAGGTACGGCCTGCGCTGTGGCAAGTGCCTGTCGGGCTCAGCGGTGTTGGCCCTTGGCTTAGCCCCGGTGGCCTGGCTGGAGGGCTGTGTTGGAATGGCTGGGGGACCAGACCGGCGACTTGTTGAGGAGTACGCACGTGTACGAAAATTCTTCAGCAGTTTTGCGTGTCCTTTGCTTGGAAGCTTCTGAAGTAGTTCTGTCTCCACTGGCTGAGAGATCTCTCCCGGGCCGCGCTGGTGAAGAGACAGATTAGCGTCGCTGTTGTCTGTTGGGAATTTCGTGGCAGGGTGACAGGTGTTGCAGCGGAGGTCTGTCACTTGTGCTTTACATTAAGGGTTAGAAGGCTGCGGAATAAAATTATTACAGTTCTTGTGGCGGAAGAATTACAGTCGAGTGTCTGGGCACATCACAGCCATTTGAAATGAGTTTTTGCTGCTTCGCCTGAAAACACGTTTAAATGGCTTGGAGAGTGGGCATGAGCTGCTTAAGATTGTGTGTTAAACCCGTGTGTGCAGGTATTAACCTGAGTGGTGTTTCCCACCCCAGATACGGCAGAGAGCAAACCAGGTCACACACAGTTGTTTCTAACATTGATACTTCTGCCAGTTTCAGCAGAACCAGGCTCCCTGCAGGTTCCCCCCCACCCCGTGCCGTTCTTAGGGTTCTGGGTGCTGTCATCTTGCAAAGATGAGGCAAGAGGCATGTTCCTGTGATTCATTCACCCTAAATAGCAGTAGGTCCCAAAATCGTCCAGAAAGCTTTCTTTACGGTAGTGTGTCGATTTTAATGATTCCTTCTTTTGTAAAGCTCTTTCCTGAATGTCAGTGCATCCTTTAGGATCTTTGTCATTTTTAGCAGTGTTGAGATTCCCTTTTCTGTAAATGTGTTTGATTCTGTATTTAGGAAAGTTGGAGTTTATGGTGTCTTTGAGTGGAGTGTCTCATAGTCTGACAGGGACATCACACTCACGGTTGCCGTGAGGGAGATTGAAGGCAAGTGGTAGACTCCCACGTTCTTTCTGGCACTCCTATTGGTTTACACACTCCTAGTTTGAGGCCGCAGCTCTGAGGATAAGGAGTGGGCTTTAAGTGTCTTGGTCCACAGTCAGGAATTTATATTGGAAATAGGTTGTGCTTAAGTATTTCCCAGAGATACAAGGCAGTCTGCTTGAAGGACTAGGTTTATGAGTAATGCATCTTTAAGAACAGCAGCTGGTGTCTCTGAAATAGTGCTTTTTGAAAAAGTTAGATGACTTGAGGGTGCAGGATGACTTCCTGGCTGGAATTAAGTTCCCTGGGGTCAGGAGAGAAACGATAGGCAGTTTTTCTGTTTGTGAATAGAGAAAAAAGATTAAAAGGTTAATGTTCAAGATTGTTCCAAATGAAATTGGCATATTGGTAAAAAGCTCTCAATTATGGGTGGGGGGGAGAGTAGGGGATTCTATGTTACAGGAAAGTGATAGTGTTTGCTTATAAAATGGTTCTTAGTCTGAGAGTTGAAAAAATACTTTTTAAGGGAAGTTTCTTCAAGGAAAGCATGAAAGTATAAACCTGTAAAATTTACATTTTGATAACATTTCCCTGTTAAATAGCAGTAGGGATTAAGGCATCCCAGAATCCTCTGTGAGTAGAACTTTGTAAGATGAAACCCAGAAGAGACCTTAGAAATTGTCGTATTGCTTCTCTCACTTCACAGATGAAGTGACAGGGTCACAGAAAGACAAGGGGTGTGCCCGGAGCCATTCAGCTGGACACCCAGCCGGGCTCTCCCAGTTACGCCTCTGCTGTGTAATCCTCTGGGCCTCTGCCACGTGTGGTTTTTCTTTTTTAAAGCTGCTTAGGATGGTGAGGGTCCTCCGCTGAAGCCTTAAAAGGAGGAAGTCGTGTCTTGGAGGGTGTCCTGGGTGCCTCTGTTGCACAGATAACAAGAAGGGGCTCTGCTTGTTCTACTCTCAGTCCATAGAAAGCTGAGCTGTAAACGTTCTTTGTTTTGAAATGGCTCCTTATAACCCAGTGAGGTCTCCAGTGCTGTTCCTAATATAGTCCGTTAAATTTGAGTGAGTTTCGGAGTGCTCTTCAGTCAGAAGGGGTTCCCTGTTGGCCTAGGACAGAGCATGTGTGGGCAGTAATGGTAGTGAAGTAATAGATTCCTAGGACTAGTTTCCAGAGAGGCATAGGAGCTTTCCTTTGTACATAGCTTTACTTAAAACACATCCATAAGTGTGTTCTTGTATCTGGCTATCAGAAGAGATTTCCAAGAGCAAAAATTTTGTACATCTGCAGAAACGTGTGGGTTACACTCTGGTGTCCTTCCACGATTTCTCCCTCTGGTGTTTACTTATCCCCGTGATTGGCTAAACTTACCCTGTTTGTGAGGGTGGTACTAGGGGGAAGGACTTACACATGGAAAAAGACTTTGTAAAGAGACAGTACCTGGGTTTTTGCCTTAAAAGTACAGGTTAACTGTTCAAGATTATACTTAATGTATTTTATTTAGAAAAAAACCCACCACTAGCACCAGCAAGAAAAAACGCTGTAAAGATGATTTTGTGCCTTTGTTTTCTATAAAAGTTTTTTTGGCATTCTATTATTGAAAACTTTCGAAGGAAGTCGGTTGGTCAGTTTTATTTATTTATTTATTATTTTTTTAAAGATTTTATTTGACAGAGACAGTGAGAGAGGGAACACAAGCAGAGGGGAGTGGGAGAGGGAGAAGCAGGCTCCCCGCCGAGCAGGGAGCCCCATGCGGGGCTCTTTCCCAGGACCCTGGGATCATGACCTGAGCCGAAGGCAGATGAGCCACCTAGGCGCCCTGAGTTGGTCAGTTTTAAAGCTGCCTTAAGTTTACTTGGGGTTTTCATTCCAGGGATAGTTGTTACAGCTCTGGCAGTCAGAGGCAACTTGTTTTGCTAATGCTATTCAGGCAGTCATCACACAGAAAACGAGGGCTTTTGCATGGGAGCATAAAAGGCATTTTAATATATTTTAGATTTTGCAGCTTGTATTACTCTGTACTTTATAACGCTCTTTCATTAGAATGGAAATACAAATTTTAAACTTTTGTTTTCATTTCAAGATTTAATATTAACCTGTGTGAGAAGCATGATATGCAGTCTTAATATGAGGAGTTGGCTCTTTCGGGATCTGGAGATAATTTATGGGGAGATATCAGCGTACCTGGTAGTAAGTCAGACCAGCAGTTAGCTGAGCTTCATCTCTGCCCCCTGGGTGAGGGCATCATGGAGGCAGCAGACATTCCACATGGGTATTCAGCTGGGCTACAAAACTGAACTGCAGAGAAGGCAGTGACTTGCGTAAAGTCAGTCAGTGAGCTCCGGGCACAGCCCGCGTTTGCATCCCGATCCGGTGTTCTTCCTGTTCTTGCCTGTGCACACAGCAGCCCCTCTGGGGCGTAGTTCTGGGCGGGAGGGGGGTGAGAGCAGGAGCTGAGGGACTGAAGATGCAAACTCTTAAGTTGTTTCCAGCCTTTTTCTGTTTTATTTAGTTTTCCTAATTCTGGCTGGGAGTTTGAATATATGGATTTTATGCTAATTTCTTCTTTTTCTTTTTCAGTTCAAATTAAGGAAAACCTATATCCTTCTTTCTGTAAGCAGCATCTAATTGTGCAAAAGATCAGTCATGCAGCCGCCTCCCCAGGCAGCCCCATCCGGTGTGGTTGGGCCACCTCCAGCTGGGACTCCTCAGAGCATGTTCTGGTCCAACAGACCGTACAGGAGACAGGCAGATAATAACGCACCCGTGACTCCTATAACTTGCCCACTGCAGCCGGTGACGGATCCATTTGCTTTTAGTAGACAGGCGCTACAAAATACATCGTTGGGCAGTTCGTCCAAAAGTAGCCCACCCATTCTGCAAGGCCCAGCCCCTCTACCAGCATTCCTTCAGCGCACCGGTCTGCCTGTGCCTCACACAAATGCTGGGGATACCCTCCAGGGACCGGTGTCACAGCCCAGAGCAGATGGCAGTCTGTTTTCCAGTGTGTTGACCCCTTCAACTCCACCGGAGCCCGAGGTGAACAGGAGTGCCGAGGTTGCTCCCGGCTCAGAACCTGAAGTTCAGACCCTGCCATATCCTCAGTACATTCCAGGAGCGGGTGTTGACAGTTCTCATGGGGGCCATCCTCACACGAACGTGCTTGGGCCCGATAGGCCCCTGAGTAGGCAGAACCCACATGACGGTGCTACAGCATCAGCACCATCCCCTTCCTTCCCTCAGCCTCGTCAGCAAATGCCGGGGCAGTGGGGAGCAGGGCAGGGAGGCCCACAATCCTCGGGTCAACATTATTGGCCCCGCCCAGAAGGACCTGTTCAGAACGCGGTGCCTCACGCCTCCAGCGTTTCTCACTTCCCTGCTCCGTCCAACCCGCATCAAGGTCCTGGCCACGAGCAGCTCAACCCACTGGTGTGTTTGCCAGGACCCTTAGCCAGTGATGGAAGCAACGAGGCGGCCTACCTACAAAGTGGAAACCATTCAACAAACTTTGATCCTGAAAATGCGTTCAGGCAAAATTCTAGAGCTGGGAATACTCGGGCGAGCCAGGAGCTCAGGCCAAATCCAGGAGTGAATAAAGAGCAGTTGCCAGACCTCGCTCTCGTTAATCCCCTCGCTCAGGGAAATAGCCCAGAAAGCCATTTGCACTACCCCCCAGGGGCCGGGACCAGCCGAGCCCTGTCAGAAGTGGACTCTGGGGCTCTCTCCATGTTTTTCCAAGGTGGGGAAACAGAAAATGAGGAGAATCTCTCCTCTGAAAAAACAGGCTCTGCTGGTCAGTCTGACTTCGACGGCTTCTCCCCCAGCCCCGCACTTGGTCATCCTCCTGCACATGTGGGAGCAGGTGGCATTTACCAGGCCTTTCCCAAAGGTTGCAACAATGAGGCCGCGCAGCAGGGAGGACTCCCACAACCTTACTTTTCTCAGTCTGCAGGCGCCCAGCCTGACCGGCCCCCGGCAGCAAGCACCACCACTGTGTGGGGTAGCACAGCAAGTGCAGGGGTGCACGCGGCCAGCAGCTCGCAGTCTGAGAATGTGGAAGACCTAGAATTCATTCAGAATCAGGAAGTTCTGCCAAGTGAGCCCCTGAGTTTGGACCCTTCCTCCCCAAGCGATCCGGTCAGATACGGGCCCCTTCCTGGGCCAGCCGTCCCCAGGCTTGGTGGTGTGGGCCACACTGGAGGTGGGGGTCCAAATCTCGAGGCCCCGGATTCGTCGCCGCACCCTGTGCGGTCTGATGGTGCGTCATCCGGTTACAGCAGCAAGAGCCACAGGAATCTCCCGAGTGCCGCCGGGCCCCAAGACGTAGGCACTTTCATTCAGCAGGAAGTTGGAAAACCTGAAGATGAGTCTTCGGGGAGTTTTTTTAAGCAAATTGATTCTTCTCCTGTGGGAGGAGAGACAAAGGAGACCACCATGAGTCAGAATCACCACAGTGGCCTGTCCCAGCCCTCAACCCCGGGCCCCCCGAAACCCACTGGGATATTTCAGACAAGTGCAAATAGTTGCTTTGAACCAGTGAAATCCCACTTAGTTGGAGTAAAACCTGTCGAGGCCGATCGTGCCAACGTGGTGGGTGAGGTGAGAGCGGCCACTGCCCACCAGAAGCAGCACAGAGCCGTTGCTGCCGCACCCGACACCTCCCCCGGCAACCTGGAGCAGCCGCCGGACAACATGGAGACCCTGTTCACACTCCAGGTCTGTTCTCCACCCTTTCCCGTACCTGTGGAGCCTGGGCACGGGCTCGTGCACACCGGGGGGCTGCCCTTGGAAACTGTGCTCCTGACAGTGGAGAAAGGGCCTTTGGCCAGAGCCCAGGGAGCTGTGAAGTGTGAGAGCCCAGTGACGACGTTGTGGGCACAGAATGAGTTGCCAGATTTTGGAGGCAATGTTCTTCTAGCCCCAGCTGCTCCTGCGTTGCACATGCCTGTGAAACCCCAGCCGTCGGAAGTGATTCAGCCTCCAGATGAGGGCGTGTCCACGCTGCAGTCCCAGCAGCCGGGCTCCGGCCTCTCTCTGCCGAGTGGGGACAGCATCTGCGCTTCTGAGAACCTCGAGAATCCTCCCAAGATGGGAGAAGAGGAGGCCCTCCCGTCACAGGCAAGTTCCGGCTATGCCAGTCTGTTGTCCTCACCGCCCACTGAATCTTTGCAGAATCAACCAGTCTTGATTGCCCAGCCTGATCAAAGCTATAATTTGGCTCAGCCCATTAATTTTTCTGTGTCCTTATCTAGTCCTAATGAGAAGAATCAGCCCTGGAGAGATGCTGTGGTCGGGGATAAGCCCTCGGCAAGCAGCCGGGCTGTGGGGGGGGACTCTGGAGATGGTGCTGCTGTGTCTGGGATCACGGCCGGCTCTCTCACCCGCTCGCCTCTGCCGAACAGTCTCATGCACAGTAGTTTTCCACAAGTTCCTGGTACTTCGGAAATAGTTTCTAATCAGCCTGCTAATTTGCTGGTTCAGCCACCGCCTCATCCAGTTCCAAAGAATTTGCTTTCAGAAAGCCAAAAGATTGATAATGCAGAGAACGTTCTTCCCGAGTTGGTTAGTAGCCCTGCTGGAAGCGCAGGCGTGACGTTAGTGCCCCCTGCAAACGCTACCTCAGTACCTGCTGGTAATAAGGCAGATTACTCCAGTCATCGGGAAGAAGCTTCTGGAGCCCTAGACTTCACACTAAATAGGACTTTGGAAAATCCTCTACAAATGTATAGCCCATCCCATTCTGACAGCTCTGCGGGTCAGCACACCGTCAGCAGTCACCCGAGACAACCTGGGCCCGGGCCACGTAACTCAGACCATTTCTACCAACAGGTGACAAAAGGCGCTCAGGACCAGCGTGGCCTAGAGAGAGCCCAGCAGGAGCCAGCACCGCCTCTTCCACAAGGGCCCAAAGCAACGTGTCCAGAACCTTCAAACCCAGGAAGTCCACCCTTGCAGGGACAGTCCCAAAACTTGGTCCCACCACCCGCAAGCCCAGCTCCGGGCGACACAGGCCAGCCGCTGCCGGCCCGGCCACCTCGGCCCTCCAGCGCATCAGTCATGTCCACCAGCTCGAGCCAGGCAGCCGTGCAGTCGGACCAGCACTGGCCGCAGCCGCCGCCTCCGGATTTGGCATCTTACTACTATTACAGACCCCTGTACGACGGCTACCAGTCCCATTACCCCTCGCCATACCCGCTGGAGCCTGGCACAGCCCCCCTCTATTACCAGGTATGGTCAAGCTCTTGTGTGACCAGTGGTTCCTTTCTCTCGAGCTGTGCTCCTTGGCAGGCTTTTGTTGCTCAGTGCAGAAGTGAGTAGTGCCATCACCGTGCAGAGTGCCGGTTCCAGGCGCTGCTGCGTGGGCTTGCCCTGCCCAGTGCGGCCCATCTCTTGGAAGTTTACTCTGCACACCTTTGTATTGCATTGCATGCAATACCTGATTCATTTTTTCACATGGCATCCCCCAACTTACATGGCTGAGAAGCCACCTGCTTCCTGTCCCGCTGGTGGCTTCTCTGTAGAACTTAAGTTGTGGGTTGCACACTTCGGGAAACTGGGATAGCCTCTGGAAGCTTCGGTGTGGTTTTGATGTGAAAAATCTACCTGACGAGTAACAGGAAACTCTAGTATTTGAAGTCCCTCCTTGAGAATAAAAACATTTAGAGAAAAAAGGTTTGGAATGTAATCCTAGCAAAACAGCCAAGGGGGATGAAATTCCATAACCTTCTTGAGGGACACGGTGGTCCCAGCAGCGGGGTGGGGGTGGCCGCTGTGCTACACGGAAGCCTTGCCTTTCACCGTGGCCCCAGTGCACGAATGTTGTTTAAATTGGGTTCTGTTCAATCCTGTTACTTTGAAACCATATGGTTCAAGCGTACACATTGGAACACTGTCTGCTTCTCATCACTTGTAGCCCCAGCCCAGCATCACCCAAAGTTAGCTGAATTCACAGGAGCATGGACCGCAAGTTTGAAAAGCACGGTCCTACTGGGCAGGGGCAGGTGGCCATCCTGGGGGCCTCGCAGTCAGAGGCGGCTGGGCGTGCAGGGCTGGTTGGGGTTGGGCCAGGCGGCAGCCCCCATTGACAGGAGGCTTGGGTCTCCTTCGTAGGCTTTGAGCATCTTTGGGAATGAATGAATAGTGCACAACTAAGCACTGAGACCAGTCTAGATTCTGGAAGGAGCCCCAAGGACTCCTGTTGCCACACACCGAAACTGATTTTCGATGCGCCCAGAGCCCACCGGGGCTGGCAGAGCGTGAGGGGAGCAGTGCACCTGCTTTGGGTCCTTTGTGTAGCAAAGGACCTCCCAGGAATTCCAGCCAGAGCCCAGCACACTTTTGTGGGAGCCCGCTCCCTGCTGCTCTTTGGCCTTGTCGCCACAGCCTACAGCAGTGGTCAAGAATAAGTCCGTTTGACGTGATTTCCCCTCTTCTGCCAGGTGATAGCAGAGAGTCAGGCTCGTAGACCAAAGGGCTGATTTCTGTCTCATGCCTGGATCATCTCATCTCTGCTTCGGGTCTGCACACGGCCGCTTCTTAGAGACAGAGCCGCGGCCATTCATCGGTCCGTTAATGGAGCCGAAAGCCTCATGAGAGTAGAATGTGATCCTCTCTTTTGAGGTTTCCTGTAGCTCCAGGACCCACTGAGATGAAATCCTGGTTATTTTGCTTACCTGAGATGGTGTCTGAAACAGAACACAAACTTGTGGGGTCATCGCACCTCCACATTCGAGACTTCAGGGACTAGAAGCCTGATGGAGCCCTCGAGAGTCTCCACAGCTCCGTAGGGGTTGCCTGCTGAGACATTGGCCATCTCCTGAGCAGGAGCAGGGCAGTCCCTTTGAGGAAGATCCTGCCCCCTGCCTGTGGCTGTGGATTTCAGATTGTAGGTTTTCTGTTGTGCATGAAGGAAGAAGGCCCACGTCCAGTGCTGCTCCCAGAGGGCCATCGTCAGTGCCGTGCAGAGCTAGTGCCGGCTGCTCGACATGTTGTGTCTCTACCGGTCTCTAATGTCGCACAAACCCTTCTTCCGGCAGGACGTCTATGGCCTGTACGAGCCCAGGTTCAGGCCCCACGACAGTGCGGCATCTGCCTACGCTGAGAGCTACCGCTACGCCGGCCCTGAGCGACCCAGCTCCCGAGCAAGTCACTGCTCAGACCGGCCATCTGCCAGGTGATGGGCGTCCGTGTTGCTGGCTGTGGTGGTAACTTAGTGATCTGAGAAAGACTGTGCTTGTGAAGAGTTATACCAGCCTATCCCGTGTTTGTGTTTACTCAGCACGGGCAGAGCACAGGAGCACTTTGAAACTGAACGAAGCCCCGCCCCCACCCCACCCCCGAAGCCACCTTGTGCTGTCAGCCAGCGCTGGGTCAGGCCAGACCTTTGGCGGGATCCTCTTGGGGCCAGCTGCTCATCCTACGGCCGAGGCGCGTACACGGCTCTGGCATTTGGCTGACTGGGTGTTCAGGGCCCTTAGACCGTGGCAGCTTTGCCCTTGCACAGACTCTTCCCTACTACTAACCACAGAGGTGCTGGATTCTTGGGCCAGGCAGTCTCGGGCCAGAACACCTGCCACGTCCCTTTTGCAGCACTGCCCCTGTGCTGGAAGGCCCCCGCACACCCCGGTCTGCTGCTCTCTTTCGCTGACCAAGCCCGTCTCGTTCTGTGATTACAGATGAGGGATTCTTTTTTTAAGGTTTACTTACTTATTTTAGAGAGAGAACGCAGAGGGAGGGGCAGAGGGAGAGAGAATCTCAAGCAGACCCCCTGATGAGCACAAGAGTCCGACGCAGGGCTTGGTCTCCTAACCCTGAGATCATGACCTGAGTTGAGATCAAGAGTCGGACATTTAACCAGCTGAGCCACCCAGGCGCCCCTGGATGAGGGATTTTGGAAGATCACGGGTATCATGCCTTCAGCCAACTAGGAACTGAGGCGGGTCCCAGCCCCCCACTTGGAGCCACAGGGTGTGCGGCCTGTTCCAGGGTGTGACCTTGCCTGCCTTCCAGAGCCTTCACCTGTACTCGCTCATTGTCCGCTTGGAGGAAGGACGGGTCACGGGTGTAGGTTTTGTTGCAAAAGTACATGGCTTCTTGAACTCGTAATAGAGGAGGTCTGATTGCCGATGGAGACTTTGTGCGTGCATTGCCTTTCAAAATCTTGGGGTCCTGTTGCTGGTCCTTCAAGGCTTTGATAGCTTGTCTGGAGACAAGGCTCTGTCTCTGTGAGCCTTTGCCTGTTGAGCTGGCCTCTCTGTGCATCGCTGACCTGCACGTGGCCCATACTTCTAGGAGCTTTATGTAAGAAAGTTCCCAAGGGTTTAGCTCCTGTATAGCACCTAGAAGGTGAGGTTTGAAGTTAAGTGTTCTGACTCAGGGAAAGCAACGGGCAAGTGATTTCTAGAACCCCGTAAGCACGGGGGAGGGTGCAGCCAGCGCACAGCTTGCCATTCCAGTTTTCTGTCTGCTTGCCCACCTGCAAGTTAACATGGTACTTCACTCCAAGAGGCCAAAGGTGGCCCTGTGCTGTTGAAAAGTCATCCAACCACAGAGGCTAGGCCGGGTCACACGGGAGTGGTTCTGTCCCATCTTGCAGTGTTTCTGTCCTCCTGCTGTCTTCACCGCTCATTTGTGACACCTCTGGAGAACAGCCTGTTCTTCTTCCTGCCCCGCTTCGGTTGGGGGGAGGTGTGCGCTTGTGCCTGGTGTGAGCGCATCCCTGCAGGGACTGCCTGTGGTGGGAACGTGTCTTTCGTTTGTGTGGCTGTGTCTTTGCTGATGGATGAATGGGCCTGGTTGGTGAGGGCGGCAGGGAGGTGGCATGCTCTTGGTTCTGCCCTGTGTCAGATCATTGTTATGAGCCCACTGCTGGTGTGCTCAGGGGCCCCCACTCTGCAGATAGGTGGGGTCTAAGGGTTCTCTTCCAAAGCCCTGGGAAGGGGCCTTGTTCCTATAGCTGAGCCATGGGAGTGGGTGTTCTTCATAGGCCGCCTCTGCCCTAGGAGCTGTGCCAGCCAAGCCCCCAGGCTCAGCTGGGTGACATTCCTGAAGGGACATGAGAAAAGTTATGTTTTAAAAGTCAAATATTGTCTAAAACTTGTTATTAAGAAACAAAAATGCTAGTAGGTTCTTCTAAGAATCTTATTGCCTCAGGGGCACTTGGGTGGCTTAGTTGGTTAAGCGTCCAACTCTTGATTTCAGCTCAGGTCTTGATCTGAGGGTTGCGAGATTGAGCCCCACACAGAGCTCTGGGCTGGGCATGGAGTCTGCCTGACATTCTCTCCCTCTGCCCCTACCCCTCTCCCCCCATTCACTGCATGCACGCGCTCACTCTCTCACTTGCACCTCACTCTATTGGAGGGAAAAAACAAGAATCTTACTGCCCAGAAGGTCTGACAGCTGACCTTGCTAAGTTCTGCTTTCTGTGCGCTGAGAGTCAGGCTTGTAGCTTGGTCTTTGAGGCTGGTCTCCATCAGGCGCGCTTCAGGTCTCATACTGGTCACATTCAAGAGGCCGACACCAGGGCCTGAGCCAGCTGCCGTCCCACACCTGGGCGCACACCGTCACGTGTCCAAAGGACACAGCACGTGGTCTGTGTGGATGGGTTTGACAGCTCAGTGCGTTTTGCTCCTGCTAAGCGTGATACCAGAAACTCGAGAACCCGTTTGAGCCTTGCCATGCAGGACATAGTGCTGAGCACACAGAGGGCGGCCAGCTCGTTGATTCTGCATGGCACTTAAATAGGTACTTAAGAGATGGATTTTAAAGATTTTATTTATTTGTCAGAGAGAGAAAGAGCATGAGCGGGGGAGCTGCAGGCAGAGGGAGAAGCAGGCCCCCCCGCTAAGCAGGGAGCCCAACGCAGGGCTCGATCCCAGGACCCTGGGATCATGACCTGAACTGAAGGCAGACGCTTCAGCGACTGAGCCACCCAGGCGCCCCAAGAGATGAATTTTAATTAGCTGTGTGGGAGGGGGTCCCATCATCTCCTTGTTACTGCTTCGGACCTACTGATGAGCGTTTTTTCACGACCAGAGCATTTTGCTGAATGTTTGATGCTCTGGCAATTGTGTATATGGACTGACGTCTTGTCCTAGTCTAAGAAGTAAGTAGGTGAGTTGTTTTTAACAGTGCGGTGTGTGCTTTCAGGCAAGGGTACCCCGAAGGTTACTACAATTCCAAAAGTGGATGGAGCAGTCAGAGTGACCACTATGCAGATTATTACTCCGGCCAGTTCGACTACGGAGGTACGTTCAGGATTCTGCATGGCCAACCACTGGTGCGTCCCGGTGTGCAGCTGCGCTCTGTGATCATTTCTTAGGAGACTTTCCTGTTTGTTAGTCCTCGTATGTTTTTAATCTAAGAGCCGAAGTAGTTGAAAATAATCTGTGCCTGGAAATAAGTACATTGCTATTTTTCATTAGGAAATTACAATTTAGTTCTAGTGTTAATGTGTCTTTATCACATTAGTAGTTTCCTTTGACTTTTTAGCAAAGCGTTGTGCGTAGTTCCAGAGTGGCCTTGTCCATATGTGACTACTTAAATTGATTAAAATAAATAAAATGGAACACCAGCTTCCGGGTCGCACCCAGTGGCCTCCTGTGGCTGGGGGCCCCCGACTTGCGTGGTGGAGACGTCAGTTGTCCCCACTGTGCCAGGTGCTGCCTGCTGGTCTTGACGTGCTCCTGCTGGGCAGTGCATGCCCGTCGGTGGCCCTGCCACTCCCTGCTGTCTGGTGCCGGGCAGGGTCCCAGGCCCACAGCCTCTCTGGCATCCCGGCACAGCCACCCCGTCTGCTTCTTCCCACAGGCCTCTCTCCTTTCTACGTTTGTACTGCTGTAGATATAAATTACGCTCACACCTGCCAAAAGTGGGACTTCTAGTTTATAATGTTAATGTATTTTTTTTTTAATATTTTAGTTTTGGAATATTTCTTTAAAACTTTCTGGGTTATGTTAGAAGACATACGAGGGAAATTTGTAGTCACAGGATTAAGTGTTAAAGGGTCATGACTACGAACGAAATTTTAACAAAGATGTCTTCTAGCATGTTTTTTGGTTCTTTTTAATCACGTGTGTTGAGAGAACAGCCGGTGGCCATTAGGTGTTACACGTAATAGGCGGGACACCACCTGGTCCCTTTTCCTCACGGTTAACACTCTCCAAGGTCATGCTGATTTGTGGGAGGACAGTTTGGTTCGTCTAAGAGCCTGGAGGCATTCTTCAGTCCTGGGGCGGTGTGGTTTCTCTAGCAAGGGCCAGAGGAGTGTCTTCCCTTGCCTATAGTAATCAACCACAAATCCCCTGCTTACAGACCCAGGTCGCTGGGACCGGTACCACTATGGTTCCAGATTCAGGGATCCCCGCACCTGTGACCGGAGGTATTGGTATGATGCTGAATACGATGCATACAGGAAAGAAAACTATGCTTATGGCGACAGGTTGGTACAGTGCACTTTAATAAGAAGGGTTGCTCGTAACCAGAGCTTCGCTCCTGCGTCTCTGGCCTCGGGTCTGTCATTTACCCGAGCTGCGCTTGTGTTTGGGATCCTGGTGAGCAGCTGACACGGGGGTCACTGTCTGAAAGAGAAGGATGAACCAGGCCCTCCTGGCAGTTCCCACTTGGGCTGTTGGAGGGGAACTGGCCTCAGCACAGGCGCTGGAAGTCGGCTCCTCCTCTTCTTGGGTCTGGGAGAGGCGTGGCCGCACGCAGCATGAACTTGAAGGATGTTTCTCCAGATCTGAAGGCAGGGATTTGAACTTGGGCTTGGGATGTGGCCACTCTTCCAAGGGTAGGCTCTGACTGGTCTGAGGGTCACGACTCTGGTGGGCTGGTGACGACATGGTGGGGCCTCACTGTTGGGTAGCAAAAGGCCGTCGTCCTGGAGTCACCCACCCACACTCCCCTCTCCTCGCCTCTGTCCCTGCTTCCGCCAGGCCGGAGAGGTACGATGACCCCTGGAGGTACGACCCTCGCTTCACTGGCAGTTTCGATGACGACCCTGAGCCCCACAGGGACCCTTACGGGGAAGAGGTGGACAGGCGCAGTGTGCACAGCGAGCGCTCAGCCCAGAGCCTGCGCAGCAGCTTCAGCTCCCACTCGCATCAGGTGGGGACCCTCTCCCCCTCCCTTCCCGCGTGACTGCACGCCCGAGCCCCCGCGTTTCCAGGAGTTGATTTTTCCCGTTTGCTCTATGTTTTCTCAGAGTCAGATTTACAGAAATCACAGTGTGACTGCTGTTCCCTATGAGGCCCCACACCCCCCCGGCTCCTTGCCTGGCCAGTATGCCTACGGCGCCTACGGCAGCAATTTCAGCAGTGCCCAGGGCTTCCCAGAGTACGGTTATCCTGCCGAAGCTGGCTGGCCTACTGCGGAGCGAGGTGTGTGTGTGTGTGTGTTTGGTTGGGGCCCTGTGCTCTCATAGGTACAAAGGGATGTCGAGGCATACTGCTGGGGCAGCCTCCCAAGCCTGGGGTGATGGAGGGAGTGGATTTCAGCTCGCATGGGAATCGGCAATGGCCTGGCCTGATCTTCTGTGCAGAATACGGGCTGCTGTGAGTCACAGAGCTTGTCACAGCGGCTGAGAGCTGCCTGGCTTGTCCATAGTGGCCACGTCAGTGTGGCTCCAAGGACAGGCTCCCTGCCAGCTTCCTGGGTGCGGCTGCACTGTGTTTCCCCAGTGCTGGCCACTTGGGTAAGCAGTTTGTGTGGGGACATTCCTAATTCCCCTTGAAAAGTTCCTGTGCGTGGACTTGTCACCTGTGCCACGTTCTCAGCTCCTCTTGGAGCTGTTCCATCAAATGCTTTTCCTTAGAGAAGTGCGACAGTGTGTGTCACGTCCTGTGAAAATCTCTCTGCACTTCAGGCATCCGCCATTGTCGTCCTTGTCGGTGCCCCGTGCCCGTCACTGCCAGGAGCCAGCCTCTGAAGAGAGCTGGGGACACGGATGCTCTGGTGGGGCCTCTGAGCAGCCGGCGGCCAGACGCTGCTTCCGAGTAGCCTGTGCTCAGTGCATGGGGCTGTTTTAAAGAAGTTTTGTTTTCAGAAGAGAATAGTTCTCATTTTTAACAATCAAAACATTCTTTTTTTTTTTTTTTTTTAAAGATTTTATTTGACAGAGAGAGACACAGCGAGAGAGGGAACACCAGCAGGGGGAGTGGGAGAGGGAGAAGCAGGCTCCTTGTTGAGCAGGGAGCCCGATGTGGGGCTCGATCCCAGGACCCTGGGATCATGACGTGAGCCAAAGGCAGACGCTTAACGACTGAGCCACCCAGGCGCCCCTGAAACGTTCTTCTGACACATACCTAAGTTCTCCTTTTTGATGGGATATTTAATAATTACTACCTTCCAGTTGAAAGCCAGGTCATCGTAACCAGTCTAACCTAGGATTCCAGCCATATGGGTACCTTGAAAATCTGTACTGTTGATCTGGTCCAGAAGCATTTTTTTTTAATGATTTTTATTTATTTATTTTGAGAGAGAGAGACACACACACACAACATAAGCAGAGGGAGAGGGAGAAGCAGGCTCCTCACTGAGCCGGGAGCCCGATGTGGGGCTCGATCCCAGGACCCTGGGACCGTGACCTGAGCCGAAGGCAGACGCCCAACCATCTGAGCCACCCAGGCGCCCCTGGTCCAGAAGCATTAAAAAATGACAAGCTGGTTGTTTCTTTCTCACTTTATTTACATGTAGCTCCATCAAGACCAACTTCTCCTGAGAAGTTCTCAGTGCCTCATGTCTGTGCCAGGTTCGGTCCTGGGGGTCAGCTCATTAAAGTGATTCCAAATCTGCCTTCGGAAGGACAGCCTGCATTGGTTGAAATTCACAGCATGGAGGTAATTGCGTGAGTAGAAATTCTGCATCGCAGGACAGCCCTCTGAATAAGTGACCTTGGAAGATGTTTTTTTCCCATGAATCTTTAGGTCATAGGTTTTTTTATTGTGCTCGGTTGTTTCTCCCCTCAGAGGTCAGGACTTTGAGTACCTGCGTCGGGTGTTACATTAGACTTCGTTTCATTTGCATATTCATTTTGTCTTTATTCGCGTTTCTGGTTTAGCAGGGAGGACCCTGCTCGTGTTCATCTCATGGCTTTTGGTCACGGGTAGAGGAGCTTCGTGATCTGGTGGCAGGTGGGGTGGGGGGCCCTGTTCTGCGGGCTTGGCAGGCCTCTTCTGTGCATGTATTAGGGCCCTGCCTCAGTTGGAGGGGAGACGTAGAGTTTGAAAATCACGGTGGTAAAGCAGGCAGGCCGGCACTCAGGGCGTGGGGGTCCAGTGGAGCCGGCAGACGCGGGCCGGCGTGGATGTGCACCTGCTCCCCGTGAGCTGCTCTCTCTCTGCCCCCGTCCCCCCATTGTGCCTCAGACCTTGCTGCAGCACATGCCGGAGCAGAAGGAGCTGCGCTCGTTCCCAGGACCACTCGGCAAGTACGTGCCCTGTCCAGCAGCCCACGACGGCCGTGCGGAGGCGGCCACTGCGCCCAGCTTCGCAGATGCAGTTGCTGCTGTCCATTGAGTGTGTGTTCTTTTTTCAGAGATGACACCCATAAAGTGGATGTTATTAATTTTGCACAGAACAAAGCTACAAAATGTTTGCAGAATGAAAATTTAATTGACAAAGAGTCTGCAAGTCTCCTTTGGAGTTTCATTGTTCTCTTGTGCAGACAGAATGGGGTAGGTTTCTTGTTGGCCTCCGTCTCGCCCCCCCCCCCCCGCCCCGGCGGACTTGGGCGGGATTTCTGTGCCAAGCTGTGGGCGGCGAGCAGCGTCCCCATCCAGGGGCTCGCTCAGCAAGTGTCTTAGCGGTGATCTCAGGGAGTGGAATTCAAGGGCGTGTGGTTGGGTCTGCCTCTGTCAGCCTGTCAGGTCATCTGTGGTCTGTCCGTCCTGCCCCTGGCCAGGTCGTGAGCAGTGGCTTGTGCCCATGGGATCTTAACGTGCTCATTTGAGGAGTCCTGTTGGGGGCCTCACCCATGCCGGGACGCCTGCGGTAAGTTCCGTGTGTAGTGACGCGCTTTCTTCTCCTTCCTGCTCCCGCGGCCCCTGCAGACCGTGGTGGGAACAGACCTCGCGGAGCTTTTGTTACGAGACCACAAAACCGCGTGGCTTCCTGGGAAGTCACCCAACGAGGCCAACCTGATTGATTTCACTAACGAGGCCGTGGAGCAAGCGGAGGAAGAGGAGTCCGGGGAGGCCCAGCTCTCGTTTCTCACTGACAGCCAGGCAGCCGGCAGCAGTGCCCTTGAAAGGGAGACCGAGAGGTTCCGGGAGCTGTTGCTATATGGCCGCAAGAAGGTGAGGCCCCGGGCGGGCCCTGGCGTGCACGGTCCTGCTCTTAGGCGCGGTGGCACCTTAGCCCGGCGCCACGGGCTCGTTCTGCGAAGAGCATCTGGTGTCCGGAGTGTCTGCTCCCGGTAGCAGAGCCCTCTTCCAGGGGTCGCCAGCGTCGGAGACTTGCCTGTGCTTGGCCGCACCCCTGCTGCGTATACTTCTCAGGGACAGACCCGTGCGCGGGACAGAAAGCCAGCTGTCCTCACGCAGTTAGGCGTGCGTTCACTGTCTCTTCAGCGGGGTGTGCGCTGGGTGGGTGCCAAGCCCTGCAGGCCACGGAGCGCACGTGTGCTGGGGAAGCTCCCCGGGACTGTGCAGACCCAGGGATGGCCGTGCCTGCGCTCTGGCGGCTGGGCTCTCACGGGCCCAGAGTTCTTAGTACTTTGATGTCGTGATGTGCTTGGAAAGCTCGTATTTGGTAAATAAACAATCCTCATGTGGACGTGGTAGGACGGATCAGAACTGTAGAATCTGTCAGGTTTGCTTATCGTTTCCTCTACCGTGACAAATCCATCTCCTTGAAGAGGCTGTCCTCTTGACGGCTACCCCAGATGATTCTGGACGCAGGGGAGGCCGCATTAGTAAAGGCTCTGTCCGTGTTGAGATGGTGTTCATGGAGGCCTTGTGTGTCGTTCTGGAACTGGGGCTGCTTGCCAGTGGCGTTGCTCACAGTGGAAGGGACAGTCCGAGGTGGCAGGACTGCTGCTCGCTCGTCCTCGTTCCTCGTCTGTGTGCTCCTTCCCTGTGCTGGCTGCTTGCTAGCAGAGAACAAAGCAACAAAGCCTTCGCAGACCCACTGCCACAGGGACTTTGCAACTAGGGCAGATTGGGAGAAGCGGGCTCCTCCTTCTTGTCTGAACCGGGCGCGTGTGTTGGCAGGCCCGTGACTCACACCTTCCTTCAGGTGCACTCTGGCCCCTCTCCCCCGCCCCCGCCCCCACCCCCGTGTAACAACACACGGGCCGTTGCTTCTGCTCACGTATGTCACCGAAGTTGTTCTGATAACTCAGGTAACCACTAAAATGCTTTGCAGGATGCTTTAGAGTCTGCCATGAAAAATGCCTTATGGGGTCATGCTCTGTTACTTGCAAGTAAGATGGACAGCCGGACACACGCCCGCGTCATGACCAGGTAGAGAATCTTACTGTGTAGACTGTTTCTGGGCACGTCCTGCTGGCCCAGTTGCGCTGCCTGGGCAGCTCTTGGAAGCACAGTGACCTGCAGCCCTTGTCACAGAAAGCTGGGGCGTGTTCTCTGCACCATGCTGCTGTCACACCGGCATGGGCTTGCTGGGCCCTCTTCCCTGTGGTTGGACTGCTGAGGGCTTTGTAAACATTTTTTTAACTGCAGAGTTTTCTATGCTCTGGGAAACCATTACGAATTCCTTAGTCTTTATTTCCTTTATTCTTTTGTTCAAATACTGGGCTTTGTGCACTTTGCCTGGGTCAGGCACCCGACAGTCATCAAAGGGCCAAGATGAGACCGGGCTTGTTTCTGCTTGTCTTTTAAATAGGGCTGACTTAGCTCTTTCTCTCTTCGTATCTGCCTAGGTTCGCCAACAGTCTTCCAATCAACGACCCTTTGCAGACAGTGTACCAGCTGATGTCGGGGCGGATGCCTGCTGCGTCCACGGTCAGTGTGCAGGGGCTCTCCCCAGGGTCCCCGTGGTCCCGCTCCCTGTCCGGGCTTGATCCTGTGACAGATTGCCTCCTGGGCCGCAAGGTCTGCACTTTCTCTCGTTCCAGCTTCTGCGTTGTGCTCTGTGAACTCACCTGTGACGAGATGAAAGTGACGCTCTCTTCCAAGCATAAGGGTTTATTGTGTTTTGCTTTTTTCTGACCTCAGTGTTGCGGAGATGAGAAGTGGGGAGACTGGAGGCCACATCTTGCTATGGTTTTGTCCAACCTGAGCAGCAACGTGGATGTGGAGTCCAGGGCGATGGCCACCATGGGTGACACTCTGGGTAGGCCGGGTGCAGGTGCGGGCATGGAGGTGGGGGCACCCAGCACGCCTGGGCATGAGAGCCGCTGTCAGGGTGTGGAGGGCCACGGGGCTTCTCCATTTGTATGGCCTCTCTGGTGTTTGCTGTCCACGTGTTAAGATTTCTGGTAGAACTTGCAGTCACTGAGTCTTGGTCTGCTTTATGTCTCCTCAGCTTCAAAAGGTCTCTTAGATGCTGCACACTTTTGCTACCTCATGGCCCAGGTCGGGTTGGGGGTTTATACAAAGAAAACCACAAAACTCGTCTTACTTGGATCGAACCACAGGTGAGGAACGTCAAGGTATTTGTTTTTCTTTAGAAAGGAAGGATCTCTCCATCAGTTAACCCAGAAATGGCGCGTGTGCACCCGGCGGCAACAGCCTCCCATCTTGATCACGAGGTGTTGATCACATGGCATGATGTGCTTCTGGGTGCCTTGCTCAAGGATTAAAATTCTTTCCTCAACAGTTTGCCGTTTTCAAAGTTTGCGACCAATGAAGCTATTCAGAGGACAGAAGCCTATGAATATGCCCAGTCTCTTGGGGCACAGACCTGCTCCTTCCCCAATTTCCAGGTAAGCTGGAGCCACGCTGGTCTGTGGTTTTTACGAATGGGGTGGTCAGTGTTAGCAAGTCTTTGGTTGTTGAGGGCTTTTGAGCTCTTACACAAAAAGTGATAGTGTTTTTTGGAAATCTTAGGGAGACATCTGTAATGCTTGAGAAGTAAGCTCTGTTGAATTGAGGATTTCATTTGCATTTAAAATGTTTCTTGAGTATATGGTTTCCAGTAGTTTCTGTCCACGGTTTTTAGTGTCTCGGGCAGAGTGTTATCTGGTCTGGGGGCGTGTGGTGTAAACATTGTGTAGCGCAGTGTTAGTGGGGACAGCCATCCTGCCATGCTGGCTGGCCCGGGCACTCGTGGTGACAAGCCCCTCGTGACCAGCCTAGTAAGTGTGTTGAACAGGAAAAGTGAGTTTCTAAGAAGCTTGGTTCCAACTTTCATCTAAAAGCCCTCTGGGGTCGGAACTCAGTGCTGTGGAGGGGGCTGGGGGCACACGTGAGGCACACAAGGTGTCGGAGGAGCTCCAGCTTGGGGGGCTATCGGGTGACGTGGGGGCTCTGGAGGCGTGCTGGGACGACTGTGCTGTGCTCCCTTGTCCCAGGTGTTCAAGTTTATCTACTCCTGCCGCCTGGCTGAAATGGGGCTGGCCACACAGGCCTTCCACTACTGCGAGGTGATTGCCAAGAGCATCCTGCTGCAGCCGCACAAGCACTCACCCGTGCTCATCAGCCAGCTGGTTCAGGTAACGTCTGCTTGAATGTCCTTCCAGCAGCATTTACCCCGTGGGCGAGTCAGTATCACTGGACTTGGGGACTGAGCTGTGACCGTGTAGACACTCGGGGCTTCCTTCTTCAACAGCTTAGAAATTCAGGTGTTCTTGGGCAGGTATTGGGTGTTTTGCGTGTTAGCTTAGGAAGTTTTCAGAGACCTTACCCCACTACGGAAGCTGGGCCATAAGCTTTGAAGGAAGAAGGACCCCATCTCCAGGAAACTCACTGTGGAGCGGTTGAATCTAGCGGTTAACAGCCTGAGCTTCCGGAGTCCAGCAGCCTGGGTTGGGGTCCGTGCTGTTCCAGTGCCAGCCTCAGTTTCTGGCTCTGTACAACAGACACCGCGCGAGCAGCCTGCAGGAGTGAGTGAAGCGCAAACAAGACAGGGCCGGCCTGCGCCCAGGGTGCGAGGGTGCCGCTCTTCCCCTCCCCCGAGGGGCTTCATCCTAGGAAACGCGCTCGCATGATAACCTGAGAAAGCGTTACTGTGGGGAGTTTCAGACGTCTGAGGAAATAAAATAATTAGCAAGTCCTCCTTCCCGCAGCTTCAGGAGCTGTTGAGCTAAGGCCACCTGGTTTCATCGTACCGCCATCCTGCACTGTCCCCACACCCCCCCACCGCCCGTCAGAGTGTGTGCGGTTCTGGATCCATTCAGCATTTTGATCAGTAAAGCCAAGTCTGTGTAGTCGATGACGGGGGCAGCAAAGTCGGCTCTGGGGGGCCCAGGTGCTGGCGGCCTCTGTGCACACGGGCTGCTGGGCTCGCTAGAGCGAATTCTAGGTCCCACACACCCTTTCCAATGACTCGGCAGTACGTGCGAGGTTTCAGGGCAGGTCACCACATGCTTCAGAAACCCTATGTGATGGGAACTATCTCACTGGGCCCTGAAGATGCTTTTTGTTCCAGATGATGGTAGGTTTCAAAAACACGGTCTTCCTTGTCGTGCCAGACAGTAACAGGGCCCTTTCCTCCCTGTGTGTGTCCAGATCGCGTCCCAGCTGCGGCTCTTCGACCCGCAGCTGAGAGAGAAGCCGGAGGAGGAGGCCTTTGTTGAGCCCGCCTGGTTGGTCCAGCTGCAGTGTGTGGACAAGCAGGTCAAGGTGTGAAGTGTGCCCTCGGTCTCAGGGGACAGGATGTCAGAGACATGCTGACAAGTGTGGTTCGCGCCCCCGTCGTTTTCACACCGAGCATGTTCGGTGTGAACGGTACGATTTTAGGGGTGTGCACGCTGGTCAGAGCACTCACGCTCCTCCTGAAGCCCGGACACAGTGAGCGGGTCGGCGGGGCCAGGCGACGCCATGTTGGGCTCTTAGAAATGCCTGCTATTTCTCTCCGTCAGGAGGGCGCCACGGCATGGAGTCGGGACGGGACCTTCCCCCAGCGCTGTCCCAGCACCCCAAGCTCCGAGGCGGGGCAGTACGACGGGCCAGCGCCCACCCAGCCCGGGGGCCCGGGCACCGGCAATCCGCTGCTGGCACCGCCTGGGCCCAGTGCTGAGCACTTGGGCCAGGGGGTGCGGCTGCTGCCTTCAGGTGAGCCCCGTGCAGCTGGAGAAGCAGCAGGCCTCCCCACCTTCCCCTCGCAGCCACTGCTTCCGAACGTGGAGCATTGCCGTTCTGCCTGCGGGAGAGCGGAGGGGACGGGTCCTCCCAGCACGTCAGCCTTCCCTCTCCCCATGCTTGCTCCCTCGGTGAGCCTGTCGGGTCTCACGGCCTTAACCGTTCGTCTGAGTGGGTGGGTGGCCTGCTGAGCCCTGGAGGGGGAGGAGGGGGGTGGGGAGGGTGCAGTGAACACCGAACTCTCAGGCCGCTGCTCCCCAGGTTGTGTTGGGGTCTCGCTGGGGGTCAGGGTCCAGGCCACACATGACATTTAATGATGTCCTCCCCTCGTCCCTAAAAAGTGCATGTTCTGCTTTTCCCCAAACCATCAATGCCCTGGCATCGTCAGCACTCTCTGCTTTGATGATTGGTTCTCTTATCCTGTAACGAAAGAAACGTGGCCACACGAAGGGACACGTGATAAACTGTTGAGTGACCGCCATTTAGCTTCTTCACGTGCCCGGAGTTAGCGCCAGTACCTCAGGCTTCTGTTCTTCGCTCTCTTGGTGCAGCTCCGCCGGCCCGCCCCGACAGCCAGCCGGCCCTCCCCGCCAGGGTGCCATTGTTCCCGGTGCCCCCACCCCCAGGCCCTGTTGAGCTGGGGCCTGGCTGTGGATCCCCAGGGGCTGCCCTTGGCTTTCCAGAGCCCTCTGGGCCTGACCCTGCAGCTCCGTACGCGGGGCCTGGCCTGCCACCTGGTGCACCATCTCTACAGGAAAGTGAGCACACGCCCCAGGAGGCCAGGAGCCAGGACCCAGGTAGGCCTGCTGCAGTGCCGTTCTGAGAGCAGAGCTCTGTCGGGTTTCGTGTTGAAGGAGGTGATTGGTGGAAGAGCCTTCAGTCGTTTGAACTTGAGACAGGTTCTGTTCGTCGGTGTATACAAAGCGTTCTGGAAGCCGTAGGCTGGAGGGCTCGTTGATACCAGTGCTGCTTTCTTCCGGGACTCCGCTGCGTGTCGGCATGTGGAGCGCGAGTGGGTGTCCGGGCGTGGCGGGCTGGCCGTGAGGTGTGCCCGGGCCGGAGCCTGCTCCGCAGTCCCTCGTGGGGCTTCTCATGCCTGTTGTGTGCCGGTCCGGCTCTGTGCCCTTGAACAAAGCCAGACGTCCACCCAGCCGGACTCTGAGCACCGCGGTGGCCCTGTGAGAAGCTGCACTATGTCGCGAGCGCGTCATGTCAGTTCCTGTCGTGTGTTGGCGACACGGAGACTGCAGTGGGCCTCTCTTCTGTTGACAGGGGTGATGGCACCGGAGGCGCTTGGGAGAAACTCGCTTCTGGAGCTGAGAGACGAGGGTTTTGGTGGAAATTTTGCTCATCTGGTACTCTTCCACTTTTTCCCCCCAAGCTCTTTGTTTTCCATAAGTTGCATTAATTAGCCCGAACTTGTCGTTCTCCAGTTGTAGTAAGAGGAGAACAGTGAAAACCACGAAGTTGTCTCTTGAGCTGCTCTTCAGCAGGAGAGCACGCGTAAGGTGTAGTGCAGACCTGGCAGCGAGAGGGGTCGGTGCAAAGCACTGATGGGGGGGGGGAGCGCTTCGAGGTGCAGACAGCCCCCTGCTGGGAGGCCGTGTTGCTGATGGCGACTTCTCCGGCACGGAGAGGCTTCCCCAGTCCTGCAGCAGGGCCCCTGAAACTTCACTGCTCCTCCTGAAGTCCTCATTGCCATTCTCACAGATGTCTGCTAGAAAGAGCACCTCCCTCTGTTGCTGTCCCGGGGAGGGACATGTGCTTTTCTGTGCAGGGCGTCCCGAAGCCTTCTTGACAAACTGGGCCTTCGTGGGCACGCCATCATAGGCACTTGCTGTACCTTAGATTCCGTTAGGCGTTCTCCCACGACGATACTTTATTCTCATGTAAAATGAGAGTTTATGGAAAACAGGGTTTACGCTCAGCGATAAGTATTTTGGAAAAAAAACAAGTCTGTGTTTTAAAACGCCCCCTCCCCTTCTGTGCCCAGCGTCACCTTGGTGCACTCATGTACACCCCTTCTTCTAGCCCCGTAGTGCCCAGTGGACCCCACCCCCCCCGTGTGGAGTCCTGCCGTGCGCCCTGATTCGGTTGCTTGTGAGAGCAGGCCGGAAGCAGGGGCAGCTGTCCCCCAGCCCGCTTCGCTCTGCTCGCGTCACTCACCAATGTCTTGAAGGCTCCTGGGGAGGTGCCCCGGCGAGCCTGCCCCCATGTTGCCTTGGGACAGGGCTCCTCCAGGATGTCGCAGGGCTCTGAGGCCCCCCCGGGTTGGGAGCGTGCCAGCTCCAGTTCCATGCAGCCGCCAGCAGCCGCTCCTGACGTGAAGAGACCTGCGCCAGCTGCCAGGAGAGAGGCCAAGGAGCCCAAGAAGGTGATGCACGGCCCAGCTGCAGCAGGGTGGGGGCCCAGGGCCCGTGGAGGGGGTGCAGCTCCCACAGACAGCTTTCCTCCTACACTGGCGGCGGGGCAAAGGCATTCCGAGTGTCCTAAGCATCCAGTGGGGCGTGCAGAGCTTCATGAGCGTTCAGGTGTCCGTGTCCCTATATAACCACCAGCCAGAGCACAGTTGGAGCGGGACCAGGGGGCCCCGTGTGTCCATGGCCTGTCAGAACCCACCCCTAGAGGGTGGCCTCTTCTGACTTTGGGACCTGTCCCAGAACTTCTTACAAAGGGGGTTAATCTTTAAAAACCATTGTGTCATAGCATCTGTTGTATGCAGATGCTACAATTTTATTTATCCTTTTTTTCTCAGTAGCGGACATTGGCCTTTTTTTCAGTTTGGGGTGGTTCTGTAAAAGCCATATGTGCGTTCTTCTCTGTCTTTTGTTGGTGAAAGCACTTGTTTCTCATGGGGCGTGCCTGGGGCCCAGGACAGCTGTGCGTCCGGTGTGCGAAGGTGCCACCAGTTTTCCTGGGTGGTTGTGCCAGGTGACCTCCCCCAGCAGAGCCAGAGAGGCCCAGTCATTCCTCGTCACTGGCCTGGAGGTCCTTGTCCCCGCACACACGGGGTCGGGCCTCTCCACGGCAGCCTCTCGGCGGGGGTTCGTGGCCCTTCCTGGTGTCGCTTTGCTTCACAAGCTAGTGCGCCAAGCACCTTTCTCGTGTGCCCGTTACCACCTGTGTGTCTTCCTGTGTGGTGCTGGCTTGCGTCTTCTCCCACTTGAATGTCGTGCCACACGTCCTCTGTGAAATGTGTGCTTCCCCAGTATCTTCTTCCCCCAGTCTGCGGACTGCCTTTTTGCTCTCTTAATGTTAGTTTATGCAGGACACGTCCTTAATTTTCATACAGTTTGGTGTATCAAATTTTATTTAACCGTTAGTGTCTTTTTTTTAAGATTTTATTTATTTATTTGACAGAGAGAGGGAGAGAGTGTGAGAGAGAGAGCACAAGCAGGGGGAGCAGGAGAGGGAGATGCAGGCTCCCCAACGAGCAGAGAGCCCCACACCAGGCTCCCTCCGAGAACCCTGGGATCGTGGACCAGAGCTGAAGGCAGACGCTTAACGACTGAGCCACCCAGGCGCCCTGCGTCTTTTCTTTTTTAAAGATTTATCCATTCATTTTAGAGAGAGAGTGAGCAAGCATGGGGGTGGGGGAGGAGCGCAGAGGGAAAGGGGCACCCAAGCAGATTCCCCACAGAGCCCGACGTGGGGCTCGATCCCATGACCCCGAGATCACAGCCTGAGCCGAAACCAAGATCCGCTTAAGCGACTGAGACACCCAGGCGCCCCTTAATGATGAACATCGTAAGGAAACACAAATTTAATTCAGAGTGTGTGTGAGCCTGAGCCGGAATAGGACACGCTGACCGGCCGTGAGCGTGCAGACCTGTGTCACCCTCCGCTGGGGAACTCAGGGTGGCGGGTTTGAGAGCACACGCACCCGCTGCTTCCTCGTCGGTCTGTGTTTTAGTTGAAGTATGGCCTTCAGGGGTTGAAGTGAACGTCCCTGACACCTAACTGCTCCCAGTAGAGGACACAGGGCGGGGGACTGTGTCTGAGGGGGGCCCATAAGGACGTTCCGGGTCTGTTGGCCACTGCTCAGTCCAGGAGAACGCCAGAGGCTTCCATTTGTTGCCATTTAGACAGGAAAAGCTCCAGAAGGCACACTGTTCAGATGTTTTAATTGTAAAATACACATAACATAAAACCCACCATTTTAGCCATTTTTAAGGGCACGGTTTTGTGGCATTCGACGCACGCTGCTCTGTAGCGCCCTCTCCGCCCTCCTCTGGGACCTGTCTTCTCAGACTGGCCCTCAGCCCCCATTGAACACCATCCCTTCCCGCTCCTGCCTCTGTGGGCCTGACTCCTCTGGGTCCTCCGGGAGTGAATCCTCAGGGTCTGTCTTTCTGTGCCGGGCTCACCTCACCCAGCACCGTGTCCTCAAGGTGGCTCTGCTGGTTTTTACATTTAGAGTAGTGAATCCTGGTTCTCTCGTTGGCTTCCTGGGAAAAAAAGGACCGAAGCTTACTTGCCAGACGACAAGAACAAATCGGTGAGTGTCGTGGAGGGCGGGCCCTGAGGGGCGTGCCGGCTCCTGTGCACAGTGGTCGCCGAGCAGGCCAGGGTCTCGTCTCCCGGAGGCTGCCGTGTCGGGAGGAAGCAGGTGCTGCTTCTGCTCAGCTCTGCCTCCTGACGTCTTCCGTTACTTTTCACAATCGTGGCAGATCGTCTGGGATGAAAAGAAGAACCGATGGGTGGATGTAAATGAGCCAGAGGAGGAGGTAAGTCAGAATTCCTCGCGCTTCCCTGGGCCCCCGCTCCCCACGCCGTCTCGGCGGCTTCGGGTCCGCGGGAGGGTCTCTGAGCCGCTTTCCCTCCGCAGAAGAAGGCTCCACCCCCACCACCAACCTCGCTCCCCAAGGCTCCGCTCGCTGCACCCCCCGGGCCTGGAGGGCCCCCGAGGGCCGCTGTGAACATGTTTTCTAGGAAAGCAGGTAAAAAAGTCAAGCCGGAGATCAGAGTTGGTGTGAGAACTTGCTTGTTCTCCAGAGATACCAGAGCTTAGGGACGGACCGTGAGTATATGGGTCAGATGGCGGTCCGTCTGTCTGCAGAGGGCATCCGGGTTCTCTGCGGGCGGGTCCGCAGGGAGAGCTCCCCTTCCCTAGAGCGTGAGAGCCCTGCTCAGCAGCCCCCGAGCTGGTAGCTTCGAAGTGCTGGGCGGGCACCTCCCCCGGGTGGCAGCCGGGCTGTGCTGTGTGGAAAGTCGCGTCCCCGCATGCTCTTCCCGCTCGGGGAAGGGGGGGCCCCGGGGAGCGGGGTCATGTGGTGCGCTGACCTGAATCTGCCGCTTCTCCCGGCCCAGCTGGAGCCAGAGCACGCTACGTGGATGTTTTAAACCCCGGGGGGCCCCAGCGGAGTGAACCAGCTCTTGCTCCTGCTGAGTTTTTTGCTCCTCTTGCCCCACTCCCGATTCCTGCTCACTTGTTCGGACCAAACCCAGGTAGGCACTACGGGACCTTCTGACCTCTGACCCCTTTTCTGAGAGCCTCCGGCTTTCATCTCCCATAGGAAGAGTGACCCAGCCGATGTGCGGGGAGCCTGGGTTCATCTGCTCGTTCACGGGCTGCTTTCCCTGTCCCCCACGAGTGGGACTGTGGGAAATGTAAGGCCAGCAGTGTTTTAGATGGAATGACAACTTCCCGCACTGTCCCCTTCACAGACGCAGAGGAAGCCCCCCCTGCAGAGGGGGCCAGCAGGGAAGGGCAGGCGCCTGCAGGGGGTCCAGCCAACCTAGAGCCGGCCTCGGAGCCCCAGGTGAGCGGGGACACAGGACAGGCAGGAGGTCGGTGAGGGTTTGCCCCGCACCCTGCCCAGGAAAGTTGGCCCCGACCTTTGCATCAGGCCCGCTGTGCACCCAGGGGCCGAGTCTGTGTCTGTCGGAAGTCTCTCTCCCTCGAACAGAGGTCCTCAAGAGAAGCAGAGGATAACCATGTGCACGTGGTTACTGGAATCCGTGTCATAGAGATGTTTTTTAGTTTTGGGAACTTGCACGTGAAATAGGATCATTCAGAGTTTGGTGTCTGAGGTGGACACAGTGGATTGCAAGCCTGGTTCCCCAGTTAATGAGCTGCTTAACACGTAAGGGGTTACGTAACTCCTCAAAGCCTGTTTCCTGCTCGAAGATGGGGTGATAATGCCATCGCAGGGCCCAGGGTCCGCGTTCCCTAGGGATGGGCCGTCCGTCCGCAGTGGAGCCCGTGGGCCCTGCAGCTGTTCAGAGGGATGCTTTACACCGAGCGGAGCGCCTCGGCGCCGGGGCCAGAGGGGGGCCGTGCCGTTCCGCCCAGTGAGGAGGACTGCATGTCTTCTTCCTCTGATAGGCGTTCGGCTCCTCGGCGTCGCTCCCCGGCCCTGAGCTCCCACCCACCCGTGAGGACAGTTCCCAGGGAGGAGAGGTAAGGCGCTCCCCGTAGGAGAGGACCTTCCCCGAAGCCAGACCCGGCACTTCACTCGTGTGTATTGTCCAAGTGGCTTCTTCTTTTAAAAGCGAGTGTTGACGAGTCGGAAAAGGCGGTTTAGCAGCTTTTTAGAACCTGCAAGGTGTCGTGTTCTCGCACAACAGACGGTCCCAGTGGTCCGTGCAGAGTTGCCCGGGAGCCCCACGTCGAGCAGAGCTGGAGCACACCCGCCCCAGGCTCCGCTCACACAGCAGGGCTGCCGAAGGCCCCCAGCTAGGGGCGTGTTCTCCATAAAAAACTGTCCACGAAAGTAGGCGTTTTAAGCTAACTCTGGCTTTTCTCCCATTTGGACTGTACTGATTCTAACGGCGTCATGAAGCTCTCTGGGGTTAAACTGACTGCTTGGAGCAGCAACATGCATGTTGATTTTTTATTTGTCTGTGTTTTGTGTGTGTTCTTGCTGTTTTGTAGCTTTCACGCTGTAGTTCAATGAGTTCATTATCACGTGAAGTAAGCCAGCATTTTTATCAGGTACCTGTGGCTGGCGGTTCTCACTGAACACGAGTTGAACTGGGTCGCCTCTGTGTTCCCTCCGAGAGCGCTGTGCTGGCTGGCCGCCGTGCCCGCGTCGCTAACGCGCCCCACTGCCTCCCCGTCCGCTGCACGTCAGACGATGCAGTGTTCCTTTCTCCCAGGGCCCTCGGGGAGTCGGGAGCCGTCCAGAGGCACTGACAAGCATTTGGACCCCAAAATGGTCCTAGTGAATGATTGCAGTCTTGTAATTGTGTTCTTTCTGGATTGGTTTTTCCACATGGCCGGCCTCTGGCGTAGGCTCGCCGTGTGTGAGTGGGTCTCAGAAGCCCGCCGGGGGCAGGAGGGACTTCTGTTCTCTGACCGAGCGCGAGACAGCGTCTCGTGGGCCAGGCCGAGGGCGGCGGGGAGCTGTCCTTTGGCCAGTCTGGGCGGGAGATAAAGGAATGCCTCATCTTTTCTGTGTATCGTGGAACAACGCATTTCCATTGGCTCAGTAGAAGGCTTCGTGTGACCTTTTTATTTGCATACTAAAACACTGGATTTGATAGCTGGATACCGGAGGTCTGAAGTAATCAAAAATGTTTACTAACTGCTTAAAGTCGACGCTAATGGGACGTCTTGGTGCCGTGCACTCCTCGTTCCCGCATGTTCTGGTGTTAAGGCATTTCTCTCTGCATGCTGCTTTCTGTCTTAACCATTTTCCCGTGAACCTGACGTAATTAAATCCAGTGTTGCGAGAAGTGTCTTCGACCTGCTTCGGTGGCTTCCTTAGAGCACTGTAAACGGTCCCCCAGGAGTAGTGTCTGTGTTCACGAAGGGAGTAAACTGCTGTCACGGCACTGTGTTGACACGGGCTCTCTGTGGTTCTCAGGCTTCCAGTGCCCACCCCCCTGCAGGGGCCGCTCCCGGGGCAGCCGTGCCCTTCTACAGCCCTGCTCAGTTGGCACAGGTCAGTGCTCTCCTGTCCCCCAGCCCGTGCTGCGACCCACCGCGCCCGTGCCCCTTCTCCCTGGTCTGCCCCTCCCCTGCTCCTGGCCGAGCGGGGGCTCCTGCGCTTTCCTGCTGACACGCTGCGCCGTGGGTCTGGGTCTGACTCCCACGTGCTGGCCTTGGCCGCCCTTCACCTGCCAGCCCATGTCCTGCAGTGTACAGACTGGCTGCCAGTTTGGGGGGAGCCGAGGAGTGGGGAGGGGTCGTCCTGGCATTCAGGATAGAAACTCTCACCTGAGCCCAGGTGTCCTGGTGCGGCCCCTGCCCTCACTGCCTGGGGTCGCCAGACCTGCTCCCTCGGCACCTCGCCACCCCGACCTCAGGGCGACCACGTCCCACTCGAGTTACAACCTGGCCGCCGCGCATCTGCTTTTCTGCTCCAAGATTTTTTTTTTCTTGTCCTGTTACCTCCATCTTGTAGCCTGTGCTGTACACGAATTCTTTGATGTTCGTTCCCACTAGGATTTGCAAGGGGGCAGAGGTAAATGCCCATGTGCTGCCCACGGGTTCTCCTGGGGCGGCCGCCGGCATCGGCCTCCCCTCCCACCACCCGACAAAACCGCAGACACCTTTAAAGAGACCGCCCGATTTGGTCCCCACCTGGTCGGTTACTGGGGGCTGCCCGTGGGTCGGTGTAGACGGTCCCGCACACCCGAGCCTCGCGGGTGTTCCCGGGATGCTGCCGGCCTCGGAGGCTGGGCGCGTGGAAGTCAGCGCTCTTCCTTGTCTTTCCAGGTCTCGGCCCCCTCGGGAGGCGCAAGGATGGGGAGGATTGGGCAGAGAAAATACCCGGCGTTGAGCTAGAAGGGTCCGCGTCCCGGAGTGTAGCATCTGGAACCCTGAAATCATTATTATGCTCCCCCGAGAGCTCCGACGGGTCACCTGCAACATCCCCGTGTTCCCGAGTGGGCACAGGAGTGACCCCCACCGTGATCGTACCTGTTCTTCCTCCCCCCCCCACCGTCTGTGAAGGGCGGCCAGGGCCAGGTGCACAGCTCCTGTACGAGGCTGCCCCAGACGGGGAGCTCTTTGCTCCTTCGTTCACCCAACAGTGATTTAAGGGTAAAACAGTCTCAGTTGTGGAAGAGCGTTGTGCTGGGCGAGGCTGGAGGCATCTTGGCTGCAGGAAAGACTTTGCTCTTGAGGAACCCAGGTGTCTCTGCAAACCTAACCGTTCCTTATGCGCCCCCCCCCCCCCCCCCCGCCAAGGGTTCTTTAAAACGCTGAGTGAAGAGCGAGCCTTGGGGCCAGGAGAGGCCCCACTGCCTGCCTGGCGGCCCTGGGAGGTCCTTTCTGCGTCAGAGTCCTCAAGGAACTGTGGACTCGGTTTAGCGAGAATTCGGTTAGCTTTCTGAGAGAGGCCCGAGTCACTGAAGTGCATCTCTGTCCGGTAGCAGAGACATCTCCAGCTGCTTCTTTGTGTCCCATGCGACCCAGGGGCCTGGCTTTGCCCGTCCACGAGAGGCGGTCCTGCCTCTGACAGCTGCGTCCCACACGGGACTGGTCCCCATGGACCCACCAGTACTAAAACTGTCACTGTAACAGATTGGATTTGGGTTTTTCCAGGCTGTGAATAGCCTGATCAGACTCCTCGTCAGAGAACCGTGAGGGGCTGCCACGACCTGTGTGTGATCATCGACCCTGTGCTCGGTCGTGACTGGTCTTCACGGCGCCATCCACTTGCCTTGCTTTCTCTCGCCTGACGTCCTCTCGGGTCGGTGACATCTTGAAGAGGGCGGAGACGACTTTGCTGACACGTGCTCCGAGTCTGAGGCCCTGCCTCCGTTCTCCCACACCAGATCTTCCGCCGGTCGTGTGCCGACCACCAGCCACCTGAAACCACAAAGGGAGAGCCCTCCCCCCGGACTCCAAGCTTTACGGCTTCATCGACTGTTCTGAAAATTACTCACATTCTTGTTAGCTCTGAAGAAACTGCAGAAAAGATTTAAATATTTATAAGAATCATTAGAAAATAATTTCTGTAGGTTCTGCTGGGGAACGTAGTTTGGTATTTTAAATCTAAGTGCAGAAATGGTATAACTGTGGAATTCGCGCAGGCCTCCCGTTTCCCTGGGGCCCTGGGTCATCTAGGAAGGGTCACCCACGTGCACGTCTGGGTACATGACCCCTGTCACTTTGAGAGAGGCCGGGGCGGTTGCCCGGGCAGCAGCCTCTGTGTCCCTTGGTCCAAACTCAGTGGGGTCCTGGGACCCCAGACCCTCCGGGCACCCCCCAGCTTCCTCCACCTGGCCTGCCCGCCGTTGCCTGCGCCGACTGCCAGCAACTTTTGATTCAAGAAGCTCCCTCCCAGGCCAGGCGGGAGCTGCTATTTTTCCTAGATGCAAATTGTTACACTGCAAATTGGTAAATAAAGTATTTTGCGCTCGCAAGCGCCCTCATCTGTTCCCTTTTGTCTGTGGGTCACCAGGGGTGGTGTGGGGGGATGGGACAAGGCCCCTGCCTGCGGGTGGGGGCAGGAGGGGGGGTCTGCTGGGGAACCCACGCCCACACCCACCCACCCCCGCCTTGACAGCAAGTGAGGTGCGTCCCTTGGGCAGGCCCGGTGTGGCCCCCCCACCCCTGGAGCCTGGGGAGCCGCAGGGTGGGGGAGGGGCGGCGCTCGCGGGCGCGCTGGGTCCTCCGGCCGCTAGGGGCCGCTGCGGGGGCCGAGCCCGGGATGCCGCAGACGCCCGTTGCCGGGGAGCGGCGGCCGGGCCCGCAGGGCCGGGGAGCCGGCGGCGCAGAGAGGTGGGCGCGGGGCGACCCCGGGCAGGGGTGCGGGTCCGGGGCGCGGGGTGACCCCTGGGCGGGGATGCGGGGCGCGGGGTGACCCCTGGGCGGGGCGGGGGCGCGGATCCAGGGCGCGGGGCGACGCTCTGCAGGGGAGGGGACTCGTATCCAGGGCGCGGGGCGACCTCTGGGCGGGGATGCGGATCTGGGGCGCAGGGTGACGCCTGGGCGGGGGTGCGGGGCGCGGGTCCGAAGCGCGGGGCGACCCCTCGGCGGGGCGGGGGCGCGTATCCGGGGCGCGGAGTGACCCCTGGGCGGGGGCGCGAGTCCGAAGCGCGGGGCGACCCTGGACGGGGCGGGGGCGCGGGTCCAGGGCGTGGGGGTGACCCCCGGGCGGGGACAGGAGCAGGAGTCCGGAGTTCAAGTTGACCCTTGGGCGGGGGCGGGGGCGGGGTCCGACTGCGCTGCGGTCGTTGCCCTGGGGACCCCGCGGCGGCCTCACTGGCTCCCAGGTTCTGAGCCTCGGGCCTTTGGTGGCGGTGGCGGCTTGGCCTCCAACCTGCAGAGGGTACCTCTCTTGGGGCGGGGTCTGCGGGAGGAGCGATGGGGGTGGGCACGCAGGTGAGTGAGGGCGCAGGGACCCCCCCCATCCCCATCGGAGGCTACAGGCACTGGCCTTGACCTTGGGGTTATGGTTCTCCCCTGGTCACCCTTAGCACCCCACGGAGCGGCAGGCCGGTCGGCGTGGTGGCTTCCCATCCTGAGAGAGCCGCTTGCGCCCACCTCCCAGGAGGAGGCAACGGGCGAACGTCTCAGTGTGTGTTCTTGCTAGACTGCTGCTGGCCTGTCCCTCTGTCACCCTGGACCACGGCGGTGCCGTGGGAGCATTCACCTGGCATGGGGGCCGTGGCTGTGGGAGGCCGATAGCTGGGTTTTCCTGTAGGCTCCTGTGGGAGACAGCGGGACTTCAGGGCTCCTAGCCATGCAGCAACGGGCCCTGCCCCGACCGGCCGGCCCGGGCCTGAAGGGGAGCCCCTGTGCCTTCTCTCCTCAGTGACTGCCTGCCGACGTCTGACCGTGCATCCCTGACCCTGGGCTTCACCGGTAGCGCCCAGCGGGAGTTGTCTCCTGGGGCCTCCCCCCGGGGCGGGGGGGCTGGGCTGCCAGCACCTGCGCTCTGGCCCCTAGACTGTCCCAAGGTAGCGGGCCTGGGCCGTTCAGAGGCATCTCCCCCGCAGCCTGCCGCCTGGGGGCATCTGCAGCCTGAAGACAGAATGCTCAAGGGACAGCTTCCAAACACGGGCAGAGGCCTCGCAGCCCACCCAGGGTCCCCGCCTACCAACAACGGTCAGGGCCCTGAGAAGAGCCCGGTGCTCCCTCTGAACCTTCCAGCACAAATCAGCAATGAGGACCCACAAGCCAAGGCCACACCCTTCACCCCAAAGCCACCGACGAGGCCCCGGCTGGAGCGAGCTCTGTCACTGGACGAGAAGGCATGGAGGAGGCGGCGTTTTCAAACCAGCCACGAGGACCTGGCCGCACGCAGTGGGGCCAGCCCCTCTAGGGGCTCCTTGCAGGACGAGGTCCCCAGGGCCCCCACCCACACCGACTCCCCACCCTGCCTGAGCACCTCCTTGCAGGAAATCCCCACATCCCGCAGGGCCCAGGGCAGCGCCGGAGGGAGCCCGAACTCGTGGGGTCACTGTATCTCCGGAATGATCGGCACTTCCCTGGACCTCCTGCACCGGGACGGGGCCTTGGCTGGGAGCCCCAGCAGGCTGCCGGCTGTGGGCCAGAAGGTGGCCTCCAATGCCCTGCGGTCAACAGACAGGGTGGACTCGGTTCAGACCGACTGCAAGTCCCGCCTGCAGAGCAGACTGTTCCGGGCCCACAGCAGCCTGGGCCCCAGCCGGCCCCCAAGCCCCCTGGCCTGTGATGCCAAATCCTTCAGCCTCCTGGCGCCCATCCGCGCCAAGGACGTCCGGAGCAGGTAGGGCCTCCAGGGGGTCGGGGGGGTGGGGGGCATCCTCTGTGGCTTGTTTTAGCGTTCGTGTGCAGCCTCCTCGAGAAGCACGTGAAGGTTTTCTTGTAAAACTGTGTGGTGTGGAGGTGTGGAGGCTAACCGCCCAGCTCCTTCCCAGAGGGACACCCCTTCCAGAACTTTCCCTCTGTGTTTCAGCATCACTCAGAGCACGCGTGCCTGTGAACCATGGTTCAGAGGCATCCGTGACCTTCTGCACACAATGCCGTATCTCGTTGGCTCTCTCTGGTTCTGAGCGTCGGGACAGCTTCCTGGGTCAGCGTGGGTGTGTCCGTGTTGCCCTCTGTGTGGCCGCAGGGTCCCGCCGTGTAGCCTTGAGCGGTGCTGTCACTTCCGCACTCCGTCGCGGAGGGGCCTCCCGGGCCCCGGCTGGTGCTGTAGGCCTGCAGCGCGAGCAGCCGGGGCGGAGCTCTGTGCGCCCACCAGGCTGCCGGGACAGATAGCTGGAGGGGGCCTCTCGGGCCTCAGAGAGGGGGCCCCCTGGGCCGCTCGCTGGCTGCAGGGAGGGCGTGCAGGGCCCGATTGGCTGCACGTTGCTTCCAGGAGTGTCGCAATTTCTCTGCGGCTCAGACTGTTTGCTGAGCGCCCCGTAGTCCATCAGCTCCCACTTGGCCCTACAACGACAGAGGACGCTTGGTTTCCAGGCTTTACGGGACTTTAGTGGCTAATGCGTTTTGACTTTATTATAGCTTCCAAAGAACCTAGCCAGGCGCTTCCCCCCCTGATGCCTTTCCTTCGCTCGTGACTCCTGGGCATGCTTCTGGCTCCAGCCGACAGACCGGGGGTCCCGGATACTTCCAAGCCCAGCCTGTCCAAGTCTGGTCTTCCCCGGGGACCTCAGTCGTGGGGCCCCCGCTGCCACTCTCCTGCCACTTGGCCCAGGCCGCTGCTCCCTACCAGGGTTGGGCGGGTTGTTTGAAGCACACACAGGCCCTGACTTGGGGGTCCCCGCACCACCCACTCCCCAGCATGGCACCCAAGGCCCCGGGTGAGGCCCTGGCCCCACTTCCCTCACCAAATTCCTCACCACCACTCCACCTGCTGCCCTCTCCCGTCCACACCAGGCCAGCACCAGCCCAGCTGGACCAGAGCCAGCAGATGGTGGGATGGTCACTGCACTGGTGTCCGTGACCCAGGACCCCAAACCAGAAGTCCTGAAACAACAGGACCATATTCTCTCCCAGTTCTGGAGACCTCCAGTCAGAAATCCCGGTGTCGCAAGGCTGCGCTCCTTCCGGAGCCTCCAGGGGAGGGTCCCTCCCGCTCTTCCAGCTCCCGGCGGCCCCAGTGCCCCTCCGGCCTCTGCCCTCACCCATCTCTCCTCCCACAGGGGCGCTGGTCATTGGATCTAGTGCCCACCCTCCATCTGGGACGCTCCCACGTTGCCATCCTTAACTAACCACGCTGCAAAGCCCCCGTGGCCACCAGGGGTCCCCCGTGTGGGTTCTGAGGGTCAGGAGGCAGAGGAAGCTGATGGCGAGCCCTGCCGTGCCGGACAGAACCGGTTCCTCCGCTAGGGTTTCCGGAAGCCGGCGAGGCTTCGTGCACCTGCAGTGTCACCCCCACGGGAGCGGTGTGTGACTCGCACACCGCTCGTTCCAGAAGACGGGACTCTCGTCTCAGAATCGGGTCCTCGATTCACTGTTTTCAGACGAGCAGCAAACAGCAGGATGATGGGGATCCCTCACCCCAGTTCTGCGGCCTGAAGACCCCGTCTCAGCCCCTCGGTGTGCTCTAGAACGGGCATGAGCACACTTCCTCTGAGAAGAGCTGGAGAGTCAGCGTCCCCCTTCCGTGGGCGTGCGCACATCTGCCGGGGTCGGGGAGAAGCAGACCGCCGCGGCGGGGCGGCGCCTCATTTAACGGCACCGACGTTTGGATTTTAGGTCATTTTCCCGTGTCACGAAACACTGGTTTTCTTCGCCGAACCGTTTGCAAGCGTGAAAACGGTTCTTAGCTCACAGACTGGCCACAAACAGGCGGGACCTGGCCGAGGTCAGAGCGGAGACCCCCGTGCTCAACCGGCCAGCTGCTGTGGACGGTGCGGGGCGCGGGGTGGAGAGTCGTCAGAGGCTTGGAAAGTACTCGGGGTGTCTGTTAACAACGTTGGGCCGGTTTCTCAAGGACGCTGCCGAACGAGCCGTCCATTATGAAGCCCGGGTAAGCCGCGGTGGCGGGGCCGGGCCGAGCGGCCGCAGGGGAAAGGTTCTCCCACGTTCCGGAAGGTGGAGGCCGGCGGGGGAGGTGTGTGCGGGGCAGCGTGGAGGGGCGCGGGGTGGGGAGAAGGGCGGAAGCCAGGTGCGATCAGCGGCACCTGGTGGTCCCCCCCAGTGTTCGGACCCCACCCCCTCTGCAGCCCACTGCCCCCCCCCCCCCTTTCCCTGCACCGCAGTGCCCGGCTGCCAGGCCTTGGCACACAGCCCGCTTGGCCTACCCCTGACAGACGGGACTGGACAGCCCTGCCTGCTGGGAACAAGGGGGGGCCTCAGAAGGAACGATCAGCCACCCCGGGTGCTGGAAAGAGCACTTTGAAAGAGCCCTCACTGGCACGCGGCCATCAGGGTGATGGCTGACAATGAGGGCTGTTCTTGTGGACTGATCAGGCCACCATCTTGGCATCACTGGAGTAGGGATAGGACCCACGGAGCTTATTGGGGTACATCTGCCAGGACATAGGAATGGAGTCTAATCAGCCTCTGATATGACCAACACTCAGGAGACGATGGAGGCCCCCTCTGGGTGTGCAGGGGGACGGGTGGTCAGTGTCTGCAGCAGATGGATGGCACTAAGAGACCTAGGAGACAAAATGACCAAATACAGGAATGGCCATTGCCTGGGTTCTGATTCCAGGAGTGTCCTGACTGATCTCAAGCTGGGTTGGAAGAAGGTTCTGGAAGGAGAGCTCCCAGCAAAAGGAGGACCACAGACAGTTGGAGAAAGACAGGCGGCCACAGGTGGACACCGTGCAAGAGGAGAGGTGACACAGGGAGGCTGGTGTCGCGCCCTAGCACGGGTGACCGGGCCTGTGTGCACATGCTGGGCTCGCCCACCTGTGCAGGCGAGAGCAGCCACGAGGCCACCGGCTGGACAAGGGCACAAACGCAGTCTTAGCCCTTTTTTGTTCGGTCCGTCGGCTGAGGACGGTTTTCTCATGGTTGAGAAGACGGTGCTACTGTTTCACGATACGTGAAAATTACAGGACACTCAGACTCTGCAGTCCCCAGATGAAGCTCTGTGGCCGCACGGGCTCGCCCCGCTGTCCGCGGAGCCCAGCAGGGCCGGGGCCGGGGCCGTAACCATGCGCACGCCGTGCTCCGGAACTCTTGAAACGAGTTGTGACCGGCGGTTGTCGTGAGGGTGGACGTGCCCCCTGTAGCTTTCAGGGCCCCCGAGGCCACGCTGAGGTGGAGGCAAGCCCCTGGCCCAGGGCGCGCGTTGCCCCAGGCCGCTGCTGTCCAGGGCCAAGAGCCCAGATGTCACCTTCAAGTCCTTGGTCTCAGGAGGCGACCGAAAAGTTGAACGCGTGCTGGTGTTTGTAGAATTGTGAACACAGCGGGTTTTCCAAGAGGGCAGTGGACCATCGCGCTATGCCTCCTGCCAACCCGTGGGCTCTCAGGAAACCCCTGAGAAGGGAAGCCTCCCGAAAACTGGGGTTCCACACAACTGCGGGGGCCTGAGGTTGCAGGTGTGCCGGCAGGTGTGTCCCTGCACCTGGCCCCTCCCTGGGTCTGCCCGTTCAGACCCTCGACTTCCGGCTGCCCTCTCTCCACAGGAGCTACCTGGAGGGGAGTCTCCTGGCGAGCGGGGCACTGATGGGGGCAGAGGAGCTGGCCCGGTACTTCCCAGACCGCAACATGGCCCTCTTCGTGGCCACCTGGAACATGCAGGGCCAGAAGGTAAGCCGTCCACTCCCCACTCGGGTTCTCTCCTGGGGCCTCCGCGCCGCACACCGTCTGCCTGGCCTCTCCCCAACACCTGGGTCACCCAGAAGGCCCCTGCCTCACCCACCTCCCCACTGCCTGGGGACGGAACGTGGTTTTCTTACACATGCATGTTTGTTTTTAGGATAGCTTTAGGCTCACGGCGGATTTGAAGGGAACAGAGATTTCCCTAGAGCCCCCGCCCCCACGCACAACCTCCCCGTCCACACCCCACCGCTGGGCCAGCCTTGACCGTCCGGGAGCCTGCACAGCCTGGTCTGGTCCTTGTCAACTTGGGGTCACCCTGGGTTACGTTCACTCGGCAGCTTCTGTGAGCAGGTGACAGCGGAGGCCTCTAGCCGCTCTGCCAAGACGGGTGCTTTGTGTCCTGACCACGCACAGGCCAGAAGTCTGCACCCTCATCTCTGGCCTGTGCTCCTGGGGGCTCCTGGACACTGTGCAGGTGGCTTTGTCTCCAGCTCAGCCGTCTCTCCCCGGGCCTCCCTCCTTGCAGCAAGGACTGTCGCCGGGTCGGCGGTCTCCGTCCCCCGCATGTGCTCTGACTTCTGGGGGCTGGGCGTGGAGTGCCCAGCACGCCCCTGGGTGGGGCGAGGGGGCACGGTGGTTGTCATGGTGACATCACAGAAGGCCCGTCCCTCCACACAGTGGTGCCCCAGGCTGGCACTGGGGGATGGGCGCTGCAGGGGAAACAAGGCAGGGCCGCCACCAGCACAGTTTGGCTGAAGAACCAGGGGCCCTGACGACACAGCCCCCAGAAGGAGACAGAAGTGATTCTCCCTCGGGCTGAAGGAGGCAGGTGCCCAGGCCGGTGGCACCACTGTCCATGGGACGGCGCTCTTGTCCAGGGCCCTGAGGGCTTGGAGGCCATGACATGCAGCCGCAGGGTGGGGGAGGGCTCACCTGCAGGATCAGGGCGCCCGGCCCGGGCAGCACCACCTCCCCACCGGAGTGCATCTGGGGGCACGGGCCACGTGGTGAGGGCGCGGCACAGATGCAGGCGTGGCGGTGACCAAGTGGGGTGGAGGGCGGCCTGCCCAGACCTGAGGCTCCCCTGGACGCGTCCCACGGGCAGCGCTGGTCCCCGTGCTGCAGGAGAGGCTGGGGCTGCTGGCTCTGCGGGAGCCTCTTGCTATACACGGTTCTTTGCAGGAGCTGCCCCCAAACCTGGACGAGCTCCTGCTGCCCGCCGAGGCCGACTACGCCCAGGACCTGTACGTCGTCGGGGTCCAGGAGGGCTGCTCCGACAGGTAAGGTGCACCCCTGCCCCACGTCTGCCCAGCCCGTCAGCCCCCCAGTCCCTGGGAACGGCGCTGAGGTCGGCCTTCGGGGCGGAAGCTGCTGTGGCCCGAGAGCCCCATGTGGGGTGAGGCCCGAGGCCACAGCAGGCCGGGGCTGCCCGCCAGAGCCGCTTCCTGGTCTGTGGGCGGCCCAGAGAACTTGGAATAAGTGAGCTTCACTTCTTGTTGACTCACTGCTGATCTAAGAACGGCAGTGAAGAGCTGTGGTAGCCCCGGCTCAAGCCCGACCCCTCCGTGGGGTCCTAGGTCTGTAGCGCCCTGGCCACACGGCTGGGGTTTGCAGGGCGAGGGCAGGACCCGGGAGTCCCACCCCTCAGGAAGCCGCAGGAGGCCTGCCGTGCGCAGGTGCCCCTGACCCAGGGGAAGGGGCCAGGCTCCAGGCCCTCGGGGTAGCGGGAGAGCACCGGCCTGGAAGCCGCCCAGGGAACCTCGTGTTGCTTGTGGGTCCGCCACTCTCCCTGCAGGGCGAGGCCCGATGGCGGGGCTGTCTGGGCTGCAGGGTGAGGCGTGGTGGGTCTGGGAGGTTCCAGCCCCCTTCCCAGGCTGTCCTGGCTTCCCTCTGCAGGCGGGAGTGGGAGACGCGCCTGCAGGAGACGCTGGGCCCCCACTACGTCACGCTGTACTCAGCGGCCCACGGGGCGCTCTACATGTCCGTGCTCATCCGCAGGGACCTCATCTGGTTCTGCTCAGGTAGGCGGGCCGCTCTGCTCTGCGCCGGTGCCCTGGGCGCCCCCACCCAACAGGTGCGCGTGGGGCGGGCAGGGGCGGCCGTGTCAGCCTCGCCCCTCCATCCCACAGAGGTGGAGAGCTCCACGGTGACCACGCGCATCGTATCTCATATCAAGACCAAGGGGGCCCTGGGCGTCAGCTTCACCTTCTTTGGCACCTCCTTCCTCTTCATCACGTCCCACTTCACCTGTAAGTTCCAGGCGCTAGGGACACCGCTCCCCCCATGTCCGCCGGGAGAGTCCGGAAGGCAGAGGCCCCGCCCCACTGAGACGATGCCCTCCAGTAGTGCTCAGCTCCAGTCTGGGTGCTGAGGAGGCTGGTGTGGCAGAGGGCGTGGGGCTCAGAGCGAGAGTACCCGGTGGGGCAGGCCGCCACAGACGCTGTGGTAGAGCACGCTGGGGGGCAGTGACCACCTAGGTGTCCCGTGTCCTCAAGCCTTGCTGGAGAGGCCCCCCCCACGCTCTGTTCTCACAGCTGGAGACGGGAAGGTGAGCGAGAGGCTGCTGGACTATAGCAGAACCGTCCAGGGCCTGGCCCTGCCCAAGAGCGTGCCCGACACCAGCCCCTTCCGCTCCGACGCTGGTGAGCCCCCGTCCGCGCACCACCGCCTTCTTCTCCGGGTACTTTAGTGAAAGTAAACTTTGAGAGCTTTTGAGAATCGAGGTCAGAAAAGTCTAGATTGGCCAATGGAAATAAAACCGCTGAGGCCTGGCGCTGGGTTCCTCACGAGCTGTGACCCTGTCGGCGCATTTGGCGGCTGCTTTCACGAGGAGCCTGGCCTCTCCAGCCCGGCTCTGCATCCTCCCCCCCCGCCCCCCCCAGGCTCCCCTGCCCCCTGGCTGCCCCGCGGGACGGCGCCATGGCGGAGGCGGCGTGCGTGGCAAGTGTGGGCTCCTGTGAGCGTGAGGGCGCCATGCGTCCCCGGATGTCTGTTGCTGTTTGAGAGAGAATCGTGACCCCAACTGTCGACCCAGGAGGCTGCAGGGCACAACCCCCACGGGCTGCGCCCCCTTCCCTGGGGAGTCCTTGCCTGTGGCTCTGGCTGGACACAGACCAGTCCCTGTCGCTAAGGCAGCACGGAGGGCCGGACTCACACGCTTTCCCATTTTGGCCAGCGGATGTCACCACCCGGTTCGATGGGGTGTTCTGGTTTGGAGACTTCAATTTCCGTCTGAGCGGTGGGCGTGTGGCCGTGGAGGCCATCCTGAAGCAGGACCTGGGAGAGAAGGTGTCTGCCCTGCTCCAGCATGACCAGCTCACCCAGGAGATGAAGAAAGGTGAGGTCTCAGGGAGGAGGTGTGGCCTCCCCACCCCCAAGAAGGCACAGCCTGCGGGGTTGACATGGGGCTGTGACTGTTCCAGGGTCCATCTTCAAGGGTTTCCAGGAGCCGGACATTCACTTCCTTCCATCGTACAAGTTCGACATTGGGAAGGACTCCTATGACACCACCTCCAAGCAGAGGACCCCCTCTTACACGGTGAGCATGCCCCTGGCGCCAGCCCGGCTCTGCGGCCGAGGTCTGGGTCCGCTCGCGCTTTGGAACGTGGGCCGAGGATGGAGGTTGGCCGTGAGGGCAGCGCCCACGAGCTGCGGGGCCTGCAGGGTGCGATCAGACTCGGGCCTGAGCCGCTCCGGGCTAGTGACCGCACCTCTCCGAGACTGCTGGGGTTGGGGGCAGTGCCCTCTGACAAAGGCCCTTCTGAGAGTCATCTGCTGGTCCCGGGACAGCGAGGCACACGCCCCACGCTGTCACTTGGTTGAGCTCCTGCCTCCACCCCCTCCACACTGGGTGCCCACACTGGGCTCGGGGGAGGGGCTCCAGGAACAGGCTCCGGGGCGGGGGGGGGGGATCTGACGTGAGGACTCTGCTCAAGCACAGCCGAGGTGACGGGCATGCAGGTCGAGCCCTGCAGCAAAACTGTGCAGCATCTGGGCCCCTGTCTGTGGGCTCTTTTCTGCAGGACCGGGTCATGTACAGAAGCCGCCACAAGGGTGACATCTGTCCCATCAAGTATTCCTCCTGCCCTGGCATCAAGACGTCTGACCATCGCCCCGTGTACGGCCTGTTCCGGGTGAAAGTGAGGCCGGGGAGAGACAAGTCAGTACCCTGGCCACATGTCCTCACGTGTCCTGCCCTCGGGGCGCCGGGGGGCGGGATTCCTGATCTGAAGGGAGGGTCAGGGCTGGCCGGCCGTTCCTGACACGCATGCGGCCGGGCCTGGCCCGGGCTCCGGAGGGGGTTCTGCTCGCGGGCGGTGGTGGTCACGCTCGGTACGCGGTGGGTCCCAGCGGCCCCGCAGGGACCGGGTGGCAGAGTCGGCCTCCCGGAGGCTGCGGAAACAGCCGGCCCTCCTGGCTGACACTCTTTCCTCCACAGCATCCCGCTAGCTGCTGGCAAGTTTGACCGAGAACTGTACTTAATAGGAATTAAAAGACGGATTTCCAAAGAAATTCAGAGACAGCAGGCTCTGAAGAATCAGCACTCGAGTACTATTTGTACTGTTTCTTGAGGTCCGCCCAAGGGCCTCTGGCACCTCCACCGGGAGGTTACGAAGAGGTTGCTGTGTGGGACTTCTTTTTGGGCTGCCGACGAACCACTGCTCGAGACTGACACGCTTTCTTACCAAGAACCCCACGGGGAGGCCAGCAGACCGGCCAGGCGGTACTGAGGCACCGGGGCCCCCGCCCGGAACGACACCAGCCACGCTCATTTACAGCGCGTCCCGTCAGGCCCCGCGCCGGCCACACGTGCGGTGCCGCGAGGCAGGCGTTTGGGTGGGGCGGGGCCTGGAGCGGCCTGCTCACCCAGAGCGGGGTTGGCAGCCTCCCAGCAGCCGCTCCAGTGCAAACTGGGAGGTGCCCTGCCCCCTCTGAGCACAGCGGGCCCGGTACCGAAGAGGTAAGCTGCTCGGGGTCAGGTGGCCGAGGGGGGGTGGTCCCTGTCCCACCGGTGCACATGAGGACTGAGGCCAGGCCCGGCTGGTCAGGCCGGAACCAGCCGACTTCCAAGAAGGGAACCCAGTCCTGCTGGGACAAGGCGGCCTGGCCTGCTTCAGGGCCGCCTCTCATCTTGGGGGGCTGGCTGGGCCCATCCAGCCATGAAGCCACCTCCCTCTCCTCTTCTGGTTTTGGTGATTTAAGACCGTTTGCATACACGTTGCCAGCCTCAAATAGCATTAGCCTAAGTAGTGCACTTCCTGGCCTGAGAAAGCAGGGGGGGCTTAGGGTGTCCCCACCACATTCCGGGTCTCTTCTTTCTTCGAGGGCTGAGTGCGTGACTGCCCACGATGGCTTCTGAAGACAGGCTCTGAATGTGGGAAAACCAAGGGGCACTCAATCTAGTCTTTTATTTATTTTTCCATATTTATATTTTTAAATAAATCCATATATTAAATCTTAAACTCTTTCTGGCCAAAGATCGAGTCCTAGAAAGAGATCACCTGTACACTGAGCCTGTTCTGATGTTCTCAGAAAACGAGGGTGTCCAGTTCAATGGCAGGAAGTTTGGGGTACACCGTGGCTCCCCGGGGCCATCTGCTCTGCACCCAGCTGCCACCTCAACCGTGGGGCTGGCTGGAGGGGAGTTTTAAGGGAGAAGGGGACACCCCAGACCTGAGTGGAGGAAATGAAGTCACTTCCACAGGGCATGTGTACCCCCCTTATTAGTGCCCACTTCCACAACACGGAACCAGGCACACCCAGTCTCTGACACAGAGGGGAGAGTCTGTTCATGAGAAGGTCCAGTCAACCCCATCGGACTTCAAGAAACTTGACTGTATAAAATTTTACTCAAAGAAATGTGCTGTTGAGTTTTGAATCATGATCTGAAAATGTCTGTTACAGATTTTTGCGGTGAGGGGCCTGGAGAGGAGGCATTTTTATGCATCTTCCCAGGCACCATCTCTGACCGACAGGACAGTGATGGCGCAGCATGGAGTCTGGCTTGAGACGGGGCTTTGTGTCTTATGGGGATCGCTGACACATGAGGGGTCACGGGTCCCAAGTCAGGACACTCCTTTAAGAGCAGCCAGGAGATTTGAGATGAACAGGTTTCACTTAGAAAGTGGGGTTAAGATTCAGATGCATGAAGACACGGGCCAGTCTCTGAAAACCAGCTTCACCAAGAATCGAGAAGCACAGCATGAGGGTGGTTTTCATGACCCGGCTCTCATCGCCTCCATGCGTTCTGCTGGCGCCAGGCCTCCCTCGGGCACCTGCTGAGCCTGCGGCAGCCAGCCCCAAAGGCTGCGTGGAGCCGAGAACAGGGAGGGGGCACAGCCGCATGCCAAGGGGAGCAGAGGTGCCAGGCCATGACAGGGTCAGGGGAGAAGCCAGTGGGAAGTAGTACAGGCAGGTTAGCACCAGCTTCCTGACCCTGGGTCTGGGCAGCACTTCAGCTGGCCCCAACATCCACCCAGGCCTCATGTCTTCACGAGCCCTGCCCCCCCCACCCCCCACCCCACTGCATGCCTGCAGTGCGGACAAACTCCTGCCCTCTATCTCCCCTGGGTGCTGCCCTCCCCCTGGGGTAACCACAGAAACGACAAGGCAGTCCACACTGCTGCCCACCCGCCCTCCAACTCAGGCTCGTCTCCCTCGGGCCCCACCCCAGCGGGCATGGAGGGCCTGGCATCCCTGTTGTGCACCGCCCCCCCCAGCAAATGTAGTCATTGGCACGTGTGCTGGAAAGGCACCTAAACAGGACAATGGGCTCCGGCAGAATAAGTGGATCAAATAACCCAAGTAACATTTACATGTCGATCTCGGAACAGCCCTGCCCTCCTGCCCGTGCGGCCGGCTCTCTCCCCAGCTGCCAAATGCTGGGGACAGCAGCAGCCCTGCAGCTACAAGAGGTGGCCCACACGGGCTCCTGGGGACTCTACACGCATTCATGTTGGAGAACCACAAAGCTAACAAAGCTAGCCCATGTTACTAGTCACCGGGCCCTGCGGCACTCCTGACACGGCCACGCGCACCGGCTGAATCTAGTGCGCCTTCACTTTCCAGCACGTTCCCGGCTTTGCTCTCCCCACTGGCCACTGAGTCTGCCTCCCGTCCTGTGTGCTCAGACATGCCCGCAATCAGAACAAAGTACAAGAGGCCTCGCAACATTGGGTCCAACCGGACGACCCTGAGGGAGATACCCCACTTGCCCGCTTCCAGCCGTTTCAGGGATGCTGCTGCTACTGCAGACACCCCATCCTTACTGAAGGTGAAGGAAAACCGTGCTGAGAAAAACGCTCCACGAAGCAGACCAGGGGCTCCTGCCCTGCCCCGGGGGCCGACTGTGGGGAGACAGTGTGGCACTGCTGATCTCCGGGAGCGCAGGACGGCAGCAAGAACGCTGACCTGCTCCCTGACAACAGTCTGCCTTGAACCTTCTTGCACTCCACTGGTTTCTAGCCACAGTGAGGGCAAACCTTTATTCCACCGAGTGGCCTATTCAACAGCAAAGAACCGGAAACTGAGCTGTGCTCAGCGACATTAAATTTGTCCAAGTTTAAGAGTCCCGTGGTTTGCACCATTTATGAATCTTTGCAGTAAACTCACACCCACAGAGAAACATATGAACACACGCGGCTCCCGCAGCTGCAGTCGGGCCACGTGTCCGGCAGCCTCTAGCGGAAGAGCCGGTAGATCCTGGGCAGGCGCCCATCTCTGCTGGACAATGCCGCCTGGATGTGCTCGTAGGCTGGCAGGTCGCTCAGATCACCCAGGGCCGCCACTGCGGGCTTCCTGCGAAGCATCTGAGAGGCAACTCTCCGGATGTCTTCCGGCTTCACGCTGCCTGGCACAGGGGACAAAAATACCTCAGGGGATTGCCCGCCTCCTGCACGGACTCCATCTCCATGTGTGGCTGCAGCCCCTCAAGGCCCTGGGGGTCTGAGGCCGGGCTGCAGACTCTAGAGGGTCCAGATTCAGCTGTGCGGACTACACTGTGAGTCAGGGTGAAATACCGGGTTTTTCTTGGTAAACGGGGAAATACCAGTGGTTTAAAAGGATTTTCAAATGCAGACATGTGCCCACCCAGAAAAGTTGACACACCTATAATGCAACAGCTCCTTGTCTGCAGAGCTACCCACATGGAGAGGCTGCGGGGATGGAAAAAACACCCCCTCCCAGGGCTTCGTAGGGCGGCAGCTGCTCACGCAGCCCAGCCTCCCGAGGAGGGACCTGGGACCACAGCCTGTGTGGGCACAAAAACACACCGTGGGAACACACTGACCAGTAACTTGGTTTTGCTACAGAAGACGAAGCCTTAGGGACATCGGGTACACTGTTGTGTTCCATGGTCTGAGGGGCTCCCCGGGGTGGTGGGGGGGGTAAGGATGCACCTGTGGACGGGATGCATGCTGGAGCTGCCACGAGGTAATTATCATCACCAAACAACCACTGGCCTAACCCTTGTGGGGTCACGGACCCTTTGAGCTGATGGAAGCATAGACTCGTCCCCCAAAGCGGGACACACAGAGAGAAATTCAAGGACTTCCTGTAGTTCACTCACAGCAGGCCATGGAAACCTGGGCTCGAGTCACAGAGGGCACCACCACGCGAGCCCCGTGTGGAGCATTTCCAACAGCTCACCGAGTCGGCTTAGAAACCTGGAGCGGTGGTGAAAGGCCCCTTTATACGGGGTGAAAAGCTGGGGTCACAGGGGTCGGTACTCAGGGACACAAGGCAAGGCTGGTCCAGGGTGAGGGCTCACGGGTGCAGGAGCCACAGGTAAACAGGTCTGTGGCAGTCTCCTGGGAGGGAAAAGAGGGAGCCCGATCTGTGCCCCCAGCAAGGTACTCACGGATGAGCGTGCACAGCTCGTGAGGCAGTTTCCTGGAACGGGTCGCCAGCACCTGTCTCCCTACGTCCTCAAAGATCACAGGCCTGGACTCCAGGTTCATCATGAGCATGGACATCAGCTGGGTCTTGGCCCGCTCCAGCTCCACCTGGGATTCAACCACCAAGTCACACGGTTCGGTTCACAACAGCTCACACACCATCACCCAGTCACAGCCACGTCACAGGGAAGACAAATCCAAGAGTCAGGGGCTCCACGCAGACCCCAGGCACAGGGCGTGCCCCCGGGGAAATTCTGAGGGGACCAGTTCGATCTACCAAGTCTGGGCCTCGAGCCTCTCTGACCAAGTGTGAAACTGACAACAATGGGACTCGCCGGCAAGTTCTGTCCACAAAGCTCAGCCTGAAACCGGAGGGCAGGGAAACACGACTGGGTGAGCGACGGGAGTGGCTGGTGAAAGCAGTACACACGTGCTGGAAGACGGGCCGGCTGCAGAGATTCCGTGTCGCCGTCTAAGCAAGAGGACTCCTAACTGCAGACGAGTCCTTTCTATTTTGCCAACTCCGGGCAAATACTTACAACTTACCTCAAACTAGCTTCACATTAACAGGAAGTACTTCCTAGCAGGCCACTAATGGAGCGCCCCCAACAGATTTTTAAACACGTTTTTGTAAAATTACTTTTTTGAAATACTTTTAAAAGCTTATTTTTCTGACTAAAAAGGGAATACGTGATCATTGCAAAAAGCAGGGACTGAGCAGGAAAGATCCATAGGTGAAGGCCGGGCGCCAACTCAGCCCACACGCTGGGCCTCTCCTCCCAGGCCTCCTATGAGCACGCACACAGAACCTGCTTATTTGTACCAGTACTAGTCCAGGAAGAAACAAGATCTCTAAATATGTAAGATGACAAAAACTAAGCCAAAGAAACAAGGAAACAAAGACTTAGATTAAAACACAAAATAGAGTTCAGGGCGCCCAGCAGGCTCAGTCCACAGAGCACGTAGCTCTCGGTCTTGGGGCTGTGAGTTCCAGCCCCATACTATGGATAAAGATTACCTTAAAACTAAAATCTTCAAAAACAGAACAAAACCAAAAAAGCAAAATAAAACATAAAATGGAAGTTAGGGGAGAGCTCGAAAACCACCCCGAGAGGCCCGCTCATCCTGTGCGATGTGGCTTTAGTTCCCATGGTTCTGCAGGGTGGCTGAAAAGGGCACACGAGACCGCTCTGTACCATTTCTTCCAGGAGGGCCGGGGCCAGGCAGGTGCGAGCAGGTCCAGTGCTGGCGGGGCAACAACTGTTCTCGGTGCTGAGACCAAGGAGCAGGAGAGGAGCTCAGCTGTAGGTCTGGGTCACCCCGGGGCTACACTGTTCTGGTGGGATGTTGGCGGTGCTGGGAGCACAGAGGCCAGCCATGCCCACACCGTGTACTCTAACCTGCCAACACCGTGGGGGATGTCGGGATTCAGCTCTGTGCTGTACTTACCACGTCCACAGTTCCAGCCATTAAAATAAATTCCTTCGTGAGGATTTCCACCATTTCTCGAACCTTTAGGGAAAAGGGAAAGATGAAGAGTGTGATCTGGACCTAAGGGTCTGTCTCTTCCAATTCAAGACAATGACACCCCTGCTCCAAGAAACCAGCTCTGTGTCCGGGGACATGAGCTGCACAGGAAGCAGGGGCCGGCGCTCACCTGCCTGGGGTCGGCGCTGGCGTGCACGCACAAGAGGCCCGTATCCTCATAGCTGTGGTGGTACGAGGTCGCGTTGTACATCCAGTGGTGCCTGTAGGGAGCAGGGACAAAGGGACACCTGGAAGGTGGTGTCACAGTCCAAAAGCACCTTCACCTGGGCCTGGTGACCCTGGGGACAGCCAAGTGAAAGGAATCCAACCTACCTGTTGAGCACGTTAAGGTAGAGCCTGGTAAACATGCCTTTGCCAGGCCCACCGGCTGAGAAGGAGCCGCCACCCCCCATCATCATGTTCAGGACGGCGAAGGGGATGAAATCTTCCTCCTGCGGGAGACATGAGGGCAGAGCTTGGCCGGGAGGTGACACCCGGCTCTAGGACATGGTAGGACCCGGCTGGGACTTACCAAGAAGGAACAGCTCTCCAGTCCTATCATGATGTGCGTGAGCTCAGGAAACGGGGCAGGACCCAGACTGACGTTGGACATGTCTCTTTCCAGCTATAAGCAAAGAGAGTGAATGGTGTACCCACACGGAAGACAAGCGGGCCTCAAAAACCTCTCAGGTCAGATCAGCCTACAAAGAGTTCTAGCGGGGCGCCTGGGTGGCTTGTCAGTTGAGTGTCCCAACTTTTGATCTCAGGGTTGTGTGTTCAAGCCCCACACTGGGCTCCGTGCTGGGTGCGGAGCCTACTTTGAGAAAAAAAAAAAAAAGGCAAAAGACCCCATCATGGTTCTACAGAAATCATACACGCACATCAGTAAACTCCCTCTAGAGAAAAGAATAATCCTTTAACCTTCCAGTGAAGCTAAACGCAATCATTTTTTTTTTTAAAGGTTTTACTCATTTACCTAAGGAGGAGAGAGGGAGAGAAAGAGAGCACAGAGGGAGAGGGAGAAGCAGGCTCCCCGCGGAGCAGGGAGCCCGATGCAGGGCTCAACCCCAGGACCCTGGGACCATGACCTGAGCCCACTGAGCCACAAGGCGCCCCTAAACTCATTCTTAACAAGCTCTCAGCTTTGCTTTAAACAAGGAACACGTCCTGCCCTAACACCACAATGTGTATTACGGTAAAGCCACGAATGCACAGCTCACTGTAACACCTGTGGGATAAAGCTGAGAACGTACCAAAAACAAAGTAAAGAAAGTACACACACCCCATCGCGGCTTTACCTTGACAACCCCCCCAGTGTACTGTGCTACCGATCCGTCAACGTCCACAGCGCTCTCACACCCCCAGGCCGGCTGGGTTCCCAGGAGGTACTTTTTGGCACATTCCACCAGGTGCTCATGCTCCACCCCGACTCCAGCCAGCACCATGCGGTCGGGGGTGTAGTAGTTTCTCAGGTATGAATGAAGCACTTCTCGATCAATCTTTGCTATGTTTTCTGTGGGGCAGAAACGGTGGAGGCCGACTGTGTTTTCCCGATAAGCAGCCTAACAAAAGAAGGGAGAAACACAGGTGACAGAGAGGCCACGGCCAGGTCTCGTCCTGGCCGTGCCGGGCCTGCCATGACCCCAGCTGTGGCAGGAAAAGCTCACGGTTGCTTAGCTTTGCTAATTTGGCAGGAGCAATTTTGTTTGCTTACAAAAGCAGTAAAATCCCTCTCTCCAGAATGAAATCTCAAAAAAACCCCATGTAAAATAAAAAGCTCATTCTAGAAGCGGATGAAAATCTTATTACTGTAAGAATGAGAATGTGAAACACTTGCATAAGTTGCAGGTTTGAGAATTAAGAATCTTCTGTCCACACCTATAACCTGTGAAGAGCCTCAGGAGGGCAGACAAGCCCTCTCAACTATGCTGATGTTGGGAGGGCCGCGAAGGCGGGTGCTTGCGGGCTTTCTAGTACCTCATGAATCATCTCCGTGAGAAGCGGTTCTGGGTCAGGCCGCATGTCAAGGTCCTCCAGCTCGAACTGGACAGCCATTCGGGTCATCTCAATTTCTTCATCTGCAAAGAACCCAGATAAGGCTCAGACCGTACCAACCAGGAGGGAAATGGCACTGGGCCTAGGCTGCCAGGCTGGGCCAAGGGTCATTGGCTGGCAGACACCGGCAGTCTCCTCGGCCTTCATCTGGGATAGACCTGGGGGCACTTGTGTGAGTGAGGGGGCAGGGCCTGGAGGCACTGGGCCTCTTGTCCAGCTTAGCCACCTGACCTGCCCCAAGCCCCGGCTTCCTTCCCAAGAGAGGCACTCAGGCCCCTGGCCCGTCTCCCCAGAGGGCTGCTGTGAGGATAGTCACGTGGAATGGGAAGGTGTTTACAAGAGAGGCACCATCCAGCATCACGGCTGCCACTTCATCCGCAACCTGGAGTAAGTACTGGAAGAACTACAAGGCCAGACTGACGTGACCAGAGCACAGCCAGGGCGGGAGCAACGGGCAGCAGGGCCCTCTCTGGCCCACTGCGGGCACAGAATTCAAAGTCTTGCCACCACCAGGCCAAGGAAGGGGATGGACACAGGGACGTGGAAGCTTCTGGTGGCACACCAGCCCGGTGTTTAAAGACAGTCTGAAATGCCTTTCAGAAGTGAAAGACCCAGGGCTGCCTGGCTGGCTCTGTCAGAGGAGCGTGCGACTCTTGATCTCGGGGTTGTGAGTTTGAGCCCCACGTTGGGTGTAGAGAGTACTTAAGTTAGCAAATAAAAACTTAAAGGAAAAAAAAAAGAGGAGAAATGAAAGACCCAATTTAACTAAAAACGTCAAAAGGCACAAAGTTATGTCAAAGTATTGAGCTCATTGAAGGACTTTTCTGACCATCAGTGTTATTTCCAAGGAAATCATGCCAACTCACTGGTAGCTGAGCTCAAGGGCTGCATACAACGCTCTTCCTCAGGGCAGCGCTTCCATGTGCCTCCCAAGGGCCCAGCCCCCAGCCCCTTCACGCGGCCCTGGGCCTACCTGTGAGCCTGGGGTGCAGGACCACGTCAGCCAGCAACCCAACCACCGTGTCCAGGCCTTTAGAGTCAGCAGACACAGCATACATGGTGGTGTCCCTGGAAAGAAGCAACGACATGAGGCACTGAGGTCACCACAGGTACACACCAACGGGGGCTGATTCCCCCCGCTGCACTGAGGACCAGCACACACTTGCTATGTCCCATCTTACAGGACAACTTCCAGTACGCACCGGAGTGACAGCAGCTGCCCAGCCAAGGTGGACAGGAGCCATCCTGAGACATTTCCACAAGCACAGGCCCTCTGCCACGGGGGCCTCTTTCTCACCTGCTTCCTGAGCATCAGCTGCCCCGACTCACGGTCAACATGCAGTATGCACGGCCTTATGTGGCTGCGGGACAGGCCACATGTGGCAGACAAACACCACCTGCCCTATCCACAGCGCCCCTCCATCTGTGTGCTGGCTACATCCTGGACCTCTCCCGGTCCCCAAAAAGACCACTGCCTCTTCCTGGCTGAGCCTCTCCCCATGCTGTTCTGCGCCACCTCCTCCCCTCAGTTGGTCTGGCAAACTTCTTCAAGACCAGTCCAATCATGAGTTTACCATTCCTTTCCAGATTAGTTGCCTGTGTCCCACCAGTCTGTTTCTGGCTCTTGTATCCGTTACCTGTGGTGCAGCCCTCTGCCAGATCCGTGAGCATAGTGGGGACAGGGCCTGCTGCATCCCTAGTGCCCAGCTGGCAGTCTCTGGGAATTGCCTGGCCCTCCGACGTGTTCTCTACTCTAAGTGCTGCTGCCTGCATGTTTCTCCCACCAAATTCTCCACCCAACCCGGCCTAGGCCAGGCTCACTTCTCACCCCTAACCTCCACAAGCCTCTCCAGGGGGTAGGTTTCAGTGGGACTCTGACCAAGGATAAGAACCACAGTTCCACGTGGATGCAAAATACGCTGGCGTACCTTGATGTCTGGCAGTCACAAATACCCCCGTGCTTTTCCAACGTAAGCAGAATTTCATCTTTGCTGTTAAATCGATCCGTCGACTATTAAAAAATAAATAAGTAAACCTAAATACACGATCCAAAACAACCTCTAAAATATGTTCTCCGAGAAAAAAATTTATGTTTACTTTGATAACATGTGAAATCAAACTATCTTTTAATCTAAAGATCTTTTAGTAGGATTATCTTAGCAGCTTAATCACTTATTAAAATAACCATTCTAAAGAAAGTAAAATTTGATAGACTCCTCAAGTATAGGCTCAAAGATTACAAACAGGACACTGACCGAAAATGCCAATTTTTCCAAAAAGTGAGCAATTCCACTAAGATATTTTGCTTCATATCTTGATCCTGAATTAATAAGAACTGGCAATAAAAAGAAAATTGACAGGTTAAACCAAACGTTGAAAAGGGGAGGTTTTAGGATGATTTAATCAAGAGAAACCTTTTAAAACTGAATGTGATCAGACAGGCTGACCTAATTACGTGAGGGTGACGACGTGTCCACTACCTGGGCTACGTCTCCACAGCTGCACACACCCACGTTGACACCGACAGAGTTAGTTGTAGGCTTCATGTTTATGGTGGAAAAGTGTTAGGTTTCTATGAAGGTAGAAAGGGAAAAAAGCCCACCGCCAACGGGGTGGTTCATGCTTTGTGTATTGTTTTCAGGGTCCATGCCGTACTTTTCCACTCAGGACACGATTCACAGACGATGTATGAAGCGTAACAATCGACTGAGGCACGTGGGCGTGAAAATAAACGGGATGACCCACACCACCACCAACAGTACTTACTTCCTACTGTACAAAATTGTCCAAACTTGTTTTGGGAGGCCACGCGAAGCCCATTATCCAGCGTGGTGACTTTGGTTTCAAACTTCTCCTGTCCATCGACTGTAGCAAAAACAGGCTCAGGCACTCCGGGTAAGGGGGATGAGAGCGGGATGTTGGCACAGGCGCTGCCACTACTGGACTGTCTGTGTGGAGGAGCTCCGGACCTAGACACCGAAGTTACCCAGTTACAACAAACCCGAGGCCACCGAGCCTGTGGTGACCATCTGGGCCCAGCCGGTCACGTTTTGTCCACGTTAAAACTGGATGTGCCGGGCGCCTGGGTGGCTCAGTCGGTCGAGCGACTGCCTTCGGCTCAGGTCATGATCCTGGGGTCCCGGGATCGCGTCCCGCGTCGGGCTCCCTGCTCGGCGGGGAGTCTGCTTCTCCCTCCGACCCTCCCCCTCTCGTGCTCTAGCTCTCATTCTCTCTCTCTCTCTCAAATGAATAAATAAAATCTTTATTAAAAGAAAAACTGGATGTGCCCCTCTCTGTAGACTTGTTTCTAGACACCTCGAGGCAGCGCTCGGAGCGATCAGGGACACCGCTGCGGGTACAGATCCCAAGCCGGCCAGTTCTTTGGGCCTTAACTTCCACCCTGAACGGGCCCAGAAGGCCCTGCGCGGCCCGGACTCCAGCCCCGTCCCCGGACTCGCGTCTTCGAGCGCCCTCCACCACCCCCGCAAGGTCCCGGCCCCAGCGGCCCGCTGGGCCGACCCTGGACCACGCTCGCTGGTTACCGCCAAAGCCCCGGCCCTTCCCGTCCTGGCCGGCTCTTGGCCGCGCTTCCCCAGCGGCTGCCCCCGCTCTCGATCCCCATCCGTCGGCTGCTAAAGGCGACCCCCCCCGCGCCCCCCTGAAGTCAGACTCTCCCGCCACCCCGTCTATCGCCGGACCCCGCTTCAGGCTGCAGGCGTTTACGCGACCGCCCCCGCTTGGCCGGCGTGTACGGGGACCGGCCGCCCCCAAGTGTGGCCCGAGGGGACGTGCCCGCGGCCAAGAAGGCGGGAGAGCGAGTGGGCGCGGAGGCCCCGCGGCAGGACCGGGAGAGGTCGGGCGAACGGGGCTCGGGGCCCGCACCCGGGGCCCCCGGCAGGGAAGCGCCCTCGGCGCCCCGGAGACAAGGCCGGGGTCCCGAAGCCCGAGCCCGAAGCAGCGGCGCCCCGTCTGCGCGTGGGGAAGCCAGAGGTTGAGCGTCCGCTCGGACGCCCGCCGCCCCGGCCCCCGGCCGGCCCCCGACGCGCGCCCGGCTCACCTCAGCCGCGAGCGGCGCCACGAGCCCGAGCCGCGCAGCAGCAGCCGCGCCGTCGCCAAGGCCATGGCCGCCATCTTGGGTCTCCGCCCCCTGCTTCTGTCGTCACTTCCGACCCCGCCCCCGACGCCCCGCCCCTGCGGCGCCGGCCCTCGGCGTTTGGGCGCTCGCTTCCGGTGCCGGGAGCGGAAGCCGCCGCGAGAGGCTGGGAGCGGCGGGCGACGCGGGTGGGCGACTCGGGCCGCGGCCGCGGCGGAGCCGGGGCCATGGGGCCGCCGCTGCCAGGCTAGGGAGGGCCGGCGCTGCCGGGCCCGCGGCGATGGCGGGCTTTGCGCGCCGCCCGGGCGTCCCCCCGCTGTCGCGAGCCCGGAGCCTCGTCATTCCGGACGGTGAGCGGCCGGGCGCCCCCGCCCCGCCGGGCCGGGCGGCAGGTGAGGCGGGCCGCGGGCCGCGCGGCCAATCGCTGTCGTTGTTGTTGCAGCAGCTCCGGCGTTGTATGAGCGCCGCTCCTGGCTGCCCCGGCTAGACTGTGAGCGCCCCCGTGGCGGGGGCCTCGACCCCCACCTCTTCGGCATTCGGCCGACGTTTATGTGCTATGTGCCCGGCCCGGTGCTAGCTTCCGTGGGAGACACAGGTGAGAGACAAGCCTCAGGGGGCCCCCCGCCGGCACTGCCTGTAGCGACCTCGCTGTCGTCTTACCTCGCTCCGCGACCCAGCGGCGGGCGCCGAGCACCGCTGGGGGCCGGCCCCTGGGGACGCAGAGGTCCAGAGAGGCCCCGCCAGCCCGGAGCTCGCGGTCGGGCCTTGGGGAGCCCCCTCCCCAACACAGGCCCCCCAGTGTGGGATGGTGAGTGCCAAAAGAGCGGTGTGCCCGGCGGGGGCACCGAAAGCCACTCCTTCGTGGGGGTGGGGCTGAGGCAGAGGAGCTGCTGGGCACTGGCCACAGCTTTTTAGGTCATTGTCACCCTCCCCAGAGCAGTTATGCTGCAGGGTGTCCAGGGTGTGGGGCGAGACTTTAGGTGGGGGTCTCGTCAGGGTCTCAGAGGAGAATGGCAACCTGTGAGGGCATTCAGAAGGCTTCACAAGACAAAGGAGGGCACGCGTAGCCACGCTGGTCATCAGAGCCTCCCGGGAGCTTTTCCTGAATCACACATGCCAGGGCCCGCGGAGGCCATGCTGTCTCCGTTGGTAGGAGCTGGGAGCTTGTGTTTGAAAAGTTCCCCAGCCTGTAAGAATTACTGCGATAGAGACCCTGTGTTGAAGACGAGTTGTCACAGAGGCCTCTGTGATCACGTTAAGGTGATGACGTCTCTTTGCAGATCTTGGCTACGGAAAGGGGAAGTGTACTAAGCAAGGTCTGCCAGGAGCCCAAGAGACACATTTTGGAGGTAGGGTAGTTGGGCAATTCTCCCTCTCCTCTCCCCAACACAAAGCGCCAAGCACATGCCCTGTGGCTGGTTGTCAGTTTGACAGCATATAATCAGTGTGCCAAGTGGGGGTGGAGTCCCACGGATTCAGTCTTGGCCCCAAGGTAGAGAGAGAGAGGGTACAAGGACAGATGAGCCTGATGTGCACGACAGCGATGTGGGAAGGCACACCAAAGGGGTCTGAAGAGGCAGCGTGGGCTAGAACACTTTGCACAAGGTTGGCGCCTGGGCTCAGATGGTCATTGCTGGGAGAGCGGAAAGGAGGTAGGGAAAGAGAGAAGGGAAGGATGGGTGAGCAGGGAAATGGATAGAGGTGGAGCAGTGATCCCCAACCTGGCGGCACTGTTGGAACTCTCGGACGGCCCCCAGCGCAGGTTATGTCCTAGGCCAACTGAGTCTGTGTGGGAGTGGAGGTGCATTGTCATCCCAGAGATCCCCGGGTGATCTCCATGGGCAGCAAGGAGCGGGAACCAGGGGGTTGGGAGTGGGAAGAATCCATAAGTAAACTACCCCAAGGTGAAGAGTCACCCGTTCTACTGACCAAGCCAGCCAGGTGCCCCTGGGAAGGAGAATTCAGAACGTGAAAGTGAATCTGTTTTATTGGCTAGGTTTTTCATTTCCTAGTGTCACTGAATTCCGGTGGGATGAGAAGGGTGGCGGTCCTGAATTTAGATGTGGTTGTGTTTTAGAAAAACTAACGGGGAAGTTTCTCGTCAATGACTCGAGAGACGTTTTCCAATTGCGTTGTGTCATATCGTTTTAGACGATAAACTTGAAGATCTTGCAGAGGCCAATCCATTCTCCTTTAAAGAGTTTCTGAAAACCAAGAACCTCAGCCTGTCAGGAGACGATACAGCCAACGACAGGATTTATTCAAAGGTAGATCCAAGGCGTCGTCTGCGATGACCGTACACAGAGAAACGTCCAGAGGACATCTCTCTTCCGACGTGGGATACGCTGCAGGCGCTGGGGGGCAGAGGGAGCCCGCAGCTCAAGCTGACGGGAGCATCGGGTGGAGAAGCTGCCGGGAGCCCTCCTCTTTCCTGGGAGCTCCACTGCTGAGCCCCTCAGAAGACAGGCCTCCGGCGGCTTCTGGGTCTGACCCGTGCCTCCAACTGTTTTCTTTAGGAAGCCACGAGACACTCACTGGGGCTTGGCCGCAACTCCCCGACCTCCCAGACCATGGGGTATGGCTTAGAATATCAGCAGCCGTTTTTTGAAGACCCTACGGGGGCTGGTGATCTTCTGGACGAGGACACAGACGAGGGTGAGGACGGCGCGTGGGACGGGGCGTACCTGCCCTCCGCTGTGGAGCAGACCCGCTCCTCCGGGGTCGCCGCCAGCACGTCACCCTGCAGCACGTACGTCTCCTTCTTCTCTGCTGCGTCGGAGCCGGTGGCGCCCAAGACGCTGCCCCCGTGGACACGGAGCGACTCTGACTCTCGTGCCTCTCCGGTGGGGAGCCCCGGCACAGACTTCGCAGCCCACGGAGAGTCTCTGGGAGACAGGCACTTGCGGACACTGCAGATAAGCTACGAAGCAGTAAGTGAGGGGGCTCTGCAGCGTGCACGCAGGCGACCTGGAGCCTCCGGTGGCCTTGGTGGCCTGGGGTCTCGGCTCCAAGGACAAGGTGGTCTGTGGTGCGGCCGTCTCCCGAATTGACAGATTCCGCGCGTGACGTGCCCCTGGAAGAGCAGTGTGCGGGGTGGTGGGGTGCGGCCCATCTCAGGCAGGAGCCGTGGAGACCCTCCGAGGTCCCCCTGTCAGGAGAGGGTCCGCTTCAGGCATCGGCTCAGGGACGTTTCGTTACGTTCTGAGGAGAAGAAATACGTTTAGAGATGATTATTACTTAAAAGAGAGTTAGAAGTAAAATTGGTGTTCGTGACCGGAGGCCTTTAAAGGGAGACTTCTCCACTCACGGTTTTCCGTTATAAGCAAACAGTAGGTTGACACTCTATAACGTTTGTTTATCGAGACGTTCCAGAGCCAGTTTGTAGAGGTGTAGACTCCTTTTGGGTGAGACCCAGAGTTTCTAATAAGGATTTTCTTCCTCTGCAGTTAAAAGATGAAAATTGTAAGCTGAGAAGAAAGCTGACTGAGGTTCAGAGCTTCTCTGAGACTCAAACAGAAATGTACGTAAGCTTTGAGTCAGCGCCGCGCTTCAGACGTCAATAACGAAGCGTTGGGGGTGGAACCGAGCTTGGCTTTCATTGTCTGTGGGTCATCAGCATCACACGTTCCTCCTCATGTGCCCAGTGAAGGTTGATTTCAAATACCCGGCCCACACGGCCGCGCTTGCTAAAAGCAGCAGAGCGGTGGATGGCGAGCCAGCTGAGGAGCGCGCTCTGCGGCTGACGCCTCCGATCGGCCTCCCGAGGCCTGGCGCTCTCGTGGCGTTTGTCCGCCCCGCCTAACTGCCTCTCAGATGACTTCTGAGCATGAGACGCGTGAGGGGTCGACAGCTTGGTCTTCTCTGTCCCCAGGGTGAGGACATTGGAGCGGAAGCTGGAAGCCAAAATGATCAAGGAGGAAAGTGACTACCACGATCTGGAGTCAGTGGTGCAGCAGGTGGAGCAGAACCTGGATCTGATGACGGTATGGGGGCCTGGGGGGGCATTGTGTCGAGCCGGGTGCGCCCCCTCCTCTGCTGTCAGCCTGCAGGGGCACGGTGCCAGGAGGGGTCCCTCACAATGGGCCGACCTGCCGGTCCGTGAGAGCCGGAGGCCCCTGGGTGGGGGCAGAGCCCGCTTCCATTCCATGTCCATGTCTCGCCGTGTTACACAGTGCTGATGCCCTTTTTTTTTTTTTTTTGTGACAGAAACGGGCTCTGAAGGCAGAAAACCATGTCATGAAGCTAAAACAGGAGATCAGCTTGCTCCAGGTGACTGGACAGCATGGGCACAGGGTCCAGGAGCCTCCCAACAGTGGTGGCTCCCGCAGTCAGGCCACGCCGGCTCTCCCCCCCAGCCCTGTTTTCTTTGCTTAGCAGGAGAGTGGTGGGCATGGACTGTATTGTCTGGGACAGCACGGACCCTGACACGAATCTCCCGTTTCTGTGGATGAGTGCTGAGGGCAGACTGAGGAAGCCCGGCTCCCTCGAGAGCCCCCTCAGGAGATGCCCACCGTGAGGGCCAGCCCCCATCCCTTCACTGCCTGTGCCGAGGCTGCCAGCTTCAGTTGGGCTCGTGCTGCCTCTCAGATGCTCTCTCCTGAAGCCGTCAAAGTGCTTTACTGCTCTCGCCCACCTCTAGGCACAGGTCTCTAACTTCAAGCGTGAGAATGAAGCCTTGCGGTCTGGCCAGGGCGCCAGCCTGACGGTGGTGAAGCAGAACACCGACGTGGCCTTGCAGAACCTCCGCGTCGTCATGAACAATGCCCACTCCTCAATAAAGTGAGTGCGGGGGAGCTGAAGGTGCCTGGACATGGGACAGGGGTGAGGCAGAGATGGCCGGCAGGCCTGGGGGGCGGTCTTCAGCTTGGTGTTTGAAACCCTGACCACACCGCGTACAGCAGATGGGGCTCCGGGAGCAGAAGAGCACTTGATGGTGCTGGTAACCCCGAGGCTGCAGGTCGTGTGCCAGACTAGCAGGCTCTCGAACCGTCTTTGTGGTAATCACTGGTTTTACCACAGCACTAACCTCAGACAGATCAGAGTCCCAGCTCCCTCACCTGCCGAACACCTCAGTTCTGCACGGAGAGGAGTAACAGTGTTTCCCTCCCGTCATAAGAAGCAGATGAGTTTGCAGGAGACCCCCCCCCCAGAAATGGCCGCTCTGTTGCTCCCCGTGAGCGCCCTGTCTGCCTGCCACGGGGCTGGGCCCCTCCGGGGAAGAGCAGCAGCCACCAGACACCCCAGGAGCTGTTTTCTGGCTTCTGTCGGGGCCGTTGGACAGTCGCGGTAGCAGGCCTGTAACGTCCACGTTTCCATTTTAGGCAGCTGGTTTCTGGAGCTGAAACGCTGAATCTTGTTGCTGAAATCCTTAAATCTATAGACAGAATTTCTGAAATTAAAGATGAGGAGGAGGAGTCTTGAGAACCCTGAGGTGCTTCCGGGTCACAGCTCCGCTCACACCCGGATGTCCCTGCTCACTGGATTTGGAAATGCCATTGTGTCTTTAAATATGTCGTCCTCACCGTAGTAAAGATACTTATCATGACATGCTAATTTCATGACCACACAGTGTGAGCAGCGCTCTGCAGGGAGAAGCAACCCCCGCGTGAGAGCCGCAGTGGCTTCTCCGCGAGCCTTCTGGGGGAGCTCCAGCTACTCCACGAACTAACGCTCTATCGGAAGAGGTTTCTATAGAAGCCAGTGATTTTTTGAAGTTACTAAACCTGAAAACCACAGTTCTATAATGAGTGTTTTCCGTTGTCATTGTGGAACGTTAATTATAAGATAAGTCAATTGCTCGTCCTTAATTTCGACAGGAGAGAAAGCAGGGGAGCCGCAGTGAGTGGTTGCCTCAGAAGGGTCCTAGTGCCTCTCCAGCCTCACCTGGTGCCCCTGATGGCTTGGAGTGCGCTCCTGCAGGCCTGCGGGCCTGCGGGAGGTGCCTGCCCCGCCCCGGGAGACCTGAGCGCGGATGCCCCATGCGGGGCCCCGGGTCACCCAGGTGGGCCACTGTGTGCAGCTATCACAATGCACACGTGGGCCTTGGGTTTGAAAAACTGCTTTGGCTGGAGGGTTTTGATATATGTTTCAAGTGGGGTTTTATACGATGAAGTTTAGAATTCAGGAATTTAGAGTGTGCAGAGCCTTCCTGTGTTAGCACAAGGCTTGTCCACAGTGCCTTTCCAACTGCTCCCCCACATAGGGAAGGCAGAACATGCACTACGTGCCTTCTTGCCTATTTTTCTGTAGACGTTATTTTTTTTAAGTAAGCTTCCCTTTTCCCTTCTGTTCAAATTGACAGTTTTCCTATTTAATAAATTGTAAAACTTCTATGAACTGTACCTTTTTTTCTGATTTAACCAGGTCTTTATGCTTCAGAATCATGGTACTGTCCTTTGGCTTTAGGGCATGCATCTAGTCGTAAGGGGTGATTTGTGCTGAGAAATTCAGCAGCAGTCCCGTGGCCCGTGGGGTCAAGGGTAGACTCAGACCAGGGCTGCGTCTGACCACAGTGGCCCGCACACTAGACGTCAGAGCTGCCTGTTTTGGAGTTGGACAGATTGGAATCTAGTACGGGAGCATTCTTCAGTCACGTGGTTGAATTTTTTTCAAAGACATTTAAACTGGGACACGTCACCTCATTCCAGCCTGTTGGTGAGAAGCGGGTTCGGAGCTCTGGCGGCCTATTAGGAAAGCGCTAGGATGCGGTTCTCTTCTGGGTGCAGGAACGGGGCTTCCTGGGAGGATGCCTCCAGCCACAGCCCTGCATGCAGGCACAGCATTTTAAGGGGGTGCGCGCGGGATGGGCACCTAGAGCCCCCCTGGGGTGTTCCACCTACTGATGCTGCACTTGAGCCAGCCCTGACCTCTGCAAGGGCAGGCAGAGGGGCTGCGGGCGCCGGAAGGGTCTAGATGAAGCAAGCGGCCCGGTGCACACATAGGCTCTTCCTGCTGTCCCCCGTGTGTTTGGAGCGCTCCCGGTAAGAGACTTAAATTGTATGGACGTCCAGCTCTGCCTCTGGGTTTCCGGCCCCGTGCAACCCGTCTGTTTCTCCAGTCTGGCTCTCGGGGACGTCCCTTACCCCATGCCTCGCCTTGCAATCTCCGCCTGCTCTGTCCACCAGGCGAAGGCGCACTGCTGGTTGCCAGCGGACACTGGCTGCTCTTCCGAGCCCCAGGCAGCATTACGCCCCCCGCCCCCATCCCTGAGACGCACCGCGCTCTGGGGGTGGCGCCCCTGCTCTGCCCCCGCCCCGCACATGCCCCTATAGGAGGAGCAACTGCAGGCCGGCCCCGCTCGGGCAGGAGCGGCCTCCCAGACGGAACCAGAGGTACGCGCTGGGCGTGGGGACCGGGGGCTGGGGCGGGCTCCGGCCCTGCGCGACGCCTGCCCCGGGCCAGGCAGCGGCAGCACTGAGCCCTTGGCCACCTTGCTCACTGGCTGCGCAACAACAGCCGCGGATGTAGTCAGCACAGGCAGAAACGAGCGAGCGAGGGAGTTTCGGCGATGCGGAGGTCCCGCCCGGCCGACCACCCCCGCCCCGGCCAGTGCTCGGCAGTCCCGGGGGCGGCCGCGCGGGGGCAGCACTCGCCCGCTCGCCGACCCCGTCCCGGCGTGCCCCGCGCTGCGGCCGCGGGGCGGGACTTCCGGTTGTGCGGCCGCCGGAAGTGTGGGGGGCGGTGGCGCTGGCTGAGGGTGAGGGCGGCAGCGCGGTCGCCGGGGATGGGGCCGGGCCGCGGCGGGAGGGGCGGGCCCGGGGGCCGGGGGGCCGGGCCGCGGCGCTGGTGGCGGCCGGGCTCTCGGCCGGTTCGGCTCGCTCGCGCTCGGAGGGTGCACCTGGCGCCGCGGGACCGGCCGGCGTCCCTCTGTGGCTTGGCCTCCGGCCCCGGGTCCGTGCGGAGCCCCCGGCACTGCCGTCCCTCCGCGAAGCCTCATGAGCCCCCCTCTCTTCCCGGGCCTCGGCCCCGCCGCGGCCGCCCGGACCGGCGCCCCTGCAGACGCGGGGGCCCTGCCCCCCGGGCGCGGCCCTCCCGGCGCCACACCCTGCCCCCTGCGTCCGCGTGCCCTCCGCTGTGCTGCTGGGCTCGGGTCTCCCAGGGCCCGGGCCGCGTGCCGCAGCCACGACCCCCCGCCGTGTGGGCCCCGGGTGCCCGGCCGGGCCGGGGAGGGCGGAGACCAGGCTCTGGGGCCATGTTGGTGCCCATCCGTGCGCCCCCGTGGGTCACAGCCTCGAGCGGGCCGGCCACGTCCACGTGGCGTCAGCGCCCCGGGGAGCAAACTGGGTGTTCTCGCGGGTGAGGGAGGTGTCAGGTCAGCGGTCCAGGGCTCCCCGGAGCGGGACCGCCTGCTTCGGTCAGGCCTCCGTGGGGCCCCCAGGGGCGTGCACGTGTCAGGGGCGGGTCGGTGAGATTCTGCGGTGCGTCCCGGCGGCAGGTGGAAGTCATGGACCTAGACGCCGAGAGAGAGAAGATAGCAAAGGAGATCGCGGAGCTTGAGAGGATTCTGGACCCCACGGCCTCGGGCGTCGGAGCGGGGGTCCCGGAGTCTGGTCTCACGTTGGATTCTGACGCAGGTACGCTTTCACAGGCCACGGCTGGAGCTCCTCCACCTGCCCTGCAGGCGAGCGTGCTGCTCGGCCACACTGGCCTTGCCCTTACTCCCCGGGACGGCCTGTTAGCGCTCCTCAGGCGGCCGAGGACCTGCTGGCTGTGAGTGAGCGCGCTGTCCCCCGGCGTCAGAGGTTCCAGAGCTCAGTTTGTCCGCTGCCACCATGCCGGCCAGCTGGGAGTCACCCCCACATGCTGTCCTCGGTGCTCCCCTGGGCCCTGAGGCCCCTCACCACAGCTCTGATTAGAGGCCTGCCCACGTGGTCAGAACCTACGGGAGACGGGGCCCTCAGGCCTCTCCCTGGCGCCAGGTGCAGGTCTGAGGCTGTTTCTGAGTTTCGGACCACGCCAGGGCCTGCCTTTCCCTGTAATCAGGGCCGCAGCCATGCCCCCGCCCCTAACTCCAGCACCCCCAGGATGGGGCTGGCTCCTTCGAGGCCTGCCCTCATGGTCCTGGCGCGTCTTCTCTCTTTGGCGGACCCTGCCCTCGGTTCAGGGCCTGTCTTGCCTAGTCAGTGAGTGGCGCTCAGCCACTGGCTGATGGCGAAGGAAGGTCCGGTTTTGTCCTGAGGCCTTTCAGCGTCTCCCCCGCCCGTGGCCATCAGGAAAAACCCTGTGCCGTACCTACGGGACATCTCTTTAGCAGATACGGGATTCTGTTGCTGGTCGCTCACACGGTGTGCTTGTGTTCCCACAGATTCACTGCCAGAGGAGGACTCGGAGGCTACTGGTTCCCCAGGCTCGGTAACTACTGGCCTGGGCTGTTTGTGGTACCCACCAAGGCAGACACCACCCTGCCAGTGGGCCCAAGACCAAGCGGGGAGTGCTCTGAGCACGTCTCGGTTTTTCCAGGTGTTTGTTACCGGAAGCATCGCGTCACAAAGTATTTGTCACCAAAATTAAAATTGTTCCTAGGATAACATCTGTCCGAGGTTTGGCGTTCATGCCTCCTGACTTTCCTAAGCTCTCTGTGACGCGTATGTGTCTGGGCATGGCGTCATGCGTGGAAGGTTTTGAGCGTGCTGCCTGGGTCTGGCCCTTTGTAGCTTACTTGTCTGCCTCAGTTTCCAGCGTGCAGTGGGGTAGTCACAGCGCAAGTCAGTCCGCACGTCTCATTGTCCAGGACGGTGTCTGGCACATAGTTCCTCAGTCAGGCCAGTTTTTATTGCTACTTTTTACTTTAGAATTTCGTGTTAATTTGGAGAATTTTTACAATTTGTTTTTTGTCTTTTAATGAAGGCAGCAGGTACAGAGTTGATTCTGATTTTTAATGGCCAGGTAGTGCCCTTGGCTTAGATTTATCATAGTTCCTCACTTGACGGTCCCACGGGTTGTTCCTGGGTTTTAGTCCTGCTGGTGCTGCAGTGGCCGTCCTCACACGTGTTGGGGCTCACCGTTCCCTGCCAGTGACGAGAGCGCACGAGCCCATTCTGAGCCTCGAGTTCCATAGAAACATTGTGGAAAGTGGATGGTATTTAGCTTTTCACGTTTTCCCACCCAAGATATATTTCCAGATGTTTGTTTCTTTTGTCTCAAGTTGTGGAACATGCATATGCTGGACACAGTCCCACATCAGGGTGGTCTGCTGGCCCAGGGACCGGAGCGTGAGCTCAGAGGCTCGTTGTGCTGCCCTGGGTCACGAGGTGGGGCAGCGTCTGCATGCCTCCTTCCTCACCTGCAGTTTCCCACTTGTAACCAGGAAGAGGAGAGGTGGGGTGAGGCCAGCAATGGTGAGGATGACCCCAAGGAAAAGACCCTTCCTGAAGACCCAGAGACCTGCCTGCAGTTGAACATGGTCTACCAGGAGGTCATCCAGGAGAGGCTGGTGGAGGTCAGCCTCCTGCTGGCCCAGAACCAGGAGCAGCAGGTAGGACAGGGCCTGGCCTTCAGAACCCCCATGGCCAGACACCCCAGAATAGGGCTTTGAGCTCTGTCTGTTCCCTGACTGCCCGGGTCCCATTCACAAAGGGAGTCGCTGCTGCCTGACCCCAGATGGGCCCTTTGTATCTGCCACAGGAGGAGATCATGTGTGACCTGGCAGGATCCAAGGGCTCCAAGGTGAAGGACGGCAAGAGCCTGCCCCCGAATTTGTACATAGGGCACTTCATGAAACCCTACTTCAAGGACAGAGTGACCGGAGTGGTGAGTAGCGGGGGCCCTGCTCTCATCAGGGAGGGTGGAGGGGGGGGGGTCAGGCTGCACGGGAAGGAGCTCTCGTTTCCAAACCTCCTGTGGCTGTTGTGAATTCCCTTGGGTTGTTCAGGATAATATTCTTTAGCCTCTTTCAAACTCTTTCTGGTTGCCAGTGGTGAAAGTCAGGGTCTCCAGCCTTGGAATGTGGCAAGCTGACCTCAGCTCCACAGATGAACCCCGGGGGCATTTCCGTAAGAGGTGGCACCATGGGTGGGGCAGCTTGGCAGAATTGTGGTGGCCTGGTAGCGAGGTCCTGTGGAGCCACTGAGACCGCCCCATGCTCCTCACGGCCCCCAGCCACTCACCAGGGAGTAGCTCTGGGCCCAAGTGTCTGGTGCCAGGCCTCCCACGTGGCCAAACTGCTCGAGGAGGCTGAAGGAAAGGGCTCCAGAGTCTTAGTGAGGCCCACCGGGACATGCTTGGCCCGTGAGGTGAGCATACCTGGGTTCTGTCTATGGTGTGACACTGCTTTGTCTGGCAGGGGCCTCCTGCCAATGAAGAGACGCGGGAGAAGGCTGCCCAGGGCATCAAGGCTTTCGAGGAGCTCCTGGTGACTAAGTGTAAGTGCCCAGGCCGGGGCCTCAGCACCACAGCCCTGCCTCTCCTCAGATGCCTTCCTGTGGCTCTGTGGGCTTCTTCGGGCCCTGACCACTGGGACTGTCCCCTCAAAGCCCTTGCCTGTCCCAGGCCACGTGGGGCCACCATCCCCACAGATAACTGTCTGGTCTCCCTTTTCATCCCTGAACACCCAGCCCCACGGGCCCAGCTGTGAGCTTGGGCCAGGGCATCCTGCTTGCTGGACAGAGGGCCCTGGGCCCACAGCCCAGCCCCCCTGCCAGCTCTGTGGTTCTGGCCTGGTCATGTGCCCACAGCTTCCTCACGTGAAAGTAGGGGAAGGCGTTGCTGATGTCATTGTTTCTCGTTAGGGAAAAACTGGGAAAAGGCCTTGCTCCGAAGATCAGTGGTGAGCGACCGCCTGCAGCGCCTGCTTCAGCCCAAGTTACTGAAGTAAGTCCGAGCACAGTCATGGACGTCGGCCTCCCCGGCGAGTGAGGGAGTCCGGGCTCGATGCTTTGTCACGGACACTCAGTGCAGCCGCGTCCCCTGCTCCCAGCGGAAGAGGTGCTGATCCCTGGAACTTTTCCCCAAAGAGGCATCTGGGCTCGAGGTCGGGCATGCGAGAGCTGGGCAGGCCGAGTGGCCGCAGTCAGTCATGCAGCTCGGGCGGTTTCTCTGGTCTGAATGCGGACCGTGCGTGAGACTTTTTATGTTGTGCTGGGGTGACACCATGCGACCAAATCACAGCACCTGGGGCTGGGCCAGGGGTCCCAGGGGCTGCCCCTAGTCTCAAGGCTTGATGTGTGGGTCAGGATTTGCTTCAGGGATGGCTTTCTTCTCCCTGGACTCCAGAAGGGCCAACTGCAGGCTTAAGTAGGCTGTGGCTTTGTCACCAGGCTTCCCGCAGAACACCTCCCTGCGTGCGGGGTCCAAGGCAGGTAGCTGGGATGCTGAACCAGCGGTGTCAATTACTGTCTGTGTGTTCACAACTGCAGTGACAGCAGGAGAGGGAGTGTCGTTGCTTTCTGTGGGCGGGAAGCCGGGCAGCCTCCTGCCTGCACAAGGCAGGCTTGGAGTCGGAGCCAGGCTCCAGTGTGTGCTTCCTGACACGCAGCTTCATCCTATGGAGTGATGTGCATGCCTGAGTACTCAGGGAAACTGCACTGGACCCAAGACACCCCCCCCCCCCCCGCCCCCCCCCCCCCGAGTACAGCCATGATGTGGGTAACCCTGGTGTCTCTGCCTGCCCCGTAGGCTTGAGTACTTGCACCAGAAACGGAGTAGGGTGACGAGTGAGGCAGAGAGGCAGGTCCTGGAGAAGCAGAGCAGGGAGGCGGAGAGGGAAGTCCAGGACATTCGGTGAGCTGGGTCTTACAGGGAGGCTGTGGCCTGGGGAGAGGCATGGAAGGCCCGGTGTGAGCCTGGCAGCCTGTTCCTGTCTCCAGGCAGCTCCCAGAGGAGGCCTTGCTGGGCAACAGGCTGGACAGTCACGACTGGGAGAAGATCTCGAACGTTAACGTGAGTCGGGGCAGTACTGGGCCGACGGCGGCTCATGGCCGTCCTGGTAGCCGAGGGCGTGGGCTGGCATCGGCAAGGTCAGATTCAGGCAGTCAGGCTAAGTCCCTGGTGGCCGCCAGACTTACTGCGGCGCCTCTGGGCAGGTGAGTGTCAGGCCTGCCCCACCGGGGTGAGCTGCCTTTTCAGAGACGGATGAGCACGAAGGTTCAGGCTTCTTGCTTGGAGCCGACCCCCCGCTTCTGGGTGTGTGACTCCTGGCAACCCGGGCTGGGACCCCACTTCTCCCTGGGTGCCAAGCTGCCAGCCGTCCGCGAGCAACAGCCCCTGCAGCTTGGGTTTCTCTGTTGGTGCAGTTTGAGGGTGGCCGCAGTGCGGAGGAGATCCGGAAGTTCTGGCAGAACTTCGAGCACCCGAGCATAAACAAGCAGGAGTGGAGCGGGCAGGAGGTAGACCAGCTGAAGGCCCTTGCGGCCGAGCATGGCCATCTGCAGTGGCAGAAGATCGCCAAGGAGCTGGGGGTGAGGACCGGAGGGGCCTCAGGTGCATGGCTGGGAGGCTGGGCGGGCTTGGGGTCACCACGGGCTGAGTATCACCGCCCAGTACTGGGAGCCGGCACATGGCTTCATCACGCCGCTCTTGAGGGTGTGGCCTACAGGGAGAACAGCCTCTCCACCCCTCTCTGGGCCACGTCTCTGGGCGCTTCTGGCCCCTCCGCCTCCGTCTGTCTCCGAGGGCTCACTCGTCCTCGCCCTCCCAGGGCCTGTCTTATCTGGGCCCTTCCTGGTTTCTGTCAAGTCGGGAGTTGGTTCTGATGGGTTTCGAGGGGAACGCTCTTCCCGGCTTTCTCTGGGTTCTTGTGGTGTTTTCCTCATTTCTAAGGTGAGGACCAAGAGTTCCACTCAGCTTCTGTCTGCACCATGAAGGTGTTGGAAGCTCGCCTCTCTGAGAACAGCTCACTGTGAACTAGGACCCTTTGCCGCCCCTTCAAACCTTAGTTTGTGTAGGAGGGTCCTTCTCATCTGTACGTGGTTAGGTGTCTCGGGAATCCTTTGTGTTGTGCTCTGTTTGAATTTCACTGGCTCACAGCCTGAGAGGATGATGAGTAAAGTCCCCATGTTTGAATGGAGCACTCTTACAGACAGGCACACGCTCGCAGCGAACCGATTAAACCGAAGCTGCCCAGAGACCAGCATAGACCCTAGGGTGGCAGATGGTCCGTCTGTCCTGCCAAGCTCAGTCTGTAGAGCCGCTTGGCCGGAGCACTGTGCCCACATCAGAAAGGCACGCCCCCCCCCCCCGCGTGTCTAATAGTTGTGTTTCACGTACTGAGCTGCTGAGTAAGCTGGCGCACGTACGCTTACGCTTCGTACGGTTGGTAAGTTGGGCTTTTAAAGTCGTTTTTAGTTTTTGTTTTCTTAGTTTCTGGGGTTTTATTTAGGGTTTTGGTTTAGAGCAGCGTTGGTTCTCGGTAAAAGCGAGAGGAAGGGGTGGAGAGTCCCCTTGTGCCCTTCGCGCCCCCACCAGCATCATCCCTTCCCAGAACGGTGCTTCTGTTCAACCGAGGACGGGTCTGTGCTGACACGCCGCCGCACCCAGAGCCGATGTGCACGTCAGGGCTGTGCTGCTGGGGGGCTGCCCCATGTGGGCTTGCACAGTGCACGGGGACACAGGTCTGCGGGGCAGCCTCCTGCAGACTAGTGCTCTGCCACCTATGCTGTGCCTCTTCAGGGCCGCCCAGAGCTGGGGGCCTGTCCCCGCAGCTTCCTCCTCTCGGGAACTGAGGTGTCTCCAGGCCTTTTCCCAGCCTGCCCACGTGTTCCTTTTTAGCACTAAAAACATCCCATTGTCGGGGCGCCTGGGTGGCTCAGTTGGTTAAGCGACTGCCTTCGGCTCAGGTCATGATCCTGGAGTCCCGGGATCGAGTCCCGCATCGGGCTCCCTGCTCAGCGGGGAGTCTGCTTCTCCCTCTGACCCTCTTCCCTCTCGTGCTCTCTATCTCTCATTCTCTCCCTCTCAAATAAATAAAAAATCTAAAATAAATAAATAAATAAAATCTTAAAAAAAACCTTTAAAAAAAAAAAAAACCCCATTGTCTAGATCTATCTCACTTTGTCTCTCCACCTGCTGCGGGCATCTTGGTCGTTTCCAGGATTTGGCAGTTGTGAAGGTGCTGTTAACGTCTGCGCCCAGGCGTTTGTGTGGATGTGAGTGTTCAGGTCCTTTGGGTAAGCACCAAGGAGCAGTCGTATGCTGAGAGGATGTTTGGGTCTGTTCTCCAGAGTGGCCACCCCGTGCTGTGCACCCCCGGCCACAGGCAGGGGTCCTGCTGCCCTGCACCCTCACCAGCCTGTGGTGGCATCTGGGCTCCAGACTCGGGTGGTGCTCCCAGACGTGTGTTAGCATCACATGCACTTCTGCATCTCCGTGATGACAGATACAGGCTGCTTTAGCTCTCATTTGCATGTTTTCTTTGGCTAAGTGTCTGTAGGTTTTTGGTTTATTTTTAATCGGATTGTTTTTTTGCTGAGTTTTATTTTTTTATTTATTTTTTTAAAATGTTTTGTTTATTTATCTGTCAGAGCACAAGCAGGGGAAGCGGTAGGCTTCCCGCTGAGCAGGGAGCCCGATGTGGGACTCGATCCCAGGACCCTGGGATCATGACCCGAGCTGAAGGCAGACGCTCAACCGACTGAGCCACCCAGGTGCCGCTTGCCGAGTTTTAAAGTCTTCTGTATTTGGGAGAACAGCTTTTACCAGACATGTCTCACAAGCACTTTTTCCTGTCTGCGGCTTGTCTTCTCATTTTTCTGACGTCTTCCACTGAGCAAAAGGTCTTAGTCGAGTCCAGCTGATCCGTTCTTTCAAGGACCATGCTTTTGGTGTTGTGTCTTAAAAGGCGTCCCCAAACCCAAACCTCATAGGCATGCAGACTGCATGTGTCCAACCATACATGTTCTCTGTAACTCAAGGGTTTTCTTTAGGAAAAAAGTTCAAATCGCATCGATTAGCTTTTGGGAAATACTTTCCCCATAAGGCGATGAGTGAGGGGACAGGCTTGGGCGACCGCATCTGCCACGGAGACTGGTGGTTTATGTGCTGAGTTGGAGCCCATATGGAAGCCGAGATACAGTCAGTCCGGAGCTCTCCCTAGGGTGGCGTCCCCAGAGAGGCCCGTTGGGGCCCCAGGATTAGGGCCGCTGTGCAGCCCCTACGTCATCAGAGGCGCGTGCTCTGCAGGGAGGCTCCTCCAGGCCGCTGAGCTGGCGGTGCCCACTGAGGACTCCAGTGTCGCTCTGGGGTCATGTGAGTGCAGCGTTAACGGACTTACCTGGACACGCTGTGTGTCTGAACCTGCAGACTGGTGCTTCGCGGCCTCCTTCTGTCAGGGTCTCCACTGTCCCTGCAGGGTCTGCTAGGGGCGATAAGGTCGTTGGTTCACAGCACCCTGGCCGTCCCTCTGCGGGGGGTACACACCCAGTAACACCCACTTTGCTTTGGTCTTGGGGCCTCGGAAGACCAACCGCAGCGCCTTCCAGTGCCTGCAGAAGTACCAGCAGCACAACAAGGCTCTGAAGCGCAAGGAGTGGACACGGGAGGAGGACCGCCTGCTCACCCAGCTTGTCCAGGAGATGCGCGTCGGCAGCCACATCCCCTACCGGAGAAGTGAGTGTCCATGTGGGCCCTGCTCCCTGTGCCCCCCGCTGAGGCTCGCAAGCCCCTGGACCCAAGGCCCCTCACAGGTGGAGGCACCTCAGTCATGACAGGCTGGAGGGGCTGGAGGGGGACGCCCGGGGTCACCCAGCCCCTGCACCCCACGGCCCAATGACCTAGTGACCAGAGCAGCTCCTTGCTGAGTGACCCAGGAAGCGCGGTGCCCATCAGGCCCCTTTGTCCCCAGTTGTCTACTACATGGAAGGGAGAGACTCCATGCAGCTCATCTATCGGTGGACCAAGAGCTTGGACCCCAGCCTGAAGAAGGGGTTCTGGGCCCCAGAGGAAGACGCGGTGAGTATACGGTCGCAGAAGCCAAGGAGAGCCGTGCTCCGGGATGGGAGCCTCGGCGCCCACTGTCCCTTCTGAAATGGACTGGTGCGGGCTGGGGAGCTTACGGCTGCCTGTAGAGGCCTTACTTGTTCGCTGTCCTTTACTGCAGAAGTTGCTTCGAGCAGTTGCCAAATATGGGGAGCAGGATTGGTTTAAAATCCGGGAAGAGGTGCCAGGTAGGAGCGATGCCCAGTGCCGAGATCGGTGAGTTGGACCTCGCTGGGTGAGGGAGGCCTTGCTGGGGTTGCTTCCGGGTAGGCCAGAGGGTGGGCGAGCAGCCTGCGGCCCCAGGGGATCTGCTGGCCGAGGCTGGGGTGACCTGGGGGAGCCCTGCGTAGCCAGGGTATCTGGTCAGGAAGCAGGATGCGTGTTGGTTTTTTTGAAGCAGACTTTTGTATGGGCTCAACCTGAGGTGGCCCAGGGGGCGTTTCCCTGACTCTGTTGTTGAAGCTCCTGTTCCAGACCCCTGACGGCAAGGTCTCTGGGAGGCTGCTTTGGGAATGTCCTTTCTTCAGCCTGTTTTTTTTAACGGTTCATGATAACTTAATCTGTATGTCGTGCAACATACTCCCGTGAGGGGTTCTGGGGGGTTACTGTTGTTGGTGAGCCGTGCAGCCGTCACCCCAGGCAACTTCAGAACGCAGTGACCACCCCCCAGAGAAACGCTGTTTCCCAACAACAGCAAACAGTCGAGGAAAGGGACAAGGGCTCGAATAGACCTTTCTCCAGAGAGCGCACGAGACAGGGCTCAGCGTCGTTAGTCGTTACAGAAACACAGGGAGAGCAGCAGCGAGATGCCACCTTGCGCGCGTCGGGACGGTGGTTTTAAGGCCGCGCAAAAGGGCAAGTTTAGACGAGGGTGTGGAGCGTGCGTGGTGCGGTGCCGCTTCCTTGGGCAGCTAGCCAGGGAAGCACGCTGTTGGCCGGCAAACTGCCGCCCGCCCGCGGGAACCGGAAGCCAGGCCTCACACGGGCACCTACACACGTGTGGTCGTAACCGCGCTGGTCATGGGGCCCCATGGGGGGAACTGACTATGTCAGTGGAGGAACAGGTTGATGACAAAAGTTGTTCTCAAGCTGGACAGACACTAGAGTACTGTTTGGTCTTAACGACGAAGCCCCGGGGCACCTGGTTGGCGTGGTCAGTGGAGTGCCCAACTCTTGATCTTGGGGCCATGGGTTCGAGCCCCGCATTGGGTGTAGAGAGGACTGAAAAGATAAGTGCATGACGTCCTGACACCCCCCCCCCGCCTCGTGGGTTCGCCTTGGCAACGGCAGTGTCTGTGTGAACGGGCACGCTCGTTGCTCTTGGATGTGTGCCTGCGAGTGGGGTTTTCAGGGCATGTGATGCTGTGGTTACCCGCAGCGGCGGCCCTGCCCTGTGCCCCCATGGGAGACACCCTCACCAGCCCCCACGAACCCCGGCTCCCGCAGGCATGGGGTGTGAGGTGGCGTCTCGGTGGCGTCCGTTCGTGGCTCCCTGACAGCTCCTGGCATTGAGCATCTTTGTGTGTAGACCGGCCCTTTGCATGTCTTCTCTGGAGAAACATCTGTTCTTGTCGTTCTCCCAGTTAAAAAACCGAGTTGTCTTTGTGTCCCGGTTTGTGTGAGTTGATGCGTGTTTGGCTACAAGTCCCTTATCCGAAATCTCATCTGCCCGTCTTTCTCGGTGGCGTCCTGTGAGGCACATCAAGGTTTTAATTTTCATGAAGTTCAGTTATTCTGTGTTTTCTGTTCGTCCCCTGAGCTTTTGTCGCCGGGTCTCGGGAGCCCTTGCCGGCGTGGGGACAGCCGCGGGAGGGCGTTCTGGCGCCCGAGACACCCTTGTGTCCTTGCCACTTTCAGGTACCTCAGACGGCTGCACTTCAGCTTGAAAAAGGGACGATGGAACGCAAGTGAAGAGGGGAAGCTGCTTGAGCTGATCGAGAAGTACGGTGTGGGTGAGTCTTGGGCCTCTGCAGGCCCTGAACCCCCAGGAGGCACGGCTCGCGGCGACCCCAGCTGCCCTCCTGTCCGCAGCCTTTCCCCGGCTCAGCGGGCAGCAGCTTCTCTCCCTTGCGCACTGCCGAACGGTCGGGATGCAAAGTTCAGGAGCGCCGTCCCTGCTCTCCTGGGGATGGCTGCTGCCGGCCACATGCACCTGCGCAGCCCGCTCTCTGGGCCCATTTCTAGGGCAGCTTTTTTTAAAGTTGAGTCACTCGGTGTGAGTTTATGGAGTCCACCACTTTCCACTTAGCATTCTCTTGTCCGTTGTGAATGTTTTTCTGTCTCCATGCGTCCTTTGTTCTCCCGTTGTTGTCAACAGTCACATCCTGTCTCCCTGAGAAAGAGCACGGAACTTCCTCAGCCGCCTGTCTCTCGATGGATGTTTCTGTTGTTTCTCATTTCTGCCCCTTTTGCTCCTGGAAGGAGCGAAGGGCTTGGTCACTGCATCTGCTCATTATCTGCAGCATCTCCTCAGGAACAGACCCTAGATGTGGTGTTGTTGAGTTCAAGTGTGTGCAGAATCCTGAGTGTGGCACGGAGTCACACTGCCCTAAACACAAGGCACCAGTGTCCTCCTGCCTGTGGGGTCGGGAGAGAGAATAGTTTGCCACGTTTGGTGTAGAAGCCGGGGTGTGGCAGGATCGCAGGGGCTGTGTTTACATAAACGCAGATGGTTTTTTCCTTCTTGTCTGTGTGTTTTCTAGAGTCTTGCTAAAGGGCTGATTATCCGTTGAGAATCCGAAGGCCCACTTGTCACTGAGCTGCTCCGACGTGGGGAGCAGTGTGCAGTGGAGCACGCGTTCCCTCGGAACACGGTGCAGGTCTTCTACGGGAGACCACGCATCTGCGAGAAGAGCCTCTTGTTCAGGCTGTAAACGTGTCATCAAAGACCATGGGAAGCAACTTCCGCGTTGTTTTGCTTTTGTAGGTCACTGGGCAAAAATAGCTTCTGAACTACCCCATCGGACGGGCTCCCAGTGTCTGAGCAAGTGGAAGATCATGGTCAGGGTGAGGCTTTGCCAAAAGTCAGTCGAAGGCCCTGTACCCGTGGGACCGGCATCACTGCTGGGCGGGGAGGGGAGGAAGGACATCTGGTTTCTGGCCCTGGCATCTTTTCTTCCTGGAAGTCAAGGGCAGAGAGCCCCAGCCTCTCCGATAGCTGCTGTCCTCTCAGAGCATTCGGGGGAGCGGGGGGTTGTGCTCCCAGTGCGCCGTGTCCAAGCCTGCTTGGGGTCTCTCCCCAAAGGGCTGGCCTGCCTGCTTGCTGTCCCTGGTCCGTGAGCCCTGGGCGGCCGAGGACCCCAATTAGCCCTTCCCCACAGAAGAAGCAGAGTCGGGGCAGGAGGCGGCGGCGGCGGCCCCTTGGCAGCATGCGGTGGAGCTCCAGCAGCGGGGACGGCAGCAGCGGGGATGGCAGCAGCGGGGGCGGCAGCAGCGGGGGCGGCAGCAGTGGGGGCGGCAGCAGTGGGGACTCGGAGCCAGAGGAAGCCCCAGAGGCCAGGGCAGGTGGCCAGGCGCTGCCGTCAGCACAGCACACCGTGCCGGACATGGACCTGTGGGTGCCTGCCAGGCAGAGCGCCAGTGAGCTGTGCGCAGGGGGAGCCCGGGGCTGGCCAGGACACCGTGCCGCCTCCCCCAGCCCTCCCAGGGCCTCCAGCGAGGCTCAGGACAGCAGAGCTGCTGGCCCCACAGCCTCGGCTCCCGCAGAGGAGGCAGGCCAGACGCACACTCCCTCCGGGACCCACAGCACCAGCGCGAGAGGCATCGGGCACCCAGGCTCGGCGGACACGCACCTCTCGAGCTCAGAGGAGCTGGCAGACAAGGTAGGCCCCAGACCTCAGTGCACCCCACATGGCTGCTCGGGGGTCACTTAGCTGGTGCTGAGGCACAGCGGGCCGGCCTGCGCTCGCGTCAGCTGCGTTCTGGGCGCAGTGGGTCAGACACCCGTCCTGGCTCCAGAGAACGTTCACTTCTGGTGCGCAGGAGACTCGTGTCCAGAGCAGCAGCCTCTACTTCCCCAGGTTTGCTTTACAAGCCGTGCAGGGGCCCTGCCGGGTGGGGCCACAGACTTGGAGCCATTTCTGACCTGTCTGTCCCTGAGTGGGGGGGTCGGCAGGGGGCAGCAAGCAGGAGGGTGTTCCCCTGGCTCGCAGAAGTCCGGACACCTCTCCTGTGTAGGGTCTCACTGTCCACCAGCCCTGTGTATGCCTGTCCCGGTCGGCGTCTGAGCTCTCAGGGCCCTGGCCGCCTCCCTGGCTCTGGCTGTGTGCGGAGTTGCGGTGAGCAGGCTGGCCTGTCCTGGGAGAGATAGGAGACTGTGGCACCTGAGGGGACAGCGGGCTGTCCAGGCAGCCGGGCAGACTGCACACGCCAGCCCCTGCGGTGCCATCGGCTCGGGGGGGCTGGCCGGGGGAGCAGGGGCCCTCTGCTGGTGCTGGCTGCAGCCAAGCTGGGCAGGCAGGTGGGTGGCCAGGCCTTAGGGACCCTCCTGAGGCCGTGATGCCTCAGAGTGCTTCCGCCACCCCGCACTGGGACCCGGGCGCAGGGATGTGTGCTGCCTCTGCAGGCCCTGCACCAGGGCTTCCCACGTGTCCAGCCTCACGCCGTCTTTTCGTCAGAGTGGGAGCTGTCTGCTGAAGGTGCCACTGGAGACAGTGCTGCAGGTGCTCAGGACCAACACAGCCCGCCGGCGCCAGACGCTGGTAGGAGCTGGCCCCCCATCGCCCACCACTGCCACCGCCCTGTCGGCCCAGGGCCCCTCCCCAGTCCAGGGAAGGAGTGGAGGGCGGTGTGTGGGGCTGTGGGCAGCCTTGGAGCCCAGGCTGACTGGGAAGCCCAGGGGTCTTTCTTCCTTACACAGAAGGAGAAACTGAGACACCCGTGCCCACTCAGCCCGTCCCTGGGGGCCAGCCCCAGTGACAGTGGTGTGGCCGGGCCCCATGCACGGCGGCTGTGGCACAGGACGATCGGGAACAGGCGGCAGTGGCGAGGACATGCCCTGCAGAGGAGGCTCATTGAGCGCCAGCTTCTGGTGGCCATGAGCCCGTGGGTGGGCGACGTTGTCCTGCCCTGCACCCCCCGGAGGCCTGCCGTCGTGCACACTCGAGGTACTGCCCCAGGGTTCTTTTGAGAGCCTCCTGTGGGTTTGGGGTGGGGGAGACACAGGGCAGATGCGGGGTGACCTTGCTGGGGAGGGGGTGCACGGGGAGGGACCCCTGTGCCAATCTCATCTTTCTAGAAAGCATCCCTTTGGAGGGCTGTTTGGGTTTTGTCTCTGACTTGCTTAGCACACGAGGGACAGTCTGGAAATGACCAGCCATTTGGGCCTTAGCAAGGGTCTTCTCGGGGCTTGGGTGCGCAGTGCCTGCATGCAGGTTTCTGGAGAGCTGGTTGTGTTCTCGGGGCTGGGGGGCGGGGGGGCTCCACAGGCCAGTCAGGGCCGGCCTGCCCTCTGGGCTCCTGCCCTTCCTTCTGGCTGAGCATGGCGGCAGATGGATGCGGGGTTCTTTGGGGCCTCAGGGAGAGGGGTCTTGGTAACTGCGCATGTGTGCCTTTGTCTTCTCAGCGGATGGCATCAGGAAGCAGCTGCAAGACGCCCGGCTGGCCAGCACCCCTGCGTTTACTGTTTTTATCCAGGTGAGAAGCCCCGTAAGGCAGAGCTTTTCTATCTTATGCTTGGTTTTCCTTGGGTAAAGGTGGATTCACTTCTTAAAATCTAACTTTTTGAAGTTTCAGACCTTTGGAAAGGGTTTTTTGGTGCCTTGCAACACCTAGTAGGCCAGTCACTATGGAAGGGACAGCCCCGTCCCTGCCACCGTCAGTTAAACCCCATCCTGAGGAGGGACGGGGGTGCTGGGACCCCAGTGCGTAAATGGAAGCTCAGAGGGAGGAGACCTCGGCCCGGAGGGAGCTTTGCTCCGACGCACCTAGGCTCTGAGGCCAGGCCGGGGCTGAGCAAAGGGGTCATGGCCTTGAGGGGCTGTGCCGGGCTCCGGACCTACCCCGAGCAGTGGTCAGAGCTGGCTCAAGTTCATCGCAGACACCCTTGTCATCTTGGTCCTGGACGGGGAAGAGGGACAGGCCCTTGTTGTGCGTGTGCCATGCATGTGTCATGCGTGTCCCTCAGCTGTTCCAGATTGACACTGCTGGCTGCATGGAGGTCGTTCGAGAGAGGAAGGCCCAAACCCCTGCCCTGCTCCAGACTGGCACTCGGGACCCAGTGCCTGGGCTCCTACAGGTGAGAAGTAGGGAGTGAGCACCCGGCACAGGCTCACCCGGTTTCTGCCACCCTCCCTCCTCTTCCTGACACGGCAAGGTCAGTGCTGGGGTGGGTAGCAGCTGTCCAGCCGGAGAGTAAGAGACAGGAGGCATTCCTGAGTCCCCCTACAGGCTGGTCCAGCCCCTGAGAGCAGCCCTGTTGGCTTTTGGCCCCCTCACGGCAACCCTTCTAGGAGGTGTCCGCCCATTTGCTTGGAGCCCTGAGGGCTTCACGACATGTCGGGGTGGGAGGGGGCAGAGCTGGTACCGTGCCGCCCCTGCGTGGAGGCCTCCAAGCTCTTGGACATCTACTGCTCTGGGCATTGGCCTTGCTGGGGTGAGATGCCAGGTGTGGGGTCCGTGGGGTCCGTCGCATTCCTGTGTCTAGTTAAAACTGAAGGGAATGACAGAATGACCAGGTTGGCCCTGTGGTGCCATTCAGGCCCCAGAGACCCCGAGTCCTTCTGCCTGGGGAGCCAAGCTCCTGCCTCTCCCTCAAATCCCACATAGGCCTGATCTCCCCATGATGAGCTCACCCAGTGGTGCTTGTAGGAGGATGTGGGGAGGGAGGGAGGCCGGCCCTGGTGCTTGGGCCTTGCTCCCACTGCAGGTGAGAGAGCAGAAGGAAGGCTTTGCTGCAGGTAGAGAAGAGTGGGTCTGGGCCCTGGAACTTCCCTGAGGCGCACACTTTTGTTTTTCAGATGTCTTCATCGCGGGACTCCCCAGGTACTCTCTCTGTTCCTGTCTGCACCATCTAACCTAACGGCAAAGGGGTGTTGGATTTCGGGTTTTGGGTAGCACAGCTGTGGCCCTGCTGACAGATCTTGTCCGAATCCCACGGCAGGGACAGAAGCGTGGCAGGCGGGAGTGGGCAGAGGCAGCTCAAGCTCCTACCTACCCTGCACGTAAGCCAGCCCCGGGCATCCGGGAGGGGCCTCTGCTGCTGGCTGCCACCAGCCTCCCCACACCAGCAGCATTGCTGGCCGGCTCTGAGGCTCTGGGGGCCTGGGAGACCACGTGAGGAGGACGGTGGTGCCCAGCGGTGGTTGTTTTGAAGATGCCGAAGGCATGGGGCTGGCGGCCGGTACCCGGCAGGCCCTGCTGTCCTGGCTGCGGCAGGAGCTCGAGGAGGTCTGGGACGTGCAGATCAGATGCCAAAGCTCCTGCTCTGTACTCCCAGCAGCTGCCCGCCCTCCAGGAGGGCCCTCCGATGGGACAGGGGGGAGGCCTGTCTCCGGTCCGCACGCATGGAGCTCATCCACATGTGTGTTGTGTCTTCCCTGCAGGCCGCAGCTTCCGGAATCCACCGGCACGAGAAGCTGCAAAGCAGAGCACCAGCCACAAAGGGAGCAGGGGTTTACAGCTCTGCCGTGCCGAGTCCAGTCCACCGGCGCCCCCGCCAGCTCCGGGTGGCCCTCGGCCCAAGCCCAAGACCGTCTCCGAGCTGCTCCGCGAGAAGCGGCTTCGGGAGGCCCGGGCCAGGAAGGCCGCTGCCCCAGGCACCGTGGCTCTCCCACCGCAGCTGCTGCTGTCCTCGCCGCTGATCCTCCAGCCCCGTCTACCGCAGCCGCCCCCCAGCCCCCCAGCCCCGGGCCCCGCTGCCGCAGACACGGCGCGCTCTGGGCCTGGGATCCCTGCAGCAGCGGGGCTGAGTACTCCAGGCCAGGACGAGAGGGCTTCGACCCTGCCAGTCTTGGACCGCACCCTGGCCTCCACGGAGGCTGCCCCTGCTGCCTCCAGAGCTCCGGTTCCCAGCCGGGTCCTTGTGAGTGGCCATCAGGGTGGCCTGGGACAGTCTCCGGCCCCCGCCACGTCCCGGAAGCAGGGCCTGCCTGAGGCACCACTCTTTCTCCCAGCAGCACCCAGCCCCATTCAGCTGCCTATGCAGCCCCTCAGCCTGACGCCAGCTCTGGGCATGCACAAGGGTGGGCCTCACGTGGCGGCCAGCACACCTCTGCCTGTCACCTGGGTGCTCACAGCCCAGGGGCTGCTCCCTGTGCCAGCCGTGGTGGGCCTTCCTGGGGCGGCAGGACCCTCTGATCCCAAGGGACTGTCCGTGACTCTGCCGTCCTCCCTGCCTGGGATGCAGCTAGGCCAGGGCCCCAGGCTCCCTGGGCTGAGCCACCCCTGGCAGCCCCCGGCCAACGTGGACACAGACTCAGATTCTTCCTCCAGGGCAGACCTCTCGACCCTTCCGAAGCTTTGCCAATCCCAGAGTTCTGTGGAAGTGGGCAGTGACGTGGCCCCTGTCCCTGGGGGACCTTCCTTCCCTGGAGAGGCCCAAGTGGCCAGGGAAATAGCTGCGCCCAGGATACCCTCCCAGGCCACACTTCTGGCTGACCACCCTGAAGCAAAACCCCCGTGGTCCAGCCAACCCCCTCTGCAAGCTGGCACTAGCCCTGGGAGTGGCCCAGGAGGGACACCGGGGTCCCCGGGGCCAGGGGGACTCATGGGACCTCTGGGCCTAGAGAGGCCACCCCTACCCCGGCCTGGGCCTGAGAGGGGTGCCCTGGACCTGGACCTCCTGTCCCAGGAGAGTGAGGCAGCCGTGCGGGATTGGCTGAGGGGACAGCAGGGGGTGTGCGTGCCCCCACTAGGGAGCAGGCTGCCCTACCAGCCCCCAGCCTTGTGCAGCCTACGGGCCCTGTCTGGACTCCTGCTGCACAAGAAGGCTTTGGAGCAGAGAGCCACCTCCCTCGTGCCCAGTGGGGCAGCCGGAGCCCTGCAGGCCTCGCTGGGACAGGTACGGAGGCGGCTCCAGGACAGCCCGGCCTACCTGCTGCTGAAGGCGCGGTTCCTGGCAGCCTTCACCCTCCCTGCGCTCCTGGCCACGCTGTCTCCCCACGGCGTCCACACCACCCTGTCGGTGGCCACAAGGGCCGAGCCAGAGAGCGAGGACGACCTGGGGGAGTTGGAGCTCACTGATGGCTGCTCCACAAGTGGTCCTTGGGCAGGGCCGGCAGCCACCATCCCCATTCAGGTAGGCGGCCATGGGCACAGAGGCTCCCCCCCCCCCAGCTCCCCGGTGGCCGTCTGCAGCGCCCCCACCCAGTTGTGGGTGGGAGTTCGGCCAGCAGGGCTGGCCCACCGGTTGCTGGGGAGGAGGAAGCTGGCTCCAGGCCTGTTCAGTCTGTGCGGATGTGGTCCTCCCTTGAGGCCAGTGTGGAAAACAGAGGAAGGAACCTCTACACTCACGAAACCCCTTGGCCCCTCTTGGGGCTGCCGCCCCCACTACAAAGCCTTGCCTGAGGGAGCGGGTGACCTCAGGCCCTGTGCACCCTGCGCACATACAGGCTCCTGCATTGGGGTACTAGCTCCACAGAGGTGGGCCTGCCCTTGTTTCTGCACATCTGGGGACACCGAGATCCTTCCAGCTGGCAGCTCTGGTACCATGTACCCTGGAAGAGCTTTCTGAGCTGTGGAGGCCAACCGCTTTCCTTGTTCCCTAGCAAGAAGCCTGATACAAACACGCAGGAAGGTGTCCCCATGTCCTCTGTGGCTGCGTGTGCCCACGGGGCTCCCAGCAAGTGTCCTCTGACCCTGTTCCTGGGGCCAGCAGGAGAGCCGGGCCACCTCGTGTGTCACATCAGGGAGGTTGTGGGGTCTCCTGTGGGTGGTGGCCCTTCCCCAGCTGGGGCTTTGTGCCGTCAGGACAGCGGAGGCAGGGTTTGTGGCTGGGGGCTGAGGGGGGAGGGCCTCCTGTCCCCTGGCCTGCGTGCAGGCTCTTCGCTGTCATCTGCCTGTGTTTCTCGGCACTGCCCTGCCAAGCCTGGCTGGGAGAACCGTGACATGGGAGGCTGGCTCCCTGGCATCACCAAGGGGATTAGAGTCTGCAAGTGGGATGGGGGGCTGGTGGGGAACCAGAGCCCGCGTGTGGCCATGTCTCTCCTGCAGGAGTCTCAGTTCATCTGCAAGCCACAGTGTGTCTGCAGGGACAGGTCTGGGGAGCAGCACATCCCTGGCAGCCTCCTCCCTGGTGTGACTCCTCACTGCCCCCGCTTTCCCTGCCTGTTCTGCTAGGGAGTCACTCTTGTTCTTCTCTGCCTGGGTTTTGTTTTCAGGGAGCCCCAGACCCTGGGCAGAGCGCTGACTCTTCCTGCTTGGATGGTTCTGACAACCTTGACGTGCTGAGAACCCGGCATGCCTGGCATGCCCGGAAGAGGAGGCGGCTGGTGTGAGCGCAGGGTAAGCGTGGGTCTTCCCTGTGGCTCTGCTCTGGGCATGTGGGGGCCAACAGCTGTCCAGATGCAGGGCAGGCTGGCGCTTAGGAGCTCGCTCGCACCAAATGTGATGGTGTTAGGTGGGGTGTGGGCATATACAGGCCTCTGGGGGCAGGCCCAGGGTTGTGGAGGCCCCCGGGGGAAGGGCCATCTAATCCCCCTCCCCCAGGTGCAGCCCTCACCCACTGGGTTCCACACCCCAGGCTCTGTGCTTCCTTCTTGCTGGCACACATGTGCCTCAGGGCCTTTGCATTACTAGGCCCTCTGCCTAGCTTCCTTCTGTGTCTGTGAGGCTCATTCCCTTTGTCCGATCACATCTCTGCTCAGTGGTCGCCTCCTCAGAGATGCTCTATGACTGTTCTTCTGAGGCAGCGTTGTTGTCCCAGAGTCCGTCTGTCTTGATCGCACTCTGCTCTCTGCAGCTGACACGGTCTAGGTGTATATTTGTCATCTCTGCCGTGAACGTGTGCCCTTATGGGGAGTAATGTAGTTTTTGCTGCTGGGGCCTCAGTGTGCGGACAACAGGCACCAAGTAGGCCTTCAGCACGGATTAGTTGAGTTCACGGAGTGGAGAACCCATGCGGGGGAAGGACCCTGTCCAGGTCCACAGGTCCCGGAGACAGGAGCCAGCTCCTCTGAGCACGGTGGGGGCCGTGCCCTGAGAGGTCCTGGGTCCTGGAATAGGGCAGATGGGTCCACAGAGGGGATGCCAATGGGGTAGGGGGGTCCTTTGGAAGTCTACCCAGGCCCCAGGGTCTGCCCTCAGCATGGCCCCTGTGAGGACTGCAAGTGGGCAGCCAACCTGGTTCTGCTGTGCCCTCAAAGGGGGCATGGTGCCACCTTTGGTTCCTGCCCTACAGCACCGTCCATGGGGTCTGGCTGGGAGTCTGGGCATCCCCACCATCAGGGCATCTTTGCATTCCAGGAGGCAGGAGCCATGCTGGACCCTGGTGAGCCCACCTGCCCGGAGAGCCCCTCACCGACCCTTCCAGAGAAGGCCAAAGCAACTGGAGACTGGGAGAGGCTCCGCTAGCAGGACTGTGAGGCCAGAGGGGCTTGGCTGGTCCTCAGGCACAAATTGGGATGTTTGAAGGAATAAAGGAATGGCTTATTTTTTTTTTTATTAAAAAGCAAGTCCCCAGGTTCTTATGATGTTGCCCTGAGAGAGACCGGGCAGTGTACAGAGGGTTGGGGCCTCCTCTGGCCACGTCGGGAGCCGGCTGGCTGGGCCCTGAGATCCGAGGAGCCCCCTGAACCCCAGGCCTCAGTGTTGGGTGTGGGGTGCCCTTTCCACAAGACATGCTTGTGGCTCAGACCGAGGGGCCTGCCACGAGCTCCCAGGTGGCCACTGGTCGTGGTGCGGCCACGGGGACTGGGGTGGACCCCGCCTCGCTGCCTTCTGACCACACTGCCAGCCGAGGTGGGCTCCTGGAACCAGCGGCAGCCAGGCTGCCACAAGTGGTGCAGCAGCCCCAGGCCAGTGCCGCCTTCCTCCTGAGAGGCCGCTGCTTGGCAGGATGCCAAGCCCCAGCACCCTCCACAGCTCGGAGGGATGCTCAGCCTTGGTTTTGGTGTGCAGCCTTTTGAGGCACTTGGTTCTAGAGGCTTTGTTCCTGTGTTCTCTGCATGTGACCCTCCCGCAGGGTGCCGCACCCACTGGGACTGACCCACCACCACACAGCCTCGTGAATGTGCTTTCACTTTTTAGTTTGTGCCCAGTGCTTTTTCGGCTCGTTTCTACTTCTCCTGGGGGCTTCTTTGGACCTGTGGTTGTTTAGAGGTTTCTGTTTAATTTTCAAACGTTTAAGGATTTTCCAGTTAGCTTTTTGTTACTGATTTCTAGTTTCTGATATGGAAAACATGATGTTTCTGTTGTTGAATTTTTGCAAACACCCACTGTGAGGGAGACACCTTTTATTAGCTTCATTTTGCAAAATGGGGACACCGGTGGTCACCGCTCCAGGCCCAGGACTGGCTGCTTCTGGAGGCATGATGTCAGCCTCTGTCCTCCCAGAGACCTGCGGGGGGCAGGGGGGTGCAGGCTGCCCGCCACCCCGTGACTCAGACGCGCGGGAGGCAAAGCCCAGGGACTGAGGATGGAGAGCCCACAGGCAGGGAGCTGGTCAGGCAGAAGGCAGCTGCCTTGGGAAGGTGGAGCCAGGAGCCCTGGTCAGGACCTGCGCTGCCTGTCCGGCCTCTCCCTAGCTGTTCCCTCGGCCTGGCAGCCAGCGTCTCCGGCCGCCAGCACAGCTGCCCCGGCAAGGCATTGGCCTGGGGGTTGGTTTGGGGGGCCGTGGAGAGTGGCCTCAGGGTCCTGGAAGCCGGCTGTCACAGTCCCGTGTGTCCTGGGCGGAGAGAGCTTGCTGAGGGGAGACTCTTCCCGGAAGGGCGGGGGTGTGCTGGGCTAGCTGTGGTGCGGGCTGGTGGCCCTGTGGGGCAAGCGTGGCCAAGCCCCTGGCCTTTTGGGGGCCGCAGCGGCCTCTCCAGCCACGTGCCCTCTGGATGCTACACTGCAACCCTCATGTGATCAAGGCCCCTTGCTGGCCAGCTGCGTGTGTGGGCCCCTGGCGGAGAGCCCAGAGTTGGGCCCAAAGCCCTGGGATCCCCACCTGCACCTTGCAGGCTGCCTGCATTGCTGGTCCCCAGCCGACCCCTGCTGGAGAAGCCTCCGGAAGCCCGTGTCCAGGCCAGAGCAGACTGGACAGTGCACTGACCTCCTCCAGCTCCGGGGAGGGTCTTTGCTCACACTTCCACTTAGTGGGCGCAGGGCTGGGCCTCCAGGCCTCTGAGCAAGACTTCCACTTTCCTCCGCCCCGCCTCCCGGGCCCTGCCAGGCAGACGAATCAGAAGGCAGGCCCAGGGACTGGCTCCCTTGGGCAGGACCTGCCGGGCTCCGTGGAGCTAACCAGCACAGCACCATCAGGAAGTGCACAGCTTTCCTCCCGGGCTCTGCCAGCCAGCCAGCAGCACCTCCTCCTGTTCATCGGATCGGGCTGGCCCAGGCTGACCAGTGTCCCACCGTGCAGGTGCCTCTCCGGGACCCTGAGGTAGGCGGGGCTGCTGCCCTTTCTGAAGGTGCCAGGAAGACACCTGTGTCTCTGCTCAGGGCTCCTGGGGCAGGGAGCCAGGTTCTGGGGCACTTACCCCAGAAGGGCAGTAAGTGGCCTCAACTCTTCTGCCTATCCACTTTCACAGCCACGTGGTACCTGCTTGTTCGTCTCAATGGACTTAACAGCAGGGTGTCAGGTGTGGGACTTGTGGATTTTAGGCGGGAGAGGCAGGGAGCAGGCTGAACATTCCAAGGGCCATCCACTGAGTGCTAGTGTGTGTCTCTGGCTGGATGGGATGACCAAGGGCCATGGGAAGTCAGAGAAACTCCTGCAAAGACCCTGCCTGCTGCCACCTGGACCTCTGGGAGCGTGGTCTAGCCCCTCTGGGCTGGAAACCACGTTCCCACACCGGCTGAGGGTGCTCTGAGGTGGCGGTGGGTCAGCGTCTCCGTCCCCGCCACCAGGAGGAGGCTTCTGGTTTGGCCCAGGCCTCAAGAGAGTGGTTCCCACCCCCACTGGTGGAAGGGAGCAGCACTGGGTGGTCCCGACACGGATGGCCCCCTTGTTGGGGAGCCTGAGTGCATGGGAACAGGCTTCGTCTGGGAAGGGAGAAGAGCCCCACGGTGGCTGGTGCCCAGGACCTGAGAGCCTGCAGAGGGCGCCAGAACGGCGCTGGGGCGGGCCTCCGGATGCGGCGGGCCTGGCTCTCCTGTGGGCGGTCCACAGTCACCCTTCCCGAGCGAGCCGCCTGTGCCACTGTTGCACCACCAGCTGGCCGCCGGAAGGAGGGGGCAGTGGGGCTAAGCTCTGAGCGGCTGCCACGTCCAGGAAGGAGGAAGTCCCCCACAGCCCTGTCTGGCGCGCACGCGTGGGCGGGTGGGTCACTGCCCCAGGCTTGCCGCCCCAGCCTGGGTGCCTGCCTACCCACACGTGCCTGGGGGGCCCTGCCAGTGGGTAGGAGGTGGTGGCCTGCCAGCCCCACGCTTCCGGGATGGGGAGTGCAGGGTCCAGAGCAGGGCCAGTATGTGGCTCGTGCAGTGTTCTCAGACGCCACCCATCCCTGGAGCCCTCCACGTCTCCCCCGACTCTCATCAGGGCGACCCACGGACAGGGAAAGCCCATGGAGGGGGGGGAGGGCCGGCGGGTAGCAGGGCCCAGGGAGGGCCGCCCTGGCTGAGCTGGTGCCCCAGGTCACAGGGCCAGCACCGAGGAGGGAGGGCCGGGGCAGGTGAGGCCGCACCCCTGTCCTGGACAACCCCTCCCAGCGGCTCTCCCACCACCCGCAGCCGCGGCCACCGCCATGTCAGACTACGAGAACGAAGACCAGTGCTGGAATGCTCTGGAGAGCTTCCGCGTGAAGCTCATCTCTGTCATCGACCCCTCGCGCATCACACCCTACCTGAGGCAGTGCAAGGTGCTGAACCCCGACGACGAGGAGCAGGTGCTCAGTGACCCCAACCTAGTCATCCGCAAGCGGAAAGTCGGTCAGTGCCGCCTCATGCAGGAGCTTCAGGCACGGGAACGGGCACTCCCCAGCACCCCATACCTTGTCCCTCCTGCTGGGAGCAGTGGTGCTTCCGTGCACAGCAGAGGCCCCGGGGAGAGCCCAGGGCGGGTGGGCAGGATGGCCACGGCCCCAGCCAGGTCCTGTGGGTTTCAGGCGTGCTCCTGGACATCCTGCAGCGGACCGGCCACAAGGGCTACGTGGCCTTCCTTGAGAGCCTGGAGCTCTACTACCCACAGCTCTACAAGAAGGTCACGGGCAAGGAGCCCACCCGTGTCTTCTCCATGATCATCGGTGAGGCCTGGGACCCCGCAGGCAGGCTGCTAATGGCTGGCCTCCTGATGGATAAACTGGGGACAAAAGGAGGTGGAAGGGGCACACTGGATGGCCGCAGCTCTGCCCTGCTCCTTCTCTCGCTGCTGGAGGAAGGCAGACCCATACTGGGGTGGGGGACAGAGGCCCCCATGGGTTCCTGGGTCAGAACCCCTCTGACCCCACCAAAGCTTCGGCTCCTGGAAGGACGGGTGTCTGCTGGCCCCAGCAACAGGCGAAGCCACACTTTCCTGCATGTCCTCTTACCTCACAATCAAGATCATGACAAAATGAGCCGAAGGGGGAGGGTGCCTGGCCTCACGGCTGCTGTCCTGAGGGTGGGCCGGGGACGGGGCCGCAGGTGAGTCAGGAGCTCTGCCTGCTTCCTCGAAGGGGAGCACCAGCACCTTTGGGCGGCCCCTCGGCCGGGCCCCGAGCCTCCTGCAGTGCGGTGGCCGGTCCTCAAGCCTGGAGCCCAGGAGGGGGTGCGGCAGGGCAGCCGAGGGCCGGGCGGGCCCTCTGACGCGGCCTAGCTGTCTGCAGACGCATCCGGGGAGTCGGGCCTGACACAGCTGCTGATGAGCGAGGTGCTGAAGCTGCAGAGGAAAGTGCAGGACCTGACCCAGCTGCTGAGCTCCAAGGACGACCTCATCAAGGAGCTGCGGGTGAAGGACAGCCTGCTCCGCAAGCACCAGGAGCGCGTGCAGCGGCTCAAGGAGGAATGTGAGGCGGGCAGCCGTGAGCTCAAGCGTTGCAAGGATGAAAACTATGACCTGGCCATGCGCCTGGCCCGCCAGAGCGAGGAGAAGGGCGCCGCGCTCATGCGCAGCCGCGACTTGCAGCTGGAGGTGCCCTGGCACCCGTGGCTGGAGGGTGGCGGGGCGTGGGGCGAGGCTGGCCGGCTGACGGGGTCTCCCCGCAGATTGAGCGGCTAAAGCACAGCCTCATGAAGGCGGAGGATGACTGCAGGGTGGAGCGCAAGCACACGCTGAAGCTCAGGCACGCCATGGAGCAGCGGCCCAGCCAGGAGCTGATGTGGGAACTGCAGCAGGAGAAGACACTGCTGCAGTCGCGCGTGCGGGAGCTGGAGGCCACCGTGCAGGTGAGGCGCACGTGCGGGGGCCAGGGGCCGCCGCGCAGGCGGGGTGAGTGCTCATGGGAGCTGGAGGGGCCTGGCAGGATGCTGGTGCCAACAGCAGGGTCCCCTCAAGTCTAGCTGCTTCTCTGCCACTCTCTCCCCTTCACCACCCACCCACAGGAGGGGAAGCCAGACAAGAGCAGTCCCTACATCCAGGTGCTGGAGGAGGACTGGCGACAGGCACTGCAGGAGCACCAGGAGCAAGCCAACACCATCCTCTCTCTGCGCAAGGACCTACGGCAGGGCGAGGCTCTGCGTGCCCGGGTACGCCGCCGGGGCGGGTGGGCTTCCGCCTGGGCCAGGCCAGGCCGGGTGGGCTGGGGGACTGCCCTGTGTGCACGCAGCCCCTGGAACGCACCCTCCAACTTCACCCCTCCCTGGAGGTGCAGGCGCTTGGCCTCCTCCCCCCACTCCTGGCCCGTACTCCCCCAGGATGGGCAGGCCCAGGCTCTGGTCTGGAAGTGCAGGGTTGGCAGGGACCCCGGGGCTCAAGCAGCCTCCCCCTCCCTCCACTGGGCCTGACTGACCAGGGGCCAGAACGGGGGGTGGGGGCTAGCTGCTGACTCCCGTAGTGCGTGGAGGAGAAAGAGATGTTCGAGCTGCAGTGCCTGGCCCTCCGGAAGGACTCCAAGATGTACAAGGACCGCATCGAGGCCATCCTGCAGCAGATGGAGGAGGTGGCCATCGAGAGGGACCAGGTAGGCACCTCGCCACCTCCCACCCCAGGGTGGGGCGCGTTCCCCCGAGCCGCGGCGCCTTGCCCTTTGCCCTTTTGGGGGAGGGCACTTGTCTGAGAGCTCCTTGAAAAATGTGAACAATCGTGAAGGTGACCCCTTCTCCCACTGCCAGGAAAACTATTCCACTGGCGGGTTGTACCTTCAGATTCTTTTCAATATATGTATAGTTGCATTTTTGTCTTATAAAAACAGAAGCTGTCTCGCTTGTAAATAGCTTTTTTATTTTTTTAAAGATTTATTTATTTTAGAGAGAGCAAGAGAGAGCGCGTGTGGTGGGGAGGGGCAGAGGGAGAGAGAATCCTGAGCAGACTCCCCGCTGAGTGGGGCTCGATCTCACCACCCCCAAGACCATGACCTGAGCCAAAATCAGGAGTGGGACGCTCACCCGATGGAGCCACCAGGCGCCCCAGCCAACAGCTCTTTTAACTTCAAACACCACTGGCACTTTGGCTGGCTGGCTGCGCTCCTGGGGCCCCGAGGCGGAAGCCCGTCTGGACTGTGTCCCCATCACTGCTTTCCACCACCTTCCCGCCACGTCACGCGGGGTCCTTTCTGCTCAGGTTATGGCCAGCGCTTCGGCGCCCGTCCGGAGGGGACTGGCAGCCTGCGTTCGGAGCCTCTGGCCCCGCAGTCCCACGTCGGAAAGCCTCCCCGTGCGCGGGGCCTGCCTTGAGGGAAGCAGCACGACCAGAACAGGGGGCCCGGCTGCCACCTTCCCTCGGGGCAGGCAGAGGAGGGGAGAGCGCGGTAGCCACCAAAGGCAGGCCACCAGCCAGGGACGCTGGGGCCGGGCAGCCCAAGTGAGCGGCTAGGATTCTCTCCGGTGGGTCCTGAGTCGGAAGCAGGGACACAAATGAAGGCGATTCTCAGTGATTCATCAAGTCCTGGCCGTTTGGGGCCGAGGGCTCCAGGGCACGTGGGTTATAGCCTCCAGGCAGCGGGCAGGCTCCCAGCGGGCCACTCGGTGTGGGTCAGAGTTGTGTCCTCAGGTGTGGTCTGGCCGGAGAGCGTGGAGGGGATGGGCGCAGTAAAGCACATGACATGGCCAGTAACAACCGTGTTCTTGATGCCAAGTCACACGGCAGACTGATAAAAGCCGTGTGAAGGGCGTGAGCCCGTGCCGGCCATGCACTGGGCTGGAGGACTGGGGGAGGGCGCAGGGACGGCAGGGGCTATTCTGGGATTGGGGCCTGAGGCTTTATCTTCACGTTCTGGGAGTCCTTTGGAACGCTTACTGCTCCTGCACACACTGACCACGGGCTGAGAGGCGGGGGCGGCCTGAGGTCTCCCAGCGGCCGCCCAGCTCCCAGACAGAGCCTGCCCTGTGCCGTCCCCACAGGCCATCACCACGCGGGAGGAACTGCACGCACAGCACTCGCGAAGCCTGCAGGAGAAGGACGCGCTGCGGAAGCAGGTCCGGGAGCTGGCCGAGAAGGCAGACGAGCTACAACTCCAGCTCTTCCAGTGTGAGGGCCAGCTGCTGGCCGTGGAGGGCAGGCTCAAGCGGCAGCAGCTGGACACGCTCATCCTGGTGGGCCTCCCAGGGGCTGGCTGGGGGGGCCTTTGTTGTGCACGCTGGTCAGAGCTGCAGCCCTGCCACAGTAGAGTGCAGGGCACTGGCCCTCAGGGGCAAGTGTGTCCCCAGAGACACCAGAGCCCAGAGGAGGGGACACCAGGCAGCCCAGGTCCAGGCCTGGCTCGGCTATTGCTCCAGGGTGACCCTGGGCTGGTCGCAGGCCTTCCCGAGCCCCTTCTGGCCTCTGTAAGGGGCCCTCCTCCGCAGGCCACTCTGGGTGTCAGGAGGGGGAGGGAGGGGTGTTCTGGGCAGGGGCCAGGGCCAACCGTGGGCTGGAGAGGGGCCTGAGGACAGGGGCTGGCCGGGGACCCCTCACCAAGCCCCACCCCACCCCAGGCCCTGGGGGTGGCTGGGCTTCCCCACAGTCTGCTGACCGACCCTCTTCTGTGACCACAGAGCTCTGACCTGGAGGACAGCTCACCCAGGAACTCCCAGGAGGTGAGTGTGAGCCTCAGGGTGGGCTTCAGGCCACCGTCCCCTGCGGGAGCTGAGCCAGCTGCTCTCCTCCCAGGCCTCACCTGGGCGGGCTGGCTGCCGTCTGGCCCTTGGGGCGGGCCTTCCTGCCAGGTCTCTGAGGAACAGCGCGGCAAGTTGGGTGGGTTCCTGGAGGGTGGCAGTCTAACTGGATGCCCGTCTCTCTCCCTGGAAGCTCTCACTCCCCCTGGACCTGGAGGCCGTCCAGCTCTCAGACAAAGGTGAGGAGGGGGCAGCTTCTCACGGACGAGTCTGGTCAAGGCCACCTTGTCACCTGAGTTGGCGCCAGTCCTGGCAGGGTAGAGCTCTGTGCCACTGATCTTTCACAACCCTACTTTACAGATGGGGACACTGAGGCTTGGAGGGACGAGTAACCCCCCAGGCTCCCCAGCAAGCCAACAAGAGCCGTGTGTGGGGCCTATGCCCCAGCTCTGATGTTGAGAGCGCGTCCCTCCATCAGAGCCCACTCTGGGCCCAGGAGTGCAGGGCTGAGGCGTCCTGCTTTCCCTGAGCTTCCTCTTGGGCAGGGGGCAGGGGAAGTCGGCCAGCAAGTGTGGGAGGTGCAAACAGAGTGGGGAAGGGGCGTGTCTCCGGGCCAGGCAGAGGTGGCAGGGAGATGGCCTGAGGGGTGACGAGGGGTGGCAAGGGGTTGAGGGGCTCACTCTGAAGGTGGCTGTCAGAGGGGAGGTGGGGAGGTCCGGGCAGGGAGGTGGCGTGGGAAACCAGACAGACCTCCTTAGCCTCAGGCCTGCCGCCAGCCTCCAAGGGAGGCAAAAGAGGACCAGCTGGTGCAGAAGTGAGGGAGCAGGTCAGTCTAACGCTGCCCAGAGACCTGAGCTTCAGGCCACGGAGCCCACCATGCGGACAGGCGGGCAGGACCCAGCAGGCAGTGAATGGTAGGGGAGACCCTGGGAGCCCAACCCAGGGGTGGCGTGGCCCCTTGAAGGAGCTGGGGCGGGCTTCTGGGTCAGAGGCCGAGGAAGGGAAGGTGCCAGCCTCAGGGAGAGACCTGGGTCTGGGTCTCTCGCCCTGTGATGTCCGTGAGACTAGATGTCCAGTCTCCCATCCTGGCCAGTTTAGGGGAGCCAGCCCATCAGAGCACCTTCTGTCTGAGGGTCCTGAGCCCGGGGCAAATTTTGAGGGGACCAGATAGCTTGGAATGTTCTGCTCCCACCTGCTGCAGTGCCCCAGCCCCCACCCGGGAGCAGAGTTCGATGGTGTGGCACTGCCTGGTGGGCTTCCAGCAGCCTCTGCCTGCCCAGAGGGAGTCGGGAGCTCCAGTCCTCTTGTCTACACAATGGGAGGCCTCTTGGGGTTGAAGTGAGCCCGGGAGATGATGCAGGACTGGCCCGGCAGCTTCAGGGGACAGGAGGTGGCCAGGTGTTGGCCATGCTAGGCGTGGTCCCAGCAGCTGGGTAGGACCGACAGGCCTAATTCTCTGTTCTAGGCGGCCCGGCCAACAGGAGCAGCCCGCAGCAGCCCTTTGTGGCTCTGCAGGAGGAGCAGCTTCCACTGACTTCCAACGTAAGGCTGCCCTGGGGTCCCTGCTGCCCTAGGGCGCCGCTGGCCTGGCCCTCCCTGTGACCGAGCCCAGGAAGGCTGACTGCCCAACCGGGATGCCGGGGGGTGATGGCAAGGGTCTCTGCCCGTGCGCTCTTGGGGTGCACTGTTTGGAACAGGAAGCCGAGTCCCCCCTTCTTGGTTGAGGCAGCGGGCAGGGGGAGTGCGCAGGACGCGGCGGCCCGGAAAGCCTGTCTTCCGAGGCCCCAGGGCACCGTGGCCGGAGCACGGGCTTGGAGCGCGGGCAGGCTGGCTGCGTGCCGGCGCCGTCCTGACCTCCGAGGGGCCGGACCGCACGCGGTGTGCGGTCGCAGGAGCCTGAGCCTCCCTCCTCCCGCAGGACGCGGGCCTGAGCGGCGGGGAGCCCCCGGAGAAGGAGCGGCGGCGCCTCAAGGAGAGCTTCGAGAACTACCGCAGGTGCGCGGGGGGCGGCCGCGGGCGGGCTCCGGGAAGGCTGGCCGCGGAGGGGGCGCGGCGGCCCAGCGGACACGCGCTCGCCCTGCAGGAAGCGCGCCCTCAGGAAGATGCAGCACGGCTCGAGGCAGGGCGAGGTGGACTGGGACAACACCACGGGCAGTGACAACACGGACACCGAGGGCTCCTAGCCGGCCCAGCCGGAGGGGCGCCGGGAGCACGCGCCGGGACTCGCACACGCGTGCTCTAGCTCTGCGTGCAGGGGTGTCAAATGCAGTTCCATAAATAAACGACCGGGGTCCCCGTACCGTGGCCTCCGCTGGCCTCGCTCCCGCGTACCCGTCCCAGCCGCGCGCGCACCTCCCGCCCGCAGGGGGCAGCAGAGCCCGGTCCGCCAGCCGGCGGACGGAAGCCGGAAAGGGCCGTTTACGCCGCGTGCCCGCTTCCAAGATGGCGGCGGCACGGCTTCAGCCGCGCGGGGCGGGGCGGGGCAGCCGAGGTCGGAGGGCGGGATGCTGTGGGCTGCGCTGAGCCGCGTGCCGCCGCTACTAAGCTGCGTGCGTGCCCAGGGGCCGGGCCTGAGGTGGTTGTGGGGACGCGGGGGCGGTCCGGGGGCTGCGGGGAGAAGGCAGACCGGGGCCAGAGTCTGGGGCTGGCGGAGTTTGAGCTCGGAGCCGGGGCCCGGGGCCGCGCACTACCAGCTTGTCTACACTTGCAAGGTGAGCGTGCGACGGGTGCGAAGCTGGGTCCGCATCTGGTGCCGGCCGGCGCCGCGGGAAGAGGCTCCCCGAGCGCCGAGGACAGTATGGAGGGGGTGGAGCTGGCCTCGGGAGAGGGGTGGAGCTGGCCTCGGGAGAGGGGCGGAGCTGGCCTCGGGAGAGGGGCGGAGCTGGCCTCGGGGGCGGGGCCTTTCCGGGAGAGGGGCGGAGCTGGCCTCGGGGGCGGGGCCTTTCCGGGGGAGGGGTGGAGCTGGCCTCGGGGGTGGGCCCGGCACACAGGGGTAGGTAGGCTGTCGAGGAGGAGGAGGAGGCCCTGCCCCGGGGTGGAGTTAATCCTCAGATGGGGCGGGGTCCTCCTGAGGGGCGGGACCAGGCACAGGCGTCACCGGGGCCTCGGGTGTCCCCCAGGTGTGTGGGAGCCGGTCCTCCAAGCGCATCTCCAAACTGGCCTACCACCGGGGAGTTGTCATCGTTACCTGCCCCGGCTGCCAGAAGCACCACGTCATCGCCGACAACCTGGGCTGGTTCTCAGACCTGGGCGGGAAGAGGTGAGGCCCCGTGGGCAGGGTGGGGGGACAAGCCCATGCCCGGGGCTGGCCTGCAGGGTTGGGGCCCCAGCCCGCGTCCGCGTGGCTCCCTTCCTGTCGGGAGGCTCGTGGAGCCCGCCTCCCCAGCCTTGGGTGTACAGGAGGGGCTGTTAGGTTTGAGTTTCGGGAAAACCGCAGACGACGCGGGTGGGGATGGGACCAGCCCCCTGTGGTCCTGCTTCGCTGCCGGACCTCTGCCCTCACCGCTGGCCTGTCCGTGTCCGGGCTCCAGGCCGCCCCCGAAGTGAGGGGCACGCTGGGCTGAGTCCTGCAGCACAGACTCCCTTCTGTCGTGTGGCTGCTTGGTCCCCACAGAGGTGCAGAGTGTCAGCTCCAGAGCAGGGCCCTAGCGCGTCACGCGCGTTCTCTGCCCGCGCTGGCTGGTCGGTCATCACACCAGACTGGGGGTGTGAGTGAGGCGGAGTGTGTACCCCTCGTGGGCCGGAGCCTCCTGGCCGGTGGCCCTGGGCCGTTCTGTGGGACTTCTGAGGGGCTCTGTCCCTTGAGACTGGGTTAGTAATAGCAGCTGCCTCTGGGGGCTCTGAAGGGTTCACGAGGTCAGCGTGCGGGGGCCTCATGGCCACACCAGCGTGGGGCCCCACGCTCCGGCTCCAGCCCGGCCCTGGGGTGCCCTTGGGTGCACTTGAAGACCCAAGGTGCAGGATGGGCTCGGGGCTGAGGGCGTCATGATGCCCTCTCTCTCAGGAATATTGAAGAAATCCTGGCGGCCAGAGGGGAGAAGGTGTGCCGAGTGGCTGGCGAGGGGGCTCTAGAGCTGGTTTTAGAGGCTGCCGGGAACCCCAAATCCACCACTGCTCCAGAAGGGGGTGAGGACCAGGACCCCACTCATCCTGGCAAGATGGAGCCCAGCTGACTCTGTCGTCTCCCTTCCAGAAGATTCTTCGGCTCTTCCGGGCTGGCCTGTTTTCTATCAATAAACACATCACCCGGAGATGGTGGGGCCTGGGGCCTTCTTGTTGTCCCTGGTTCCGGAGTCAGAATGATTCCGAGGAGCCTCCGCCAGGTGCTGGTCCTGGTGCTGCGCTGTCGCTCTGCACAGAGGACGGGCCCTGTACTTGCCGCTCACGGCTGTGTCTGTGTGGGGAGGCTGGACAGACTCTGAGCCCCCAACCCCCGCTGTGGCCGGTAGCTCTGAGCGGTCCCTCTGCCCCTCTGAACTTGCACCTTCCCATTAGATGAAGATGCTAATGGGACCCCCTGTCAGGAGGAAGGGCAGGAAGACAAGGTGTGGCACAGGTGTGGGGCGGCGTGGACGTGCTCTGCAGGCCAGGGCTCCGGTCTTGCTGGGTCTGGGGCGGGTGCCTGGAAGGCATGGCCGATCAGCCACTGTTCTTCCTTGGGGGCAGCACCCACCGTGGGTCCTGTTCCTCTGGCCAGACACGGGGAGCTCCTACAGATCCCCCTTTCTCCTGTGCCCCCTGCCTTCCCCCGACACCTCCTGGACAGCGCTGGTGAGCCAGTGCCGCCCTCGGCCCTGACCCTTGGCTGCCGGCCAAACGGAGTCAGCAAATCCGGCAGCTCCCTGTGGCCACAGCGGGGCTGGGTGGCCGCCGTGGCGAGGGGGGTGGGAGTCACGGTGGGCCGCGTGCCCCACGTGGTGCCCTCCCCCCAGGGGCATGCGGTTTGTCTCCCAGCCTTGTTTGACGGCCTGCTCAGGATGTTCCTGTGTTTATGGGAGCGCGTGTATTTGCGGAAGCGTGACCTTCACTATTAATCACCAGCCACGGTCTCGCAGCTCCTGGCAGGATCCGAGCTGACTGCTGCCCTGCGTCAGCGCCCCGGGCTCTGCTGTTGTTCTCCTGGGCGCGGGCACTGGGTGCTTTGACTTGATTACCCCCCGTCTTTCCCTGGCTAACAACCGCCTATTATTCCGCCTCAGAGCCTCCCGTGCCATTTGCGGAGACTGTCGGCCTGGAGGCTGAGCCAGCCCCTGCGCCTGACCACCTCACTGTCCCCAGGTCCTCACCGGACCTGACAGTGCAGAGCTGGACAGAGGACGGCGGCCCCGGCCAATCCCGCTCATCACAGATGGGGAAACTGAGGCCCGGGCTGTGGACATGGGTGGAGACCATATTTCTATTTCCTGTATTCTGATGCTTGATGTCCAGGCTCTGCTGACCCCGGAGGGGTTGCCCCTCTTGGGGTTAGTGCCTAGAGATAGTGAAAGACTCACCCATGAATGCACCCCATGGACAGGTACCAGCCAACAAGGGGGGGTCCCTACTCCCAGAGCCACTGAGGTGGTTCACGCCGTTGCTTCCCAAGAAAACCACAGCTCCTGGAGCCATAGAGAGGCAACGTGGCACCCTGTGGTGCTTACCTGCAGAGCCTTCTCAGAGCGCCAGGATTCCCAAAGCACCGAGAACTGTTGGGTTGGGGGATTTAGTGACAGCCTCCCGGGGCCCCTGGGGGTGCCTCCCTGTGCGGGCGTGTCCCAACTGCAGCCCCTACCTGCAGACCTCCCTTCTGACCAGCTTTTGCCCTCCCCATGCCCCTCTCCCGACCCCCCACCCCTACCCTGCTGTGCAGCCTCCTGCGGTCAGGTGGGGTGCTCCAGGCCGAGCAGGTCACCACAAGTGAGGTGAGGCACCCCCTGCCGTGCCTGCTTCCCAGGCCCCGCATCTGTCCTCCTGGGGACACAGTGCCACAGAGCAGCTGTGGGGTTGGGGTGTCTGCTTGGGGGTGTGCTCCCTCTCTTTGTAGACGGCTCCATTGCACTCATCGGCTGGTGGTGCCAGGGCTGTGAGGTCATGGGCACTCTACACCTCCCTTGCTCCGGGGCCCCGAGCAGGTCCCAGGCAGGTGGGCCACAGGTCTGCAGCCCGTGAGGAGTCAGGCCTGGAAAGGCAAGTGCGCGCCTGGACAATGTGTGACTTTGTCCAGTTAGGACAGACAGCCACTCCCAGGGCTGAAAACAACAGAACCAACCTGTCGCCAAGTGGCTGGCTGGTGCCATTGCGGGGGGCTTAGAGCAGGTGGTGGCCCCAGGCCCTTTGCACGCTGCAGGCTTGCTTACCCAGGTAAGGTCAGTCACCTGGGGCCCCCCAAAGGACCAACATCCCCTCATCCTTAGCACTAATTCTGACAGCATTCACTTGGCAGACTTTATTTTTTTGGGAAAAAGAAAAAAAATGTACCTCTTGGGTTGGAAAGGACCCACTGACAGCATGGCAAACACGCATGAGCAATAAATATGCATGTACATTCAAGTATGTGGGGCGGCCCAGGAGAAGCCTGTGTTCTGGCCTCTGACCCCGCCCCCGGGCTCCCACCCACACCCTTCAGAGCATGGTCGCAGCAGGCCCAGGGCCCCCAGGTTGAACTGCGGGGTGGGGGTCCAGCCGCCTCCCCACGCTTGGAGAGCCTCAGAGAAAGACCAAGGAGCCCAGCTGGGGCACCACCTGAGGAGGAGGTGCCCCTCCACGCCCTGGGGGCTGTGGGGTCGTGGCACGGGGCCAGGGGCTCGCCAGAGGGCTGGTGGCGAGCCAAGGCAGTCTCCTGCCCAATCCCGTGGGCTGACGACGTGTGGGGGCTGGACCTTCCGCACAGGAGAAGGCAGTGATGTCATCTTCCCAGCTGAGGGCTGGGAAGTGCTCATTTGGGGACCCAGGGTTGAGCTGCGCTGAACCCCCCCAAGCTTCTGCCGGCCGCCCCTGGCCCTGGTGTGGTCGGGGAGCAGACCTCGTTGCTGGCTGGCATTCCAGACCAGGACTGTTCTGTCCCTGGGCTTCGGGGCTTGGAGTTGAGGGGTGTCACGGCTCATCCCCACCCTTCCCCTTGCCTCCCTGCTCAGGACTGGGCTCCAGCTGGGGCTGGGGGCCGAGTGCCAGGGCCCAGCGACCGTGCGTGGGGGCAGCTGGCCTGCATGCACTGCCTCATCAGGCTCCAGGCTTTCTGACACAGGCTTCTACCTTCTCCAGCCCAGAGGCAGCGGTGGGGGGGGGAGGGGCCTGGGACTGGGGCAAGTGTGTCTGCTCTGTCATCCCTGGGACCCCCTCTGGGAGGAAAGAAACGTCCATGTCGCTGGCAGACCGCAGAGCAAAGGCTTCAGAGCGGCCTTTGGGGGCTTAGGGGAGGCAGCAGTTCTCACATTTGCTGGGCAGGATGGAGGGATGGAGCTGGGCGGGGCAGGGAGAGGCCATGGAGGGTCTGCACCAACAAGCTGCAGGCTGGACCTGGGGCAGGGAGGGGGCGGGGAGGGCGCCGGGAGAAGGCCGGGCCGGGCAGGCCTGCAGAAAGCCGTGTCCCACCTGAGAGCTGGTCCAGGACAGAGGCATGCCCACCCGCCGGGGCAGCCAAAGCCTGAGCCTGCCACCCTGGGAGGGGGACAGCGTGGGGGCTGTGTGCCCAGCATCTGCCACAGTGGGAAGGGCCAGAGGGTCTGCCGTCAGCCATGGCCTCCAGAGGAATGGGCTTCTCGCGGGGCCGTGGGCATCACAGAGGACGGTGTGCCCCCCGGCCCCGAGGCCACGAGTAGGGCTGGGGCCAGCCTGGCCGTGGCTGCAGGATCTTAGCTGGCACCAGACTGGCACGGCTGCCGGGGCTCGGGGCTCCCGCCCACCTCCTGCTCGGGGCTCCCGGCGAGGTCCACCCGCTGCTCATCCATCCGCTTGGCCTGCACCCTCTGGATGAGGCTGAAGAAGTCCTCGTCAGGCATGGTGGGGCCGCGGGGCAGCACGTCAGGAGGCGGGCAGCGCTGGTCATCGATCCTGGAGGACTGGGCGGACACAGACACGTGGGTGGGCAGCTTGGGCCTCCCCCGCCTTGGAGGGCCGGCCTAGCACGTGGGCCCAGTGGTCTCAGGGATAACACCCAGGCAGGGGCTGCTGGCCAGCGAGCCGCTCTCCCTGCAACTACCGGTAAGATCAGCTCCGCGGGCAGTGCTCGGAGCCTCTGCGCAGGCCACCCCGGGAGGGAGGGCTGAGTAACCGCCAGGCACCGGGTGAGCGGGCCCGGGGCACGGGGCTGCTGGCCGGCCTTCCGTACTGTGCCCAACACCACCTGACAGGGATGTGTTCAGGAGCCCCGGGGGCAGGACTGGGGGCCGCAGCTCCCTGAGCCTGAGGCGCGGAGCTCCCCGGGGCCCCCATCAGGCCATCAGGCCAGGGGGCCGGGGGGGCCTTTGGGCTTCCGAGCAGGGTCTGGAGCAGAGGGCTGGGAGCTGGTGCAGCTGCTGGAGCGTGCGGGCATATGGGCCAGGGGCTCGGGGGTTCTCTCCAGGGGCTGCTTTTGAGGCTTTTCAGACTCGCCCAGGGCCGCGCTTTCCTCTGCTCTGTGGGAATAAAGGTCACATCTGGAAACTGCACCGTCCCGTGTGAGCCAGGCCACGGCTTCTCCTGCAGCCTTTCACGGGGTCCCTGAAACCCCTCTGCCGTCTTGCCCTGCCTGGGGGGGCAGGGGGCCAGACCCCACCACGACGGCGCCCCCCTGCTGGAGCTCCTGCCCGATGAGGAGGGCTTTCGGGAGGGGGGGCCCAGGAAGGGGCCTCAGGTCTGAGCACCCGGGGGGCACCTGGGGGCACCGGCGGAGCCAGCCTGAGACGGACGGGCCAGAGGCCGCCACGGGCGTGAGGAGCCTCCACCAGCGGCCTCGGGGCAGGGGTGGGCACGGGGGGCGCGCGGTGAGAGCCCCCAGCGTCCCCAGCTGCAGGCCCACCTGGCACTTGATGAGCATGTTGAAGAACTCGTCCCCCGGCTCCTGTGGGTCTCCGTCCCCGCGCAGACGGCCCAGGTTGCTGTGGGTGACACGCAGCCCAGGCAGGCTGCCCACGCTGGCCCGCTGGTCGTCCAGCCGGCGGCCCTGGGAGCTGGCAATGAGGTCCAGGAGCTCCTCGGTCTGCGGGGATGCCGTCAGCGAGGGCTGGGCTGTGGGGGCAAGGTCGAGGGAGGGGGCCCCCCACGGGCTGGGTCAGCCTGAGCCCAGCCCCGCCCTCC